GTTCAAGAAATACTGACCGTAAATAGTATCTGAAGGCATTGGAGAAAATGTATTTACAGAATTTCGTATTTATTGTTTGTGTGTTGCTTTGCCTCTACACTTGTTTTGTGTTGTATGGACTTGTATATTCTACGACCTTTGAAAGTTAGCACTGGGACAATTTTCAAATAATTTTCAAATTGTTTCAAGATTAAGAGATCTTTTATTTGTGGAAATTCCAGTGTTGCATCACAAGTTACAGTACAGAAGGAATGAGGAGCACACAGCACAAGATAAATATACAATAAATATACAACAGGTAATTATAATAAAATAAACATCCAACTCTAGTATCAAAGTAAGCAACAAGTATGAAATCTCTATCCTTGATATAATAAAGAAGTATAAAATCACAACATTTGGCAAGATAAGAAGCAAGTATAAAGTAGTGCAAGCAATATGTGGTTATATGTTAGCATCTGTACATGTTAGCAGCAGTATGTTTACGTCTGTATATGGAGGTTCATCTCGCTCTGTGCGTCAGGTCAACCCCCACAGTTCAAGACGACAACAAGAATATAGTATACAAGGAAAACGCAGATTTTATATTGAACAGATAACAAAAACTGGCGATGAGGAAACTCAGGAGGAGAGAGGTGGAGGCTGCGGAGGACTGGTTGTAGGTGCAAGAAACAGACCTGGATTATGGGAGCCTCGGGAAGTGTCCATATCCTCCCCTGTGTCTCCTTCTGAAGCTCATCTAAAACTCTAAAGCTGGGTAACTCACTTTTCCCTCCCATTAATAATACATGTTGAAGGACAAAGTGACCCAGAGTTGACAAGGATGACAATGACCCTATATAGTTTGTGTGTCCTTTCACTAAAGATGTCAAAGAGTAACATTGGATTTCACCTTCAATCTGCACTTTGCAACCAATCTATTTTTAAAAGGCAGTGAATGTAGTTTTTTTTTTTTAAATGTACCTTCTTTACAACGACTCCAAGGACAGTAGTAGATGAGCTGAACCAACACACAGGGGATGTTGTGTGTGCAGAGCATGCGGTTTAAAACACTGATACTAAAGAAAAAAAAAAAGAGAAAAGGACGTTAGAAAAGAGATGAATGCTAGTGATGTGCTGCACGTAAAAGGTTATAAAACAGAACTTGTCAGTGTGATCGGTGGCATAGCGCAGGACTGAGAGGGCTTTGAGTGAAATCTCAAACTCCAGTGCAGCATTTTGGTTTTCCAGCTCCTGCCGAGAGAAGGTATATTGTTTTCATCTGTACATAAAAAATCCTACCGGCATAAAACTACAATTGCCTGTCATACCACTACAACTAGTGGTATGACAGGCAATTTCCTCTATAGTGATCTCTCAAATTTGAGTATAAGTACGGTTTCAATCATGTTTTTACTTAACTAATAGAAAATACAATATGACAACTGCACTCTAAACTTTGAAGGACAAAGGACAACAAATATTTAAACAAAAAAATCATGAAAACAAGTCCACACCATGTCAAAAATGTGTGATTATTTATGCTCTAAATGCTGTGATTTTTCAGATGTCCATGACTGTAGGAATCCTGTTACTAGGTATTGGGTGAATATTTAATTACTGTACATTTACTTATGGCCACTAAACATGAATTCAAAACACATTAAATTATTCGTGACATTACTCAGTCATTATGTGTGCGTCTTGATAGAATATTGTTGAGGATTGTGTGATAACCTTCATGGAAGACACACCCGCTGTGTCCACGGTGGGTTGAGTGAGGGTGAGTTGTTGGTGCATTGCGTCCTTCTCTCTCGTCAGTTTACTGAGCAGCAGAGTGAGTTTACGATGGCAGTAATCCACCAGGTCCAGCACAGAGTCACCTGCTGCCTCATATGAGTCCTACACACATAGACAGCCTTTTACAATAGATTTACAACTACACAGTATATGTCTGTCTGTTTTTGAAAGCTGGAGTAAAAACCTTGTGGAACATTATAGTCTCGAGTAGGTTTATTATAGTTGCCTCGTGATGGATCTGAAAAGGAGTGAAATCTTAAAAGCAGTTTCTTCACAAATGTTTTGCATTGAACACTGTCAAATACTCACCACTACGTAAAGTTGAAATGTGTTTTGGGGCTTAAAGTCTTGAAGTTGGCATAAAATAGGGAAGATCTTGTTTTTCCAGATCTCAATCAAAATCATCTCATGGATAAGGACAGCAATCTGGAACAATAAAGAAATATTTCCAGTCAACCATAGTTTAAAATCATCATTTATTTGACTTGAGATCATTGCCTTTCCATGGGACACCAGCAGATCCTTCACAAATTCATCGTGCATAGCCGTGGCACTGAGAATGGCCTGCATGTTCATTTTTTCTATGTACTCATGTTGTTTGAACCATCTGTGAAGAGAAAGCAGCAGAGCCTAAGTACAGTATCTGGTTCAAGTCAGTCTATTGGTACAACCCAATTAGGATAACACTTTCAAATTAGACCCAAAAGGAAAAATTAGACCCTAAATCTGACAATCCAGTTTGGTCAAAGTCATACCATCCATCCATCCATTCATTTTCTTCCCCTTAATCCATCTCTGGGTCGGGGGGGTGGCCAGAGATGCCACCCAGTACACATAGCACCAGCCCCTCATTGATCCTCCTGCAGGTGGTGAGTCCACAGGAGCCTTGATCTTTCAGTGGGGGCTTCAGGCAAAGTGGGGTTAAGTGTCTTGCCATACCAAATACAGAATAAAGACTTTACGTAACAGTAAAGAAAGAAACATGCTCTTTTTTATCTTTTTAGAAAACATGTTATTTTGGACACACTGTTGGCTGAGTGAGAGCGATCCTCTTTTTCCATTTTCTGTCTGGAAAAAAACTGTGAGTGACAGAGCCCAAAAACCAATATGTGATGGAACCAAACTGATGGAACTCAGTTAGATGGATTTTATTTTTTATTTGTATTATGTGATAAAAAAAAAAAAAAACGCGATGTATTTTGTATCATTTATAATTTGTCATAGTTATTGTTTGTGGTTTTTAAAGTTAGGCACCCCAGCTTTAAGAAAGTAACCTACAATGAAAATAGCATAAATTTGCATACTAGCTAGGTTAATTTAAAGGACTGCTAGCTTAGGTTAGCCACGCGTTAACAGAAGTTTCTTACCCTGCAGATCCCACGTCTTTTAGGGAAAAAGTCTTCAAACCCTGAACAAAACCCTCTGCTTCCACTGGTAGAACAACAAACGTGTCCATTTTCTTTTGTTAAACCAAGCACTGTTTAAACTAGAAATATTGAAAAGCGTTACAACAAATATTGAGCGCTTCTTCATGCACGTCACAAAGTTAGCTTCGGCTGTCGCTCTGTTGCTATGGTGACAGTACACAGCTGCAGTTCACCCATTTGACCAGAGCGTGGCAGCAGCAGCGCAGTGTACACGTGATGTTGGTATCTGTACTTTTCACAAATAACCAACTAGAAATTCAAAATCTCACAGTAATAGGTAATTTATTGAAACTACAAGGATCGATGGAAGCTGTTATGGGGGCCTTTGTGTCTTCATGGTATATTTAGGGACAATAAAAAAACATATATGAATAGGGCTAAGTATTTGAGTTCACATTGATGACATTTGGAGTTTTTAACATTCTCACTTGGTTGTTCTGATGCACAAGAGTCCACTTGCTCAAACTGGCATAATCATTAATTGCAGTTCGTAATAAAAACAAATATTAATTCCAGGACTCAAAAACCTAAAGGCTGTGTTGGCCGTGCATACATAAAATATCCGTTTTATGTAAAATACTTTCTATTTTTAATCTTGAAAAAAATATCACTTGTGAGTACTTCTGGGTGTAAGATAAAATAAACTTGTGCATGATATGATGTTGCAAATCTGTCATCTACTTTATTTCAGGCTTGTTCATTGCCTTTAGAATCTTCTAAATCTCTTATTGGTATATTCATTCCAAGACGGATTTTTATTTGCTATGGAACCATTCATGCAAGATGGTTTTACTCATGGATTAAAATGGAAAACCACAAATTGAATTCATTTAGTATAATGAAATATTTCTTGCTACAGAGGTTATCAACAGGATCTTTGGGCACTTTTCCAATGGCCTGGATGTCAGTTTGCCAGTGTGTGGAAAGTCCCTTTGGTTATGTAACAATGTTTGCTACCAAGTTAATTGCAAATGCATGATTGTTTTTAGTTAGTTTATCCGCATAAACATGAATAAAAAGTTTCAGACAGTTTGAAAAAATTGCAAGAATTGATATCTCCCATTTCTGCCAATGTATTTAAATAAGGGAGTGTGCAGGATGGTCCAAAAGACTGGCGATACTCAGATTCAGACATTGTGCATCGTGAACTGAAGAGTTGTTATTGCACAGACTCAGACATGAGGGAAGATTCCTGTAACATGGACACATAGCCAGCAGCCGCTTGTGGCCCCTGCATGAAGCTCCATTGTTTCATTGGAGGGAGCAAAAAGCACCCCAGATCATGATGCTTCCCCCCCATCCCCATAGAAAACATCTAAGGTGGGTTCTCCTCGCCAACATGGGAAGTCAAGTGTTTTTAATCAACAGGCAATTCTCTCTCACAGATGTCATCTGATGTTTATTGGGCTGTCGAAGTGTCCTGTGTCTGGTATAAACCACTGATGGGAGGCAAAAGTCTGAGGGACATCAAAATGTTTGTTCCATAACATACTCAATCTAAAATCATCATTTTAGCCCATGTTAGGACAAATACAATTTTATTGAAATAGATTAATCTAGTCTTCAAACGATGACAATGATTACAGACACAGACTGCTTAACTGCTTTCCTATTTGTTTTTATTTTTGACAAAAAAAGCAATTGCAGAACACCCACTAACAAGTACTAGTGTGATATCCCCTCTCAGCAGCCACATCATTAAAGGCAAAATCAGAAATGAGAAGACATCCTCGTCGTTTTCCACACAGCTCTTCCACTGTCCAATGGAATCAGCCTTTGCATCGTCTTTCCAAATTACTTCCAGCATACAACAATGTTGGGGTCATTTTCCAAGCGCTCATCCAACTCCTGGTAACTTATTCCTGTGAATTAAACACAATGTAAGTAAATAATTTTTATGCAAATAGCGCATTTAATTTGGACCTCCATCTCAGTTTTAAACAAATCAAAAAGGGATTATTTTCATGCCGTCAACCAAAATTAGGCCTGCACTTACCCGTCTTGCAACAAATCTCGTCGTAACTATGACAACCGGTGAAAAGCCGAGGAGGCCTGCTTCTGTCATCACGGACGACCTTGACAGGATACTTCTGAAGCCTCCGAATGAGACATTTCATCAGGCCGAACTGAACCAGCTTCCTGAAAGGCAGCAGCTGTGAGCCAGATGTGATCGTAAAGGCCAACACAGATCAGGTCTTCTAGAAATCGTTTAGTGGGTTTTTCAGGAATTGTACGGACAGATGTCTTTCATTTCCAGTAAAAGGAAATTGAAGACCTCTTTTTTTCAAGTATTGAAAATGAGCCAATTTTTCTCCTGGATATAAACTGATTCAGACCAGCTTTAGATCTGTTTTTGATTTGATTTCAACAGGTTTATTTTGTTTTTCTACATTTGTTCATGATGTGGGATGTGTGAGAGCAACATTTCTCAGCCCCGTTCGTTAATTTGAATCCATACTTTCGTTATAGTTCTGACCAGCTCTCAGCCCAAAGAGTCAAATAGAGCCTCACAAACCTCTCGTCAACTCTTTGAAGTTGTAGCGAGTATCGAGAACAAAGGTCACGGACTGTTGTTCCTGGACTTAGACCACAGTAGAGCTGGAAAACATCTCTGAGGCTGGCTCGCTTCTGACCTGAAATCAACACACCATGACTAGTGGAAATGATACCAAAAAAACATGAATGAGCAGTATTTACCCTGCTTTGTGACATAGCTGAGGCACTCGTCTTGGATGGACTGGTCGTCAATGAGGCTTTGGACCTTTGGAGTTGTGCAGTAGACATTACTGTACTGTGTGGGACAAAGCATGTATGTGAGGGCGGTTTAAAAGTGCCAATATAATCTACTTTATTTATACAGCACATTTCATTAAAGGTTCAGTAAGCGATGTTGTTAGCTTAGCCATAACCCAAACTCAAAACCACTCCCCCTCCCCTCCCTCTCCACCAAACCAAACATCCAGCATTTTCTTCTCTTTGTCACAACAGGAGTTTTAAGTTTTAGAAAATCTGATAACTCTGGTGCGTGCCCTCGCGAGAAACAGGAAGAGAGTGAAGGGGGTAAATGCATCCCATTGGTTCGTTGGGGATGAACGAATCCAATTGGTTTATTTTTATCGGTCCGCTCCAAAATATTATTTATTAATTTTTGTAGACTATAGGCATCTGGTCAATTCCATTACTATTTGAAAACACATGATAAACTTGACTACTTTTAGGGTTTAGGGACTTTTTCCCACAATATTTAAAAAAATACGTCAGGAAAAATCACTGACTGCATCTTTAAGTTTCCAAATAAATATCAAGTAAAAAGTAATAAAAAAACAAATACAATTAGAAAATAAAAGGCATTAAATTGAATAAAAATACAAATTTAGATTAAAATCTAAAATAAATTGAATATATAATTAATTATTCTCTGGGTCTCCTCCAGATCGCTATGGATATTGCTTTCTCTATTAAGATTTAGTCCCCTGAATGTAAACTGAGAGCATGAAACATAAAAGTATCTTACCTGAAATATTGAAACCAGTGTCACTACATTATAACAGCTGAAACATAAACGTTTAAATATATTAAAACCTCATAACACAAGTGAATCAAATAAATTCCAATGTTTTATGATACGTTCTTATTTTCTGGTCAAAAAAACTCACAGTAGATTCTGCACAGCTATTCGTACAAGATTGAGCTCTACATCTGCCTCCGCTGAGATTTTTTGAATGTGTCTGAATCCATCGATATAAGGCAGGATCTGACAATAATAAAACGTACACATATCAAAAAAATGAATAATATAAATACGTGCTGATGAATTTGTAATCCATGGCTAACCCTACAGCACAGAATGCAGTCCCACCTGTTGAGTGGTGAGGTCCCATTGAGATTTAACAAAGTGGTCCTTGCACTGACTGAAAACTGGCACGTCATATTCTTGGACAATCGCTGGGTCTTTCCTTGGCTGGATTTCCTTCAAATGGATTGTATTGGATGTATCTACAAATGTATAAGTTACATCACTGTTGCATGTCATAAACTCTTTTACACTTGAAGCATAAAAAACGTTCTAATTTTTCTTTTTTTATAGCATTACAGAAATATCATGAATATAAGGATGGACAATGCTAATCCTTGTTTGAAGACTAATAGGGAAGTACTAATGGGTAAAGTTTAGCTGTCATTCATGTAAACCCCTCTTACACCACCCTTTCGGTCACACTCACAATTTTAGTCTTAAAAATCCCAAAATTGTTGCTGTATGTTGTCTAAATCCAGATATGACCATGCCGGAAGAGCTCATGTGTCTGGGTTTCAATATTATGACAATCAGCAGTATCACAGTTTGAGAAGCACTTTTTCCCGCCCTCCTATGTGTGTGGTTATAAAAGTATGTAGTGAGAATGTATGCATGTGGGAACGAGTGTAATGCCTGAATTAAGTATTTTTCAAACCTTAACTTGAGTCATTTCTGATTGTCTTAAGACAAGATTTGCCAATGGGATAAGCCATTTAGTCTCGCTTCAAGAACTATTGCTTTATTTCCTAATTGCAATATTTCTTGCACCTTTTTAAAATCTTGTATTAAGGCATCAAAATTTCCTCAAATTAGATACATTTTGCTAAATGTTAAGCTTATTTTTTATCGCCTTTTGCAGGGTATTGTTTATTGTTGTTAACTGTGTGGAGTGGGAGACAAAATTAACAATTGTAAACCGCTTTGTGACTCTGGTCTGTGAAAGGCGGTATACAAAGTATTCGGCCCCCATGAACCTTTCAACATTTCTCCACATTTCAGGCTTCAAACATAAAGATAATTTTTTTTTAATTTTTTGTCATGAATCAACAACAAGTGGGACACAATCGTGAAGTGGAACGAAATTTATTGGATAATTTAAACTTTTTTAACAAATAAAAAACTGAAAAGTGGGGCATGCAATATTATTCGGCCCCTTTACTTTCAGTGCAGAAAACTCACTCCAGAAGTTCAGTGAGGATCTTTGAATGATCCAATGTTGTCCTAAATGACTGATGATGATAAATAGAATGCACCTGTGTGTAATCAAGTCTCCGTATAAATGCACCTGCTCTTTGATAGTCTCAGGGTTCTGTTTAAAGCGCAGAGAGAACCATGAAGACAAAGGAACACACCAGGCAGGCCCGAGATACTGTTGTGGAGAAGTTTAAAGCCGGATTTGGATACAAAAAGATTTCCCAAGCTTTAAACATCTCAAGGAGCACTGTGCAAGCAATTATATTGAAATGGAAGGAGTATCAGACCAAGGCAAATCTACCAAGACCCGGCCGTCCCTCCAAACTTTCATCTCAAACAAGGAAAAGACTGATCAGAGATGCAGCCAAGAGGCCCATGATCACTCTGGATGAACTGCAGATAACTACAGCTGAGGTCTGTCCATAGGACAACAATCAGTCGTGCACTGCACAAATCTGGCCTTTATGGAAGAGTGGCAAGAAGAAAGCCATTTCTCAAAGATATCCATAGAAAGTCTCGTTTAAAGTTTGCCACAAGCCACCTGAGAGACACACCAAACATGTGGAAGAAGGTGCTCTGGTCAGATGAAACCAAAATCAAACTTTTTGGCCACAATGCAAAACGATATGTTTGGCGTAAAAGCAACACAGCTCATCACCCTGAACACACCATCCCCACTGTCAAACATGGTGGTGGCAGCATCATGGTTTGGGCCTGCTTTTCTTCAGCAGGGACAGGGAAGATGGCTAAAATTGATGGAAGATGGATGGAGCCAAATACAGGACCATTCTGGAAGCAAACCTGTTGGAGTCTGCAAAAGACCTGAGACTGGGACGGAGATTTATCTTCCAACAGGACAATGATCCAAAACATAAAGCCAAATCTACAATGGAATGGTTCACAAATAGACGTATCCAGGTGTTAGAATGGCCAAGTCAAAGTCCAGACCTGAATCCAATTGAGAATCTGTGGAAAGAGCTGAAGACTGCTGTTCACAAACGCTCTCCATCCAACCTCACTGAGCTCGAGCTGTTTTGCAAGGAAGAATGGGAAAGAATTCCAGTCTCTCGATGTGCAAAACTGATAGAGACATACCCCAAGCGACTTGCAGCTGTAATTGCAGCAAAAGGTGGCGCTACAAAGTATTAGCGCAAGGGGGCCGAATAATATTGCATGTCCCACTTTTCAGTTTTTTATTTGTGAAAAAAAGTTTAAATTATCCAATAAATTTTGTTCCACTTCATGATTGTGTCCCACTTGTTGTTGATTCTTGACAAAACAATTTTTTTATATCTTTATGTTTGAAGCCTGAAATGTGGCGAAATGTTGAAAGGTTCAAGGGGGCCGAATACTTTTGCAAGGCACTGTATAAATAAAGATTACTTACTTTCTTACTTAACATGTTTGTGGATTGTGTATACTTGTATGTACTGTCATGTCATTTGTCAACAGTCAAAAAAACAGAAGTTAAAACTTGATTTTTTATAGTTTGCTTATATAACTCTAAATGTATGTATTTTGCTTGTATATTAAATAAATAAAAAATAGTTCTAAAAAGTTACCTATAGGAAGTGTGCAGGCTCCTGTAGCATTCAGATCTTCTAACAAAGTTGACATAATGGGCAATAATTTCCGTTTGCTATCTTCTTTAGATATAAAACCACTTTCAAGCTGCATAACAGATAAGAAATGTCTTTTAACACGTTAGTAACCATAAATGAAGGATTAGTAATTGCTACCTCGAGGGTCGTGAGGTAGCCAGAGAGTTTCTTGACAATGGGCTCCAGTGGACAAGTGTTGGTCTGAGCATCGCACACAAAGCCCAAATTAAAGAGAAGTGCGTTTCTGCTGTACTTTTTATGTTCAATGCATACAGGACATCCAATCAACTTCTTTCCCATTGCAGTCCTAAGACGAAGAAAAAAGTATACTTCATTAGTGTGATTTTAAAAAGTCAATTACAAAGGGAAAATGTTGTAATTACTTACACTGTAATAAGTTTATTTTGTAGCTCTGGTTTGGTGATAATATAAACCTGAACGGTGTCAAAGAGCTCACGAGAGATGTACTCTTCTGGAACCTGGTGGAAAATGACAAGAAAAGGGTTTTTGATATGGACCAATACAAGAAACATGTTGAGTTGGAAAATGTACAATTTAAACCAAACTACCTTGGACAAAATAAAGAAAACAAGTTTGAAGGAATTGATTCCATATTATAGATTCTATTGGCCACTATGCACAGTCTGTATATTAATAGAACACATACTTATAAAAAAATATATTGATGGCATTATGTATATTTAGTTGCATGACAGTTCGACTATTGAATGAATGCATTGTTAGTTTTGAGAGAGACAGTAATATTATATTTACTAAATGTACATTAAGACTTGTTTTACATATTTTGGATGTACTCCTGTCCCTTGATGTTATAGATGTATCAGCTATTAGATATTCTCCGGTCTACGATGGTGACACACTTCACTTACCTGATAAGTGATCTTTGGTCCGAGAGTGGGGTGAAATTCACTAAAGAATATACACTCTATGCGAGTATTCAACCCCATTGTCCTGGGCAAGTTCGATAAAAAAAAGAGGTGATAAAATGCTATTCTACCCAATCAAAAAGCATGAATGAAGGAACCATCAGTTTCTTTGCTAAAGAGGAAGCTAAAGTCGCCTGTATGTGAGTCCATTATGTACGCTTAATGTTTTGCTAACATGTTTACAACTCGTGGAAAATACCTTCGACGGGGATACAACAACATCTACGATCCAAGTCATTCATTTAATAAAGAACTTTACAGTAACTCTAGAAAAACAGCAAGCTTCTCCACAGATGAACAACAACAACGATGCCTTCAGGGTCAGTGGGAAACTGTAAAGGCTTGTGCTACGTTCAACAGCTAATACTTCAACGATTGTCTTTCTAAAACTACACACATTTAAAAACGATTTATATATATTCTAATCAATACAATATGTAATAATATACTCATTTTATTGAGTATTGCTCTACAATTTCTTCATATACTCTATTACTCTTAAAATTCCTGATTACCTTAACATCAGCATAGCGTCTTTTCTACCAAGTGCGCATGCGTGCATGATCACGTGACGAAAACACGAGAGGAGCACGTTTCGTGTAGGTTACAGGGACACTACATGAAATTACATACGCTTTACTTTAAAAAAAGAAGCCTGCTATTTGAAGAGCAGAGGAATTGATTCTCATGTTGTTCATTCAGCAAAGCCTGAATGAATTAAGATTGTGTATGTTATGTTTTAATTGCAAGTTTTATTAGCCTGCCATGTGGAAGAAATGCTTCACTATTATGGGATATAAGTCTCAGGTATTATACCCATTCATTCATTTATTCCATTTAAAGTTCATAAGACAGCAGCTGGGTATATTGTGATAAATTGTATATTATTATAAAATATGTTTGCATCAAGTGATGAAAACGATTAGTGATTTTGAGAATATATTTAGTTGAGATTGGACCATACAGTATACTCACTTGCTTATCTAGTATACTTAGTATACTAACTTGCTCTTTGGCATGCCATTCTTATGAAAAAACATCGTATACACAGGTTCATAAAAAGCTCTGTGTCGATCTTAAAAAGTCAAATTTCTGAATTATAATTTTATGATATAAATAACTGTGGATTATTCAAAATTTGCCTTAGAAAATGAGTCGGACCTAAAACTAAAGCATATTACCTGTAGTGGCTCATTTTTCTTGTAATTATTTAGCACATATATGAATAGGTTGTTCAACAACCTATTCAAATATGTGCTAAATAATTTGTTGTTGCTTAAATTGTACATATGTCTTGTAAAGGTATTGAACTCTAGCCTGGTCCAGAATAATAACCTGGTTTATATGTCACATCCAAATCTCGGAGTTCTGTAGAATATCAAGACTTGGAATTCTCGGAATTCTAGAGAATAATTCCAAGAATTCAAAATATACCTCCGACTCTGTGTATTTATTTATTGAGTTTGATAGGTTATACATAGAAATTATGTAAATACAAATCATGTAACTGTTTAAAAATAATCTAATCTTATAATGTGGATGTTGATTTAATCTTAACAAAAGAGTAGACTAATATGAGGGTCTTTCATCCACTAATGAAAGTAGAATAGCTAAACAGAAATGTGCATGCATGATATTGACTCCTGATTAACATCTTCACAGCTGGTATGCGTCCATGTGCGCTGCTGCAGTGGGCCAGCCCTCCCTGTGCACAGAATAACAGCTCTGCAGGCAGTACATTCCTGGAGTCAACATTTCCAGGAGAAAGGTGTGAGTGAACCAGAGCTGTCGAGCCACTACATAACAGCGCATGTGCTGGGGGCCAAGACGGTAAGCACCATCATAAAACACGTCATGATGGACCTTGTGTCTTTCATGTAATTTTGTCTATAATATACTTATAGGGTTACTATGTGGTCTTGAAGTATTATAAGTATTAAACTTTATATGAAAATATCTTAGCCTGACAAATTTACCTCTGTTAATTTTTCTACACAATATTAGATCTAGAGAGAAAGTTCTGAAAAAGCATCTGGCTCAGGTAACAGTTCCTGGAAATTTTCTGAAATACTGATTAGCCCTATAATATTATGCTACAGTTGTTTCTGGCAGTTGTTGTGCATGCACCATGTTCTCTATAGTTTCTTAACAGATAAACAACAATTCAAATGTATTTGTTTAGTCATATTTACGTGTTATTGTTATAACTTGTCATATTTTCACAAGCAGGCAAAAATAAGAAAATATTTGCTGGTGACTTAATCTGCAAGTTTAAATGTTCTCAAGATGACTTATTAAGTTGTGGTTTTAGACATGAAGGCCATCCATCTATTCACTGTTTTATTTATTTCCGGGTCATGGGGCAGCAGTCTGAGGAGAGAGATTTCCTATTCACACACACTGATTGGGCAGCTGAGAGACTTCTCCAGTGTGTCCTGGGCTTTCTCTGGAGATCTCCTCCCGGTGTTACATGCCCCTAACACCTCCTGCTCAAGCGTGATTGAGTTCTTCACCCTATATTTACCGCTGCACGACCCACTACTGAAAGACCACAACAGAGTAACACACAACTGTGAAGTGAAAGCAAAATTATTATTATTATTTTAATAATTCTAGATTGAAAGTGTAAAGAAGGAGACACTATCTGAGCTTCTCAGCCCTGAAGATACACAGCAGATATGGAGGCTTTGTGCCAAAAGACTTCAGAGGTGAATTTATTTAATCAATTACATAGAATCTTTATATATTCAAGGGAAATTTAACAACAATGATTGATTATTAGGATCACAAACAACCAACTCTTTGTCAATTCAAACACTTTCATCAAAGAATTATGTGTCCTTGTAACTGCATGAGAATTTTGATTTTCATGAAGTAAATGTATACAGCAAAGAAGAACTCCTTTTCTCTCCTTACTGCTAATTTACACAGGAGGCGTTACAGCACGTACGCGTTATACGCGCAGCGAACGCGCGTAACATTTTTACATGTAAACCAATGGGGATATTTACACTACTAGTGTTATACGCACTGTTTACTTAACATTATCACTTACATTTATATTGATTGTTTTAAATTATTATTGCTTTCTTTGATACAATTAGTTTCAGAGTCCAGATATTTTTGACAGCCCTAATTAAGAACAAAACATGTAAAGTTAAAGTATAGTTTTTTCTAAAGAGAGAGTTTATGACCCTATCTTCATATATGTCATGAAGGTTGCCAGTGCAGTATATTATAAAGGAGTGGGACTTCAGGGACCTGACTCTGAGGATGAAAGTGCCTGTATTTATCCCCAGACCTGAAACTGAAGTGAGTTTTAACTTGACACACACGGACACGAGTAATGAACAAGGTTTTTTATTTTTTATTTTTCAAGGTTTATTGTTTTGTCTTGTACTATCAATGTATTTCACATTACATTTTGGACAATAGAAGTGCTAGTGGATGAAGTTTTGCTCAACTTCTTTTGCTTTTAGCCAGTCCCTTTTAAAATAGTTTTATTGTACTGTGTTGTCAGTATTGTCCTTACTAATGTATGTTGCAAACATAGCATTAACAGGACTGTTAACATATGAAGTTTTATGGACTTAATACAATGGACCCTCCTTTATCACGGGTGCTACATTTTGAAAGATAACCCACAATTATTATTATTAGAGAGGCCTCCTCTCTGACAATGTTTAAAACCAGGTTAAAGACGGTTCTGTTTAACTGTGCATACAACTGAGGGATTTTATATTTTTATCTTTCTTTTTAATGTTCTGTGATAATTTATGATTTTAATGCTTTCTTGTTTTGTTCAGCACTTTGAATTGCCTTGTGTATGAATTGTGCTATATTAATAAACTTGCCTTGCCTTGCCTTACAATAGACAAAAGTAGTCTAGAAAGTAGTCTAGTATATATTTTAAGGCTGTAAAAACAAAACATGCTTTTTACACATATTTTACACATTTTGCATACTTTTTATTCTTCTTGAATGTTACTATTCTTTGACAGATGATAGATACATTTTAGGATGAATTAATCTATCCATAATAACAAATACAAATATAATGAATGTAATCATGTTTTTAGGTAATATTTACATATTCTTTCTGTGTTCTTTTTTGCAGGAGTTAGTTGAAATTGTCCTTTCAGATTTCAAGAATCAAACTGGGAGCTTAAGCATCTTAGAAGTGGGCTGTGGTTCTGGTGCAATCTCTTTAAGTCTATTGAAGAGTCTACCACAGGTACCTTTTATATAATGATGAAATATTGATTGGAACATATTTATAGTCATGCTGTCTTTGTACACATTTAGTCTTTGTACACATTTATGAAAAAAATAATTTACTTTAATAATGTTATGTATCTTGGGGTCTTGTAGATAACATAACAAATATAAGAAGAAAAGCAAGTTAATATCCACAACACAAACAAAGTCCTTTAAAAAAGGATACAATATTATATAATACATAAATGGTCCCAATACATTCTATATAAAAAGACCAATTAAAAGTGCAAGGACATTTGCTAAAGTATTCTGATTGTTTTCTTTTTCCTCCGTCTGTATATTAAGAAAGACGTTGCATTTGCAGTATTGTGATCATATAAAAGGAGTCCTATTTACTAAAGACTGCAGGAAAATATTAGCTAAATAATTCACAGGACTTTCGGACATAATCAGGTTTTGATAAATCATTGTATCCAGTTTGTATTTGTATTTACATCAGTCCAGTGGGTCGCACCTGTGTCCTGCATCACAACCTTTAACGCTCAAATTTATGGCTTGTTTCACTCAGATGTGGATTTATGATTTCAGATATGAAGAATCAAGGTCAATCTTCACAATTTCAAACATTCAAAAACCCACACATCCTCAAACACTGCCCCTCTGCTCCTCTCTTTATACGCAAAATATACTGTGGCGTTCTAATAGTTTTTGATAAATCCTGACTTAGATTGGAATGGAACATAAACTGGACTTTAGAAGAATCGGCTGCGTACAGCTTTTGTCTTGGTTAATGAAGATTTTCTAACAATAGTTATTATTATTATTAACAATAATTATTGTAGTGCATCTTGTTATGAAAATGTATTTGTGGTATTTCACACAAATGCAATGTGCATTTGTCTGAAATACAGTGCAAATGTAACTGCACAGTGCAAATGTGCACAGTGCAAATGTAACTGCACTCATTTGCTCAAATGATATTGGAGTGTGTAACTTGTAGTGAGGGAGACAGCCTCTTGTTTGTCTTGATAAAAAGGATTTTGTCTTAATTGTAACTGGTCTCATTTATAAAGCCTCTGCTCGCACAAACCAGGCTCAACATTTTTGCAGCAAATGTTTGTTAGTTTTGATTTCTAAAAAATCTTGAAACTTTTAGTTTTAGTCCAAACATTGTGCACTAGAACACAAAAGCTAGACACATAAAACAATTCCAACAATTTGTCCAAAGACGAATCGATCCACTTTTGCGTGTTTAAAGTGACTGTGATGTTGTCGTTTGGAAATTGCATTCAGTATTATTCATTAAACACAAATATATTTTATTGACTGGTAATGTGTTGAGTGATTGAAAATGGCTTGGTGAACATTGAATTATAAATATAACATTACTGTAATGAATAATGAAGGGGGAAGTATGTTGTCACAGCAAGGATTGTAAACTTTTGCTAATTGCTTTTGTGTGTGTAGCTCACAGCAGTGGCCTTGGACCAAAGTGAGGACGCTGTCAATTTAACCAAAGAAAATGCACTCAGGTACTAAAGTTCATCATGTACATCAAATATTGTATTTCTAAGGTGGGGTCGCTAATCTTCAAAATGCAAAGATAATATATGTAACTAGTTTCTATCTCTCAAACTTCAGAATCACTGCTAATAATTTAAGTTCAATTCAATTTATTCTTGCATAAATTAACAACTTGCACTGAAGCTCGATTCGAAGTGTCGGCTTCAGACTTTCACAGATGTCGATCATGCTCAGTTCTCTGATAACCCCACCTTTTTGAGAGATTTTGAAATTATTCTGTTTTTCTAACACATTGATTTTGTAGTCTAGGACTTCAAGACAGATTACAACTTCATCACTTGGATATATTCAAAGGTAAAAAAAACTTGATATGCTATTACCCATAAAATATCCGTTCATCCCCTTAATCCATTTCTGGATTGGGGGTGGCAGTCAGAGCTGCACCCAATTAACTGAGCAGCCATCCTCCTGCAGGTGCTGAGTCCACAGGAGGATGGCTGCTCCTTTAGCGACAGTATAGCCCTGATCTTTCAGCAGGGGCTTCAGGCAAAGTGGGGTTAAGTGTCTTGCCCAAGGACACAATGACAGCAGACATCATTGGGAGTTGGTGGAGAAGGTCTTGTGGTGGGAACGAACCTACAAACTTCAGGCTCAAAGGCCAATGCTCTACCAACTGAGCCACTATTTTCTTACTTTTTGTGTGAAAGTGTGAGTGGCTGAATGCAGTTAACAATCTGTGGCCAATAAGAAGTCAGTAAGAAATCATTGAATTTATATTTAATAGTGGTTTAAATCTCTGATCTGTGTTGGCGAATTCAACGATAGAATAAAGTCCTCTGAGATAATTACTGTTGTGATTTAGGACTATACAAGAATAAATGGAATTGAATATGAATATTTATAACATCAGACGCAGAGGCCGTGGTGGATCACTGCGGTGGAGTCTCAGCCGTGGTCAGTAACCCCCCGTACCTGTTCACTGAAGATATGTCGTCACTGCAGCCAGAAATACTCTGGTGAGATATTTTACATGTACTACTCTCAAGCCCCTTATTAGTGGTTTTATTGGTGCTTTCTTTAAGATAAAATGTATGATGATAGTTATGATAATTCTACATCGGTTTTATATAGCACTCTTCTGGACACTCAACACTTCACATGCCATTATTCATTCACTTCATACACAGTGGTGATAAACTACTACTGTAGCCACAGCTGCCCTGGGTCACACTGACAGAAGCGAGGCAACCAGTACGTGCCAATGGCCCTTCCGACCATTCTCACCAGCCCCATTCTAGGCAACATGGGGGAAAGTCTTGCCTAAGGACACAACATCAGTTGGGGCACTTTACAGCCACAGTCGACCAACTGTGGCCCCTGGTGTTCCCAGAGGTCTCCCATCACACTACTAATCAGGCCCTTTTATTAAGAAAATAACAATTAGAAGATCAGCAGCAATGATTCTGTTTGTAGAGATCTATACAAATGATCCAGACGCATTGAGTTGTTTAAGATTTAAAAAGATTGAGTTAATGAGGGACAAACGGGGACAAATGGGGACAAAAATGCTCTGTTTATGGGTTTGCCTTTGAGTAAAAGAGAGACCTCATTTTTTAGAAATGCAGCTAATGTTGCATGTTATTGAATTAGTCAGCACAAAAGCTCCTTTATTATGTTTCTGAGAATATGTATAGAAGATGTTTAATAAAGGCTCCTTTGAACGTTAGATGCAGACGTACATACACCCGCCCTCCTTTAGCCCATCGCTCAATGTTTATTGTCTCTATGATTCTTTATCACAATATGTTTGTAGTGTAATCTGTAGGTTTTGTAACAAAGACTGGTACATTTATATAAACACTTTTTTGTGTAGGAATAATGGAATATGACTCTTTATTGCGGGGAGAGCTCCATAAGAACTATGGCAATCATCCTGTAGATTTGACAATTACTTCCATTTGTGTCAAAGTTACAAGTGCACTTTTTTTGCAGACATTTTCAATTTATTTTCTTTGTAATTTGTTGTTTTTGCACTGATTCCTATAAAGAAAAGATTTGAATTTGATAATTTAATTCTAGTTCTAAATACATTCTAAAACATTGCGAATGGACTTTGAGACATTATTTTCTGTCTGTATTATGTTTTTAGATTTTTTGTTATATGGATTAAAGAAAAAAATCCACGGCAACTCCAGGAACCGTTTTGAGAATGTTTCACTATTGAAAATATAATGAACATATTATACTCTTGAGCGATTTATTACTATGGTAGCAGTGATAACTTTTCACCGCTCTAAAATGTCAGTAGGCCACATAGAGTGAGTTGGCAGTTACATGGTGTACTTAGGCCGTCTGTACATGTTAAATTTAAATGCAGACAGTCGAGTAGATGCGCAGATCACGTTACTCGGCTGTTTTTCATGTGTTGTGTGTAATGCTTTAGTTTCGAGGACCCTGCCGCTTTAGACGGAGGAGAAGACGGACTTACAGTGATCAGACAAGTCTTGATTTTGGCATCACGGATCCTCCAAAACAACGGGTAAAAAGAAAAAAATGAAATTCCCTTTGTTGCCCTCAAACACAAAACCAGCGCATATGAAAGGCCCCACCTGGGTTCGATTTCTAAAGGCTTTTTCATAAGAACAGCATGTACTTGCGTTGCTTTTTATGAGGTTTTTCCCCCAAAGACTTTTCCCTGAATATCGCTCCAGTTCCAACGATTTGACCTTCACACCATGCGCCACCTCCGAAAATATGCAGCTTTCCAGGAACAGTCTTTAAAGGGCACTATGAAACATTAGTGTTGTATATCTTGTGCGAATACGAAACCAGAGATGAATACATACAAACTTTTGTCGATACTGTTACGTTAACATCTAAAATCGTTAATGAAATCTATATTCTTCATGTTTATTTGCTGCATTATGTCTTTGTATAAGAGGCCCATGTTTAGAGGTGGAAGACAGTATATTGTTATTCATAGCAGCTAATAATGACCAGTGATTTACTCAAGGAAATGACTTGAGGGTTTTCTTCTGCTTTACATGCACAATATTCAAACCTCAACCAAAGCTCATTGCATGCACATTTCTCATAGATTGCCAAAACATCTTCCGAGTATTACTATTGTTTCCCTAACATGTTTAGATTTGTATTTCTATCATTATCGCCCACCTTGCAGAATCATGAGATAGAACTCCGATCTCCCTGATGGCTCTCGTGTTTCTTGTAACCTGCAGCCGCCTGTATTTGGAGGTGGATCCGAGACACCCTCCTCTTATTCAACGATGGGTAGAGTTACACCTGGAAGAGCTGCGTTATGTGGAGACTAAGCACGATTTCAACAACAGGTTTGTGCATCAGAAAGATTTAAACTAGTCATTTGGATCACTGATCAGTCTTTATATGTGAGCCCAAAGTGCATCTGAACTAAGAACTCATTTACTTGTTAATCAAAATTTACACCAGGACTGCACCGGATTTAACACTAAGAAGACCTGCGACCTTTGAAAACCTTTTGAATAAACAATAACCTAATTTGGCTACACAAAAGGTCTACACTGGGTTTAAGAAGATTGTATATAACAAACATGACCGAATTTCAATATGTGTGTCTCAATGTTATATTGAAAGATGTTGCCTATACCATCATCAGGGAATGTTGGCTGACGATAATCTAGCACAAGCGCTAATAGACGTCCAAACCAGGACTGCACTGTTCTCCATTAAATTGAGTTATTCACAATAATATTTTTTATCTTGTAATATTTTGTGCAACATAAAGCACATAATCTTATGGCCTAAATTATGGGTACACAAAATCAGGGCGCAAACTAGGATTTAGAACGGCTTACAACATCTAAACAAGAACTAATTGAGGTATAACGACAAGAGTTCCCCAGAACTACACCAGCACTAATCCAGGACTAAACTAGGATTTATCAGGATTTAACCAATATTTAGTAAACAACATGAAACGGTAACTTTTGACCTGATTGTATACAATTCATCATTATGCAGCATTTAAATCTGCATCTTTTATATTTTCATTCATTTATATTTTTTCTTTTTTGTAGGGCAAGATTTTGCATCCTTCAGAAAAAAACAAACAAACAAGAGCTACAAGATTTGGATTGAGAAACCGAAGATCCTATTACGTTGGCCGCAGCCAGGTCCTTACAGCTTCTTAGCACTCCTTCCCCCACCACTGATCCTATGTATGTTCACTTTTACAACATCTGAGCATTGGAAAGATTAAATCATTTGGGTTTCAAAACGCTTTAATCGGCCAATGTCGCGTTGCTCATTATTCGTCAAATCATGCACAGGATGGCACAGAATCTCACTCAAAGCTGAAGGTAATTATCAGGGCTTTTCTTAGAAGCCACGCTCTGCGAATCTCGCCTTGCTCCCAGGAACCATTCACCAGTTCTGTGAATCCAAAGGAGAGCGTGGTCCTCCCCTTTTGTCCCGTTGCTGACTAACATACAATCAGCGCACATTAAGAATAACAAAATGTACTTTCAATTTAAATGGAATGATAATGTAAGACTCATCAACACATTTCACTTCTCTGTTTTGTTTGTTTACAAAAACAAGTTTTTTTTTAAACTTAGGAATTATGAGGTTTTCCAATAAAGAATACAAGTTTAGAATCTAGAACAGAGGAAAACAGAAACAGTAACTTCTGCATTTACACATCAACTCGAAAGTGTTGAAAAGCTTTAGTAACAAGTCACAAGATAAAACTAATTTTACCATTTGCTGACGGTTGTCCTAATACTGCTGACATATACACAGAAGATTCAGAATAGGAAAAGACCACATCAACAAACACCATGAATAGTTTTAATACAAAATGTACACATGTAAAATGTAGAAAAAAAACATATTTTACTAAGAACAATCAAATGGCATTAGAGACACCTCTGTGGATCAAGTCTGGATTTGTGAGGTTAAAGCAGGCCTTTTCCACATCCAGAATACAAGATGTATATACAAATAATGATTTTAGTTACAGTACTGAGGTGGTGAGTAGTTTTTGTTAAAGAGTGCTTGATGTCTCTCATAAATAAGGTTGACCCTGTGTCCAGTATTGTCTGCTGCCTGGCGTCTACGGTCGCTTTCAAATCTTGATTTATTTACAGGCAACGACAACAACCCTATCACAGTTTCCTTTGAAAAGTCTGCTGAGAGTCAGTTGAATGCGGGGATGATGTCATGCCTCATACCTTGAAGGGATAGTCCTGTACGTAGCGGAGAAGCGGCCCTGGAAGTGGAAGCATTTCGGTGCAGTCCGTGTGCCGGTTTATCACCAGTCGCGTGAGATGCTGCAGCGTCGGCAGTCCCTGAGGCTTGTACACGGCATGTTTTAGTTTCAGCACAATCGAAGTATCTTGAGCGTTCTTTGAATTTGGTTTTTCCTGCTCTTTCTTCTCCTCCGCGTGCCTCTCTGGTCCCATGTAGTGCTGCACCAGACTGGGTATATTTGGGAACGTGGAAAGGCTGGGGCGAGCCGGGGAGCTAGAGTCCAGTAAAAATCGCGATGCTTTGTATTGGATTCGTATACTGGTGGGACCTCGCGCCGTCCGCACCGATAATGTGAGCATGTACATGGGGTGGGAGCTGTCTCGGATCAAAAAAGCTCCTTCCGAGGCCTCCTGTAGTGCAGAGTGTGCCTGTGCTGCTGTTATGGCACCCCAATACCATCCTGGAAAAAAAACCAGACATGTATGTGTTTAGTATTAGAGTACAATGCGTCTGTTCCAAGTTAAAAACCGTTTCCTCCACTACTAAACTCTACACCACTGACATTAGTGATTAAAGCATGGAAACGAATCAGATCATCTCTAGAATCACAATGGCTCTATGCTGTACACAATGATTACCTGAATTTTCCAGGTAGTAGAAGTTACTGGCAATTGTCTGCAGGTCTTTAGCGGGGTCCCAGAAAAGAGGGGTGGTTTGAAGGCAAGAATTTGATTGTACATTCTCTGTCCGCATGCCCAGCAGACTGTCCGGAGATGCAGAAGCGGGCAGAAGAGCTCGAGGACTGCAAACAAAAACATATAGGGTTAAAAGGACATGTATTAGGACGTGTATGTATTGTTAAGTAGACATTAACTTAACAATACAGCCATATATTTGATCCTTTATCCTCTCTTCCCCTCATTCACCCAAAATGGTATATCTAGAGCTTGTACTAATTGAAAAATATAACATGTTATATTGATAGTTTCTGATATTGATACCACTGCGCTAAATCAAACATGATGTAAGCAATTGTAATTTGGGGTTTCTAATAAGCCTGTGCATAAACAACGGTTTGTAATACCAACGAAGTAGCTATTTTATTCATAAAATGGCCTAGTTTTACAGAATAGTGAACAAAGAAAAGGAGAATCTTAACAAAAGAACTTACCCAGGCACACAAAGAATCATACTATTGCGTAATGAATGGCAGTCCCACTTGGTTTGAGTGCTGCCACTATTGCTTCCACGTATAAAAATCAAGAAATACTGGTAAGGATTTTTTTCAAAGATTATGGACGGCCAAAATGTCTTGATCGCTGTGACTTGACAGGAATTCTCTATTAGTCTCGGTACGCGGAAATAGACAGGTCCGTGTGCGTCCTGCTGCTTCTCTCTTTTCCGCCAAAGGTTTGAAGAACACGGAATATGAGCGCGTCCACAAGATCTTATTCATTGAAATCTCTGAAACGCGAAGTCCTCGGGTCCGTGTGCCTTGCGGTTTGGAGTGTCTTGTCAGGGGAATGAGCTCCAAATGTGTGAAGGACGCTGTGTATGGGCTCGGGTTTTAAAATTTACAATTTCCTAGAAGTCTATTCTGAGAACTCCTCCAGCGCTGGGGGCTGACGTCAGCACGGCGCGCTCCACCAATAGGGCTCCAGCGCGCATCGTTTTTACGCACTGGCAACTCGTAACCACAAACTACGTTTCGGGCTCCGGAAAAAAATGTCTTTGTAAAGTCGTCCTCTCTGGATTGACGTTTGTCTATCACCCCGGTTCCTGTACGGTAGTTTACGGTGAGTTTTCTTTCGGCTCCGGTGTCTGCGCGCTCCCGGTCCGTTCCGATGAGAAGCTGCTCCTCGCCGCCGCTGCTGTGTGCGTGAACGTGCGCGTGAGTGAGCGCGTCGCTGCTGCTTCTGTTTATCCGCTTTCCAGGAACCGCGGTCGCTTGGTCTCCGCCCACCAGCGCGCAGCTCTGGCTCTGCCTTCATTCTGGGAACTGGCCGCCTCGACATTACAGATAATAGGAATGCACACGGCTATTTCCAGTGAAGCAGATTTCCCTCGATCCTGGAGTTTTTCCCCGGATCCAGTATGATCATTATACTTTGGAAAACAACGTGTTATTGTTTTGTCCGCCCAACATAAAAGAGAGAATTTTGATAATAACCTTGTTTGTTGTTGACACAGACTCAGACTTTCACATTGTAAAACAGGTTTTGCTGATCCATCTCCTGGAATGATTTATCCGGAAACAGTAGGGTAGAAGTAAAAGTCACCGGTTTAGTATTTACCAAATTAGAGAGACAGAGTCAAAGGGCTGAAAAGCTTTACATTATCCTATTTTACTTTGTGATCTCTGGATAAGAGCTTAAGTTGACCCTCGCCCTACTTATTTTTAAAATATGTTATTGCCTTTGAATAAAATGATATAGATTAGATTTATACATTCGTAGATATTTTATTGAATCCCACAGGCTGCAGTTTGTTCAGTTTGTCATATAACTTCATGAGAAGTGTCATGTGAGAGGCCATATCCACGACTAAACACTCTTATTTGTCACCTTTTAAAAATACTTTTTCAACAAACAAACACATGTTCTTTCTGTGTGATTTCATAGACAATTATTTTTATGTGAGTTTAATTTTATTCAAATGAAATGTGAAAGAGTGTCGCCCTGAGATGTCAAGAAAAACAAGCCTTTTTACGGTTGTTTTCTCTGAACTATTTCCTCTTAGGATTGCGTACTGGCAGAAGACTTTATCTGCATTCATTCAATAAAAATAAATATTGTACATAGATAATGGACATTGGACTGGTAACCTTGGCATAGAAGAAATAATTAAACAATAGTATAATCTATAATATAAATAACAAGTATTCATTTTTGTATTATTTTAGTTTAAGTTTGTATCTACCTTTCACTTAAATAATATATTAATCAACTAATCAACAATATTCTGTTGGCAGATCATTTCACCCCATATTGACTTTTTGCCTGGTGTTTGTCCGTTGAATGCTCTGAGCAGGACTATTCCGTGACCAAAATGAACCAAATTACAGAAAATACACCAAGTAAATTAGCTTGTAATGTTGGAGATTTTATCTTTTATAATTCATTATGAATGAGATACTGTACTTGATGGCTCTGTGATTTTACCCTCTTTAGTTGTGTGAGCCATGTTATTTTATTTATGAATCAAATTAGAAGAGTAATTTTGACAAAATATAAGATACTTTGACATTTAGAGAATTGCAGTTGACCTAAATAGTTGCAGTTTTCTACTTGAGACTTGTCAAATCTGGTTTCAAACAACACTTCAGAGAAAAGAGCTTTTACACCTGTTATTCCAGCTCGTTCTTATCCCAAAGAGCTCCGTCTCCAGGTTTTTACTAGAAATTCCCAAATGAGCTTCAGTTCTAAGAAGTCTTGTGGACTTCGCCAGCAGGAGGTTGATGAGCAAATGCAGTTCACTGCTGGAAAAGTTTACAGCCACAATTGTCGGTATTTTTCATGTCGTCTATAAATCTCGGAGATAAACAAGGAGGATTGTTTCTGTGAGTAATGGTCAGTGTAAAACAACAGTAAGTTACTGTAGTTTTTGTTTTGTTTTTAAGTTACTCTGAAATGTAACTAGTTAGATTATAACTCGCATTGTCACACTGTTTACTAATCATTTTACTGGAACAAAAAAAAACATTCAAGTTATATGTCGTTTGTGTGCAGTAAAAAAGAAGGTACATTGGTTTCATTTATTGTTTTTAGGGGTAGTGGAATCCGGAGTACCCAGAGTAAACCTACACAAACACAGGAAGAACATGCATACTCCACTCACTCAGAAAGGCCCTGTTCCGACTGGAATTTCGAACTCAGGACCTTCTTGCTGAGAAGTGAGAATGCTATCCACTCAGCCATTGTGCCGCCCAAAGTATTTAGCATTAAATCTTTTTGGAGTAACATTGCCAATGAGACAAAGACTTATTGTGTCTCTCTCTTACTGTTGAAAGATTTGGAGAAAATGCAGAGAGATTCTGAGTACAATGAGTGCATTAAAATAACTATTACATAGCAGCAGTGCACATGACGAGCTGCAGGTTTGGACCCAGCTGTTGACATCTGTGCTCGATCCTAAAAGCTAGACTCTGTTGGGCTGGTTTTGAAATGTACCTGTGATAGACTTCCAGGGTTCTTTTGTCACACATGCATTCATTTTAATGGGAAATTAATATTATGATTAAGAGATCCTTTATTTGTCCCACAGTGGGGAAATTTCAGTGTTGCATCCCAATTTTTAAAACTGTCGGAATGAGGACACAGTGAAAGATAAGTGAACAATAACACTACGCTAAATTAAAAATGTCCAACTTTAGCATTACAAAGAAGCAAGTATAAAATCTCCAACTTAAGCATAATAAAGGAGCCAGAATTACTGTATGTCTCAAATCTCTGACTTTAGCATAATAAAGAAATATGAATGAAATACTGTATATTCAAGTGCAAGAACTATATAGTTGCATAATTAATCTGTCGCATTGTTTGAGAGATTGCTTTCTGAGGTGAACATTATCAGCGATTCTATCAAAGCAGAGACGACTGGAGGCGGCAGAAGAGGTGCCAAAATAACCACTATAATTAATTGCATGTCCTTTCAAGGAAACCAAGGAAAATGCTTTTATCCACTACATGTGAGCAGAGAATCTAAAATGAATGAGCGTGTCTCACTTGAATTTAGAGCGTACTTTCTTGGACTCAGAAAGGTCGAGCCGACTTTAGGCTACGTTGAGTGTTCACGTTTACATTTGTTTTTAAATCTTTGAACGGACTGGACCCACAGAACGACTCGGACCTGATCCAAATCTACCGTCTGGTCCATGCACCGGGGTCTGAGGTCCAGCTCTAGCTCTTGGTGCCTAAGATGAGGCTTAGAACATGGAAGGACATGGCCTGCAGTTGTACTATTGACCCAGACTATATGGACTATATGAGTGTTTTAAGTTTTGTTTTAAGACTCACTTTTTTCTATGGGTTTCAACACAGAATCAGTTGTATGGTCCTCTGTGTTATTTGTTTTTAATAATGTTTTTCCCCCGCATTTGATTTGACTTGTTTTATGGTTTTGGAGGAAGTGAATTAAATGGGAAATTTTGTATCACTTTTTTCCTTTTTTTTTTAATAACTTTTTTTACCTGTGCAGCACTTTGGAAAAACTCTTGTTTATAAGATGTGCTACGTTCATGAAGTGGATTGGATCAGATCACATCTTGTAACGTCACAGTCTCGTGTCTTTATGAACTTCTCTGTTGTTTTGGCTTGTCTCTGAGCAGATATTACTTCAGAGTTAGCGTGTGGATTTCATGCGTAATGCCGTATTGTGGATTATTCCATCCAAAACAACATTTAGATTGTTTTACATGAGGATAAGCAGGCGGTGGACCCTGCACTTTTATGACCAGCAATGATCTGTTTGTGAAGTCCAGGAAGTTGCTGCTTTTTATTTAAACTCAAATAAAAGCCTGTTTACATTCCACCCCTGATCATAAATTATGAGTGTATTGTTCTGAATAACAGCAGTAGTTTCTTAAAAAATCTTGGTGTACAGAGAGTAATGTGGGGTGCTAGTAGATATGTGTTCAAATCTGGATCTTAATCTGGATTATTTTTACAAGACCAGAGAAAATGTCTATTTCACCTTTATTTGTATCACACATTTGCAACAACACCAGCTGCCCAAAGTGCTCCACAGGCACTAAAAAACAAAGTTCTGAAATGGAAAGCCTTTTTTTAATTTTTTTCCTATGATATGCTTCCATTACATACTCATCTGCAGTCTTTCCATTTGGCATGTGGTTTTGAATGCAGCATATTTTCAAACTTAAAGCAATGAATAATGTCAACTTTTTAAAACGCACCTTTAATACAATCTATCTCATAATCAGACGGATGCTTTAGACTTCAGTAGTGGTCGGAGTGTGGAGCGCACAGTTTATCCCGCTCCCTCCCTTCATCACCAGATTACAAAGAAAAGCTTCTACCAAGAATGAAACCCAGTACAGTACATCAAGTGGTCTACGAACTGCAAGCAATTTTAGTTTCCCTGTGGCCTGCTTCAAACTCAGCCACAATTTATATTTTACCAGGAAAACCATCTCACAAACTCCCATGTTTTGGATACGACCTAAAGTCAGGACACAAAAGAAAACTTGAAATATTATAATAAGTCATTGTTAATTAAAGATATGCTTGAAAACTCCATGTAGTGAGATTTGATCATTAATCTTTGATGAACTTTGAACTCGAAATGATCAAACACTGAACTCAAGTGATAATTTTAGATAGATAATTTATGCATATATTAGCACCCTCTCTCACAGAAGATTGAAATATGTAGATCTAAGTTTTCATGCTACACAATAAACAAAAATAGTATTAGCCATTGCATCTATATTAACTGTATCTCACAATCATTTAGTTTGTAGAAATAATTGGAGATTTTATACTTATTTCTTTATTATGCTAAAGTCAGAGATGCTGTTCTTAGTTCTTGCTTCCTTGTTTCCTTGTTATGCTAAAGCTAGAAATGTTATACTTGCTTCTTTTTTGCTATAGTTTTTATTCATTTATCTTGTGTTGTGTGCGCCTCATCCTCACTGTTCTGTACCTTGTGATGCAACACTGAAATTTCCCAACTGTGGGATAAAAAAATCTTAATCTTTTAGGGGCAATACAAGCAGCTGACAGAACAATTTAAAAATGCTGTTTAACGAACGTTTGTTTTTCAAAATATCACGCTTTCAAATATGCAGATGATCCTGTGTTTCTCAAGCAGTGGTGCATGTACCGCCGGCGGCACTTGGGCTTCTCCTAGTGGAACAGGGATTCTTCTGCTGCGGCTGTTTGCAGTTCTCCTCTCCCGGCGTCTTCATTTTAATTACCGGAAAAAAAATTATTTCTCAATTCAGGGTATTTTTGTTCCATTTTCTTAGTAGAGGCGCATTGCTTTGTGACCTTCTTGTTTTGTCACCATGGGGACCGTGACAAGGACAAGGGCTACGCCATTTTGGAAAACTGACAGAAGCCATTTGTCGATTCTAACTGTCCTTGGGGTAAAGAATGATAATGATAAATAAATAAATAATGCTGCAGTGCTGAGCTGAGTCGGATATGTTTGTTGTCTTTTCTTTCCCTGACTTTTGAATCCTATGGACCAAATGTATCTATACATTTTGATCATTGCAAACCTGCTTTTTCTACTTGATCTGTTGGTGGTATCTGTATGTCTTCTGGCACGTACTACACAATGAAATAACAGATAGATAGATACAGTATATAGATACTTTATTGATCCCCGTAGGAGAAATTCAGGTGTCCAGTCGCAGCAAAAATAAAAAATAAAATTGATCATTCTAAAAAGTTAAAAATACTAATAATCAGCAGCAGTCCTTTAGGTCACAACAGAAGAGGTGGTGAAGCCTCTGGGTGGAGCAGGACGGGTCACAGTAGCAGAGGTGGAGTAGCCTCTGGGTGGAGCAGGACGGGTCACCAGATGGAGTAGCCGCTTGGTTCGGACCATTTTCTCTGCTCTAGTCCAAAGAAAAATGCTAAATGCTTCATTAGCATTTTCCAAAAAGTCAGCATTCAACAGCCACACACACACACACACACACACAGAGATAGCCATAGAAATAGGGTCAGCACTAGATCATATACGGAAGCGGGACGGAAGCGGAAGTAAATAAAATAACCCCAACCCAGTCTTAACCCTAACCTTAACCATCTTACTCAGACACCTAAAACTTAACCAGTCACCACTTAAGGACTTATTAGTCTAAAACTAAATCGAAAGTATGATCGTTACTTCCGGTTTCATCCTGATTCCGTATATGATCTAGTGCCGACCATAGAAATAGTGCGTCTTTTTCTCTATTTACAACACAAAATGATTCAAATTTTGTTTGCATTTTAAAAAACCAACTGCAAAACATTGTAACGCCACAGTATAAATAGGTTTATTTGTCATTTCATTTTTCAGTTTTTTACAAATATGAATAAAAAACCTTATGAGTCTAAACATGAAATGAATACACTTGTGTTTGTAACAAGTCAGTGCAATAAGCCTGAACAAAACAGCAGCTGTTTCATGCTCTGTCGAATTCAGACAAAAATATTGGATGAAATGAAGCACTATGATTTGTGATAACATTAAAAAGGATGACAGCGTGATTGCACAACAACATAATGTCATATTTCAAGTCTTTGCTGTGGTCTGTACAACAAGGAAATCAAATCAACTCAAGGTTTGGGGGCTAGAACAAAGAGGCCAATAGGTTGTGTCCACATGACGCCACCGCTTTCAAAAGACACAATAACAAGCGAGAGAAGTTCTGCTTAAAGACATTAAAAAATAGTTCCTGACAGTTTGGTCTAATTCTTCGCATTCTTGAATCTGTCAGTACGTATCAACTTGAAAGAAATTTGTCAATAGAAGTCAGTGGTTATATTCAATTATACACACAATTGATGCCAGAAGAGATTAGATTCATTCGCTTGACTTTTACGGGCTCAATCCCAACCATTTAGTATCCGAGCTCAGGTTGCAACCATTTCCTACATCTAGGAATGTAGTTAATGTGTACGATCGTATCACAAAAGGCCTGTGGGTTTGATAAGGATGTGTTGTGTGCTAACAAGTGGGTGGATGTGCAAACCTTGATAAGAAAGCGCTGAATGTTTCCTGTGATGTTCATAACATTCTAGCTTTTTTAGGTATTTATGCTGCTGTATGGACACAAATTGTACTCTGTTTGTCTGACTGTATTTTTATTATTTAGATAATGGCTCAGATAGCAGTTTTGACATAATTGCCAAACCTACCATCATAAAAAAATGTGAAATAAATTAGCCCCATGGCATGCTCAGTTACAAATTTGCATCATACATTTCAAAGGTTTTGTCAAAATAAGGATTTTGGTTTCATGTATTTAGAAATGTATGCACCTAAGAACTCCATAAAGTTAATATGCTAAATTGCCAAATTTGGTCATTGAATGCTGCTTTCCAAAGGTTTTTTGTTTGTTTTACCCATCCCCATTGATTTAAAAAAGCACAAATAATTTTTTCAACACATTTTTATGTATGGTTCTATGTGGTTAAATATTTTGACGGTAGAATGTTTAAGAGGTTAAGATTTACATTTTGTATTTTTCATTGTCATCTGGGAATTTTAAACATCAAAATGAGTCAACAATTTATTTGCAATTACCGGTTTTAACTTGGTTTCACCTCTACACCGCCGTTCATATGGGATTGCAACATAACCACATCGGCCTCAAGAACACAACCTATCTGAGGCCTCTCTAGCTGTCCGGGATGGCGTCTCCCGTGCCCCTGATGAGGCGTTTATGGCCCCGCTTTCCCGCAGGACCTCGGGGCTTGGCGAAGGCCTGTTTGTGGGCGTGTTGTTTGGGGTGGACCTCGTCGTAAAGGAACTCTTCCGTCAGTTCATTGCCGTCATCGATCTCCAGCTGCAGGTTCAGACAAGAACACAGCAACAGAATAAGTGGTTTTTCAGGGGAATGAAAGATACAAAAGAAGGACTGATTTTTTTTTAACTCAGAGCAGTTCAAAAACAAACAGCCTCGAGTTTATGAGTTCAACACTCGCCTACATGTACCTACATGGCATTAAATATTTTGAGCCTACTCCAACCCTCGATTCATTTTGATCCAGTCATTCTCAATGTTTAATGGGAAAATACATTTATTAAACAGTACCTAAAGATGACTTCAGTAATAGTAGCATCATCATGACAGGTGTCTATGAACGCCAAACACACTTTGAAAAAAGTATGAGTTTACATGTTACATGATGTTCTTTTATCCTCTAAATAGAAATACACTGAACATTAGCTGTATCGCTCTCGCTAATCGCCTTAAGTCCACAAAATATGACCATACTACATTATACCATAATGTGCTTGTAGTAACTCTAGTTTGGTTAAAAAATAATAATAATTTATGTTCTACAAGTTACTTCTCGTCAACATCAATCCATGTTTAAAAATGTGTACATTTAGCAGGGGATATACAAAGTATGGGCCAATTACAGCCCTCAGATCTTCTGACAACAAAACCTGCCCCAATGTTCACTTGTCGCATTGGGTAATTCTTTATGTCTATATCTCTATAACATCACATTGAATAGTAATATTCATCTTAATTGTTGGTATTTCCTTCAAATGTCAATTATAGCATGTCTGAAATGATTATTGTTTTTATGTGAAACATTTGAACACCCCTGCTACATCATAGATTCTCAATTTATATGTCCAGGAGTTCTTCCAAGTTTTCCTTGACGAAAGGTAGTATTGGGACCTTTAGGATGAAAGAGTGTATTTCCCCATCCCCCAGTTCTCCCATATTTTGTACCTTTCTTGCTATTTCCAAATGATAATCTTTCTCCACTTCATCCAGTAGCCGGCTCTTGCAACTGGAATACAGCATGCGTTCTTTGATGCTGCAGCTGTACCCAGGCATTGAATAGATAAACACTGAAGGGAAGAGGATGTGAACAGTTACACAGAAGCCTACTAATCCTCATTCTGAGATGTTTCTGTTCCAGTATTTTTGTGGAAAGCGTGCGTACCAATAGAGTCGAGTTGGTCTCCTTCATGACAGTGTTTGTAAAGGAACAAGTGGTATCGGGGAGTGTCTTTGGGAACTCTTCGGGGCAGTTCTCTGATGTTTGTTGGATTGGAGTGAACCAGTTCAATCGTCTCTTTTTCTATGTCCAACCGCTGATGTGAAAGAAAGAACACATTTAGTTGAGCCCATGACAAGTGTACAGAATTGATTAGTAATGAGTGTGGCATGTACTGGGAAGTCTCTATCCATTTTGTCTCATTCATTCACACAAACATCCATGTATCTGTATTATTTAAATATTATTCATAACACACTGTACTTTTATAATATTTGGACACTCATACTTTTGAAGCCGACGACACTAACCCTAATATAGAGCATAAGTATGGCCTTCATATATAGATGGATAGAAGAAGATCATAAATATGCACAAATCATTTCTTTTTTGGGATTGAAACCTATGAGTGTGTCCATGGATATGATACTTGGAATATTCTGAATAAGATTAAACTGTAATTTTATGGACATTACAGACATTTAGTGACCTTATATGAGAGGAATGATACACTTTGGGCGTCATGCAAAAGTGCCAAGATAGTGCCATGTATATGGCAAGATAATAATAATAATGAATGATAAAATAATTTTCCTTTGATCTAACAGACAATCCATGGTGTATATATTTTACATAGCTTATATTTTTTTAAATGTCTTTGTTTGCTTCTTTCACAGCGGTTGTTGCGCTTTTTTCCAGAAAGTTAATCGCACTTTTTATCCCTTGATTTAGATTTGGTATTTGGATTAGAGCAGATTAACTTCTTAATAAACAGTACTAGGAAAAGCCAAATGTTCCAGGGAGATGAACAATAGCGATGTTAGCAAACTCACCAACTGTATATAATTAATGCATTTTTGTGATAGGAGATTCAGAGCTCTCTTTGCCGACTCCTGCAGTGGAAATGACAAGCCCTGAAGTGTCTGCTTGATGTCCATGCTGATCTCCGCTTTCACCTGAAGGGGGCAGTGAGGAGACACAATCGCTCAGTGTGGCCTTCACTGTGTCCAAGAACACTATGTCCAAAAGCACATCAAATCATGCATCAAACTGTTATGAAATAGTCTTCTCCACACATGTGACCAAAGCCTTTCATGATAATACACTTAATCATATCAGAATATTTCTCTATTTATGGCAGCTTTCTCATGTGTCGTGTAGCCAACCTTTGTCCAGTATTATCCTCCACTACTACTAAGAATTTTCTCTATATATTATCTTTCTGAATATATAAACAGTACCTATGCATACTAATGTCAGTAAGTAAGTAAGGAATGTTTCTTTATGTAGCACCTTTCACAAAAAACACACATTAAAAGTAGTATACAAGTCAATAAAATAAAAACAACTAAAAGACGAATATACAGAATAATCATAAAGACACTTCAGATCATGCAGCGCTTTTAAAAAACATGCTCTATCTCAAAAGTAGTTTGAATATCCTTATTATCTTTAAATGAAAAAGTGAAATGCAAATACTGAGATAGCTTTTGAGAGATAGCACATCACACTGCATTCTTGGACATTCATGAGGTTTATCAAGGACACATTATATACTGCTCTCATTGCTGGAAATCTTGTGAGTTTTATTTTCTAAGTAAAGTCCTTACACACACAGGGAATGCAACATGTGGCACTAAACAGAAAAAGGTTAGACAATTTAAATGTCAATGTTACTGTGTTTTATTTCTAGTGTACATTTGTTCTTTTTGGTTGGCCTCAGTATTAATCCACATAAATTTAAAATATATGATAATAATCTATGAATATTGACCAATGCCAAAATTAGTAGTAGATAAAAAAAAATAAGTTGGACTTTGCACAACATACCTGTTTAACTCTGCCCTGAGAAACAAAAGACACACAATTTAGCAGCAGTTGAAATATACATAAAAATAAACTCATCCATGACCTCTGACCTCTGTGATTTTGATCCTTTGCAGTTCTTGTTCAGCCATCGTGAGGGGGGCGGGGCCAGAGCATGACATCACGTGGTGCTGGTATCCGAGTAAACACACATCCTCCTGGAAGGAAATCAAAACATATTTACCTTTATTACGAGACTGGGACGATCAAAACACAGGGACGCTCATTTAGACTCATTTGGACCAGAGCAGAGAAAACTTTCTGAACCTAGCGGCTAATACAATTGTTAGCTTTTTAAGTATTATCTATGTATTTGTTTTGGTTGTAGTACGATTGATGTTTGACTGTCTGACCAGCAGTGGTGTCCAAACTTTTAGACCAAGGGCAAAGCGCTGAACTTCAGACCAAGTGAAGGGATAAACAGGAACATACAGAGCTACTACTGAACTCAAATCAATAGTTGAATTTGGCACACACAGATTTGTATCCATTCATAACAAAGCAAGAGGACACACTAACAAGATGAATCCTGGCTTCTTAGGGACCAGACAAAAAAACAAAAACAATGTAACATGATTGTAGCAACATGCAGAACAGCCATCCATTTTTCTTCCCTTAATTCATTTCAGGGGGGGGGTGTCAGTCAGAGCTGCACCCAGTACACAGAGCACCAGCCCCTCACTGATCCTCCTGCAGGTGGTGAGTCCACAGGAGCTGAGATCGTTCAGTGGGAGCTTCGGGCAAAGTGACGTTAAGTGTCTTGCCCAAGGACACAACGACAAGAGTCATCAGTCTTGTGGTGGGCTCGAACCCACAACCTTTTGGCTCAAAGGCCAATGCTCTACCAACTGAGCCACTTTCGCCCCCTTCAAATAGAACGTGTGAGAGCCAGTATAGAAAGGACATATTGGACACGTCTGTGCGTGTCTGTCCATAAGTTCAGGAAGAAGAAAATCCTTGAAGCAGTGGTTGTGAACTGGAACTGAGTGTTTTTGAAAATGGGAAAGATAGACTGGAATCATCCGTCTTGTTCTCTGACAGCGCTCTAACAAAATACAAAATACAAACATTGGCCGCATCACTATTTACCAAAGGCAGCAGAGTTTAAAGGCTTATTGCCCAATTAATCTGAACAAATCTGCCAAGACTAAGTATATTTTTATCTGATTTCCTGTGGATTTAGATTCCCCCTTGAAGTGTGAAAACTTGCATTAAGCACACAATTATTAATATCAGACCCACCACTGGAATTCCAAATAAAATAATCAACCTATACCTTGATTTTGACCTAGTCCAGGACCACAGCCTTCGGTTTCAGAGTGTGTTCTCACTTGGACTAACATGCATAGAACCACTAGCCTGGTGAGACCAGAATGATTCCCCTCTGTATTTTTTTATCCAGCGGTGAGTCTGGATTTTTCCAGGCTATAGAACCACAGCAGGAGTTTTCCAGACAAGTGTGAAACCAATTTGTACACATAAATACATACAAACTCAGGGATTATTAAGAGTTTTATATCCTATCAAAGTTTCATACAGAACACATTTTGTCCGGATGTCATTGTATCACATTTACCAATAACTAGTGATATTGTTGTGGTGGGGTTTTAGAAAGGAAGGGTCTCCAAACCGTGTGTTCGGACCTCGATTGTTCCGAAAAGCTCGTACTTGACGTGGCCTCCTCCAAACTCCTTCTTGACGGTGGCGCGTGTGGCAGCATAAAGCATCTTTTGTTTGACCTGAAAACATAGTGACAAACGTGTTGTGAAAACTGCAAAGAACAGAACTGGAAAGAGAGAAGGCTCAATGTGTATTTGGAAGGTAGATTGGAAAGTCTATTTTGGTCCTATTTTTAATGAATAGTTGGTCTACTTCTACAGAAACTCTATGCTATCTATATGATATCTTGTTTCTTCAAGGTTCCTTCACTAATTGCAACAACCTATGAACTAACTCGCTGGTCTAGTGTCTCATCGACCCGACGAGATCAAAGTGAGCTCAGAAAATGTACCTGAAGCTGTTTAGTCATTTTTCACAAAACTATCATAAATATAATATGCATTCAATAAATCCAATGCCTGTGGGACGTACAGGAGACTCATCCGGGGACCACGAAATGAAGATCCACTCATAGCCCAGGGCATTGTGGGAGTCCAGGCGATACAGGAAGTAGCTTGGCTCTTGGTTGTCAAGGAGTGGAAGCAGGAGATGGTCATAGTCCTGATCCCAGCTCTGCTCTGGTTCCCTGAAGGCCCCCAGCACAAGCTGCTCTGAAATCAGACAAGAACAAATCCTCACCATGTCGAAGTGTTCAGTGAAAAACTGTTTTCCGATTGATTTATTAGTTTTTAGTTTTGGCTCATGATACAGAACACAAAGCGAAGCTCGGTATCATAACTAAAGACAATAAACATATTTAAAATGTTATTCCTTTCCTCCAACATTATTCAAAGTTCTTCATTGATTAATGACACATCACAGTTACACAAGCCATAGAACTGTTTCATGCAGCTTAATTTCTAGAAAACAGAATTTCTTTAGCTGTGACATGTACCATGTACCATGTTATTGTGGAAAGAAAGACATTTCAGAATGATCTTATTATGAGTTTCTTTGTCTTGATAAGAATTGCACTTGCTTTTCATAAAGTGACTGCCTCTGAGATGGAGTCAGGGCTTTGTAACACACTGGGTAGACACTGGGTCAAACGCTGGTTCAGACACTGGGTCAGACTATCCATGCATACATAACCACATTTAACACTTGAGGGCAGCATCATGGATACTAGTGTAGGTCAAATAATACAACATACTTTACTTGCTGGACTACTAAGCACGCCTGTAGATAAACCGCAACAGCTAAATGTTAAGAGAACGTTTATTTTGTCCACATAAATACTGCATTTGAATACAAGCCGCAGGTGTAATGTAACACTTCACAACAGATGCAACAAAGCTGTTCGACAACTGTTTTAACACACTGGACTCATGATGATCAAAGCATTTGTCTCTCACTCCTCACAGAGATGGAAGCAGGTTTAAAGAACTTGAAAAAAGTTACTGATGATCTTAATGTATTTATTGTGAAAAATCTGCATTCGCTGATTGTCAAGTTGTGTTCATATTTTGGTTGTAAAGCAAAAGCAGTAAGACATAATGCATTTTTTTATATCATATATTTTCTAGATAGGAAATTGGTTTGAATTCAAGTGTGGATTTTACATATGTGTTTTTACATGTAAGATAGCCATTATTTTATACAGCCTGTACCAGTGCCTGACCTGCCAGAACCATACAATCTTAAAATCAATTAAAATGATTCACAAATACGAGTTGGTCAAGTTTCTAATTTCATGGGCACATGGTGTTTCACTCAACACACATGAATATGTCCTGTAAGTCAAACAATAGAACCGCCATTCCCAATATGTACAAACTGAAATGAGTAGGATGGTATGGTAAGACTAGGCCAGAACTGTCTTCCTCAAAAATCTTCAAAAAGCAACTGGTATTCACTGTAAACAGCAATTTGAAAAAGAGAAAGAAGAAGAAGAAGAAGAAGAAGAAGGTCAGAGGCACAACTGACTTTACAGTAAAAATCCTTAATTATCTCAGGACACCAACATGTTATGACCAATGTTGTATTCTATTTCTCCCCCTTGAGCTGTGTCGGTTGACAGTAGGTGTGTATATTGGGTGGATAGCTATTTCTCCATCATCCATGTAAACATATTCAGCATTTAATTTCATATCATAGATTGTGAAGTTATGCAAATGCCCCTTTTGACCATTTTCCTAGAAAGAAGACAAGCTAAGTAGAAAGATAATATTGAACCTAAGCCAATTTCCAACATAAGTAACGTAATTAGGTCGATGTGTTTTGGGACAATTAGTGCAGAAAAGTCCACAGCGTCCTTGTAGGGCCGGGGGATTTCCTGGTACCTCTCGGGGCTGTTGCTATTCCGGGCTCTGACACATTCCTCCTCCACCAGCTCACTCATGCCATACTTTCCACCAGTCATTCTTTTCAATAGCACTCACTAAGACTGTTGTAATGGCTGAGATTGTATGAAACGTGATGTTAAGAAACAGAATGAGCTGTTTTAAAGAGACTTTCATTTCCAAGTTCGTAAGGATTTCACACTTTGTGTTAGTGGTGCTTTTAACTGTAATCCATCTTGGTTTGCATATTTTACTCACTTTTAGTACAATTCTGGTGCTGTTTGTAAAATGTGTGACAATTTTGCTTTTGTTCTTTATTGGAACTGTTTAATCATCGTGTCGGTTTTGTTTATTAGCTCGTCCAATCCTAATTTAGGATTGGAAGAGCTTTGCAACGGGACATCTTTAAGGTTGGCAGTTGGAATCCTGCTCCCGAAATAATTAAACATCATTGGTTGAGCGGGCAAATCAGACAGGTGTGAAACTGGCTCCAGTTGGTAAATGTTGCTGTTGTGTCCATGTATAAATGGGTTGTTTTTGATTTCAGATTCAGATTCAGATTCAGATTCATTTATTTGCCATTTGCAGTAAAACCACATTGGAAAAACTGTGCAAGACTACCCCGGTGTGCACCAGACAGAGAAGACGACACACACCAGAGCTCTTGCCACGGCGCCATCTTTACGGCGCCATGCGACAAACAGTAGAATAAACAGCAGAGAGCAATAACATACAGTTTCACAGACAGTTGGATAGACACATTGTGCTTTGTATAAAGCACGGATTTTTTTCTCGGGATGAGCACCTCCGACAGCCGGTTTAAAACACTATGAAAGCCTCTGTATACAAACTTGGATTGGACTGAATTGGATCCATGACACACACATTTATGCATGGTGCTGGTTTAGATTGGTTAAATAATATAATCCTGATTTGATAATAATAATGTCACTCAGTTGTTTGTGTCGCACCTTTTCTCATTTATCAGATCTGATTCAGATTAATATATTGTGGTTTCATACTCGGATTTAAATTTAAAAAATATATATTATCTGTGTCCTCAGACAGTCTATAGTTCCTTTGGAACAAGGAACTATGTAACTACTGTGCAGGCTGGATTCTGTGAATGTTCTCAAGGATCACCTTAAAACACATTTGCTTAGGCAAATTATGTATTTGTTCAGTGTGTACACAGTGTAAATATTTTACAGAGATCACTTGTATTAATACAATACAAATCAATGATATCTACTTCTGAGTTTATTTTATTTAATTCTATTCTTATTTTTTATTTTAATTATATAGTCTATTATCTTAAATAATAGACACTATTTGTGTGCAATTTGTGTGCTCTTATTCCCTTCTGTCCCTGCTGCAATGTGCGCAACGATGACACTGAAATTTCTCCACTGAGACGAATAAAGGAATATCTTATCTTATCTTGTTCCTAAATTCAAAATACCTGTAAATAAAAAAATATGTGTTTAATAGATTTGAAAATTATTCATTTCAGAATCACCCTAACCCTGTGTGTGTTTTCTGTTAACAGTTATATAGTGGAACCTTGTGGCAGTAGGCGACCCTGACAGAGACAGAATGCATTCTACATACAGTATTTGGGAATCTCTGAATGATCTCTCCCATCATCAATGCACATTTCTGACCTGGTTCTATAATATTCTGGGTCAGAGCAATGATACTCAGTGAGAATTGAGACCGTAAACAGAGTGGCCACAGCAGTGATGAAATCCACACGAGTTCACGTTTCACTTTTGACATTGAAAAGCAGAACTCAATCAAGTCCAGTCACAAGTGACTGCAAATAGAAATGTGTTGCCATCAAACGCATCGCCTCTGCTGCCATGGGACCGTCTGACTTTGTCCCAACACGCCTGTCATAACATCCATCAAAATACCAGCCTGGATAGGCCTCTCTATGTGCAGACCTGAGAGGTCAGGTGGTTAATCACAGGGACTCATGTAGATCAGGACAGTCTCATAACCGGATGTAAACAGCCATTGAAATCATCTCTGCAAAAGCATTTACTCACTGACTAATGACACACATCTCACCTCACTATGTCCTCAGAGATGATTCCTCGGGTTAGTTTATAAACAAGACAGAAGTCTTGGCAATTGACTTTCCTTGAGTTCCCTAAAATTGCAGTGATTTTGTTTATTTTATTTGTGATGCGTTAGGAGGTTGGTTTGACTTCCGATTTATCACACCCACATTAATGAATTCATCCACATTTTCCAAACTACATAAGTTGAATATCTAAAACATTTGAACAGATTTAGATTTTGATTGGTTGGCAAAATTATGTCAAACAACAGCAGTGTCAAGCGATGATGAAGATGTTAAGCACTTATTTTGTATCTGTACTGTAATATAAATACCTTCAATCTAGCTAGAGCTTTTTACCAAACCCGAAATGTAGAAAGTATGAGTACTGAGTGACTAAATTTATATTATTATGTATAAACAATTATATTGATTTGTTTCCTATGAATATTTGTTTTTAGAAAATCAAATGAATCATATGTTTATGTTATGTATTTGTTAACATATTCCTTTATCTGGAATAGATTTTCTCAAATTTGGGAAATAACTGCCCTTTCCACTTTTTGAACAAAACTCTCTGGTCTTTTTTGACGAGCGTCTCCCCAGAATGTTTGACACTTGGGAGGACCAATTGTCCTATATACCTTTGAATCAACATACCCATATGGTTCACCACTGAAAACAGACTAAAGCTAAATACCCACGTACACACATTCACACACTCTCATGTCTCCCTTGTGTCCTTTGGCCTCACTCACCGTCCTGGATGGCCACTTTGATGAGGCGCACTGCTCCTCCTCTGGCCTGGGCCAGGAACTCCCTCAGTTCTGGCGTCACCACCAGCGCGAGAAACATGGTGGGACAGTGGCTCAGACCTCCCCCGCAAAAACGTATACAAAATATCTAGAATGAAAACAATTGTAATATCTATATGAAAAATCCTATTCAAAAAATGGGTTCTCAAAATAAATGGTCATGGAGCAATGGGTTGTTCAGTCTGCCTGCTCTCTTCAAATCTGTGTGACACTTTGAGAAGGTACATCATGCAAGTAACTGGGAGAGGATCATATGCACAGAGGCAACCTGATCACTCTACCAAAATTAGCCCCCTCTGACTGTCCAGCCATGGGCACGGGACTGAAGCCCCCACCAAACCAGAGGAGAGGCCAAAAGAGCCAAGCAACAATGTCAGCCCAGCATTGTCAACTCTACTTATAATACTCTCATAAAACCTGCAATAGAAAAAGGATTAGATAAATGTAATTTACACTCACCATATCCTTATGTACATGTTCAAATTGTATGTATATTTCACGGTAATAATGTGATTATTTTATGATTTGGTTAAGAGGAAATACATCTTAATTCATCTGTTGAGAGACATTGCCTGACCATACAGTGTTATAAGAAACCTGTGTTCAATTTACAATTTACATTTTTTTTTAGACTTTTCAGGCCATATACAACTCTATAGGATTTTTATTATTGTGAGAATAATATAAACTAAATTACCCAGATATCTATAAACTCAATAGATGATTTTTTTCTCTTGCAATTTACATATTAGAGCATGTGCTATTTATTGACCCTATGACTGCTGATTGTTCCATTCAAAGACACAAGTCTAAATTCTACTTCTGGCAGAGATTGGTCAAGCACTAAATGTATTAATTCAGAGTAATTGTTTTCACCACACTACAAACTACGAGTGGGAGTAACCCCTCAGTCTCTATAAAAAAAATTAAATTGCCAGGGTATGTTCACACACCTGTATAGAATGAGAAGTATCTTGAGTTTGTACAGACTTGTCTATTCGGAACTGTCAAACTCAGTCACTAAAAAGATCTTCACACATCCAAGGTCAAACTGTTTACACTTGTCTGACGCACTCGCACTAAAGGGCAAATGTGTTGAGTAAACTTCTGAAACCATCACTGGACTTCAAACTGGATTACTATTTGTAATGTTTTCATCTTTAAAAGAAAATCGTCTACGCTTGTCGTTATGTCTCATGGACTTAAGCAATTGTGTAAGAACATTAATTGCCCCACTCAGATTTTGCAACTTGCACAGATGCATTTCATAACCAGAAGCCTGTAAACACTGACTTCACAAATCTACAAACAAAAGTAATCGTGAACTCGATCAAAGCACACAGTAAAACCACAGCTATTTACAAAGACATTTTTAATGTTAAATAAAAATATAAAAACAGGCCAACATGAAAATGTAATCTGCGCGAACATATGTACATATTTAAACATTATACTACAGTAGCACCACTGCCCCCTCCTGGTAGTGCTGGGTTAAATCAGGCCGTTTTACTGTAATTGTTAATCATCAATGGTTGGAAGCCAAAATGCCATATTTGAGCAAGCACTTGCAAATGTCATAAACTTTGGGTTGAACTGCAGACAGGTGATGGGTCCTGTGTGCTTCCCGTCTAAAAGTGCCACCTTCATTCCACTCTCTGCATTCCATACATGAATCTTTCCATCCTCTGAGCCTGAAAGAAAAAAAAAATATTCTTGCACACCATTTTTTCATGTGCTACTATATCTACCAAGCAAATGTTATAGTTCAGGATACAGGTATTTCAATGTATTATGGATAGTAATAGAGTCACAGATCTTATATTTTTTATTTGTCTTGATTATTTTGATTGTGACTAAACATTCTGCACATTTTTGTCTTGCTGATCTAATCTATGTAGACCATGTTCAAAGCCGGGATACCAAGAAACAGAAATCAGGGCTCACCGATCATGACAAACTGTGAATCCGGTGTGAAGGATGCTTCGAGTGTTACCGCTTTTCCGTTGTTGTAACCCTACAAGGAGAAAGAATTGAGTTAAAAAAATTACATGGAGATAACAGGACAACTGACAATTTCTTACCCCAAACGAGTGTAGTACAGCACCCTTGAAAGCGTCCAGGATGCGCAGGGCTCCTCCGTTTGTGGCGAGAAGAATCAGTTTCCCATCATTGCTGAATTTAAGTCCAGTCCACTCACACGTTCTCTCGTACTGAAGTTTGAAGGTTGCAAAAGGACCCTGAAAAACATACCATATGTAGGAACTGCAGCACTCTCTTGAATCTCAAACTTTAATATTAGGTGTGCCTTTTGATATAGTTTTATTCTTTACAAAATCATTAGGATGTATACCTTGTCAAATGATCGAAGATCGTAAAGCTTCACCATTTCTGAATTTATTCCAGCAGCAAAAATGAGCCCCTCTGGATCAAAGGAACAGACTGGCTTTCCTTGCAGGTGCATCAGACCCTGAGAACAAAAATACAAAATGGGTCACACGCAACTTATTGGAAAACCATAATCTCATGCATTTATACCATTGTAATGAGAAGCTTACTTGACAATTTGGAGACCGCAGATCCCACAATCTAATAGTTTTATCTAATGAGCCGGATATAAATGTGTCATCCACAGGAGACATGGACAGTGATGTTACTCTAGATGAGATTAAATTAAGTTAATAACAAAAACAGCATAGGGAGCACTTTTTTCAAAAATCCTCACCTTTTATTATGCCCAGGAAAATATCTTATGTATTTGTTATCATGAAGTGACAGGTATCGGATAGTATCTTCAAAAAGCAAAACAAAGACAGACATAAGATAACCCAACACAAACAAGAAGCACAAAGATGATGATGATGATTTCACTCTTCCGCAAGCAAGGCAGTCACTTGTACAGTTAGCTCCTGTATGGGGCAGAATCACAGACCCACCAAACTGTACAAACAACTACCTCAGCCCAAAGAGAGCTCTGAAGAATACAGTGTCCATAGGTTTCTTAGCAGCAGCAGCACAAAATTAACACACACGTCTCCTGGACACTGTAAAAAGGTACATCACATTGTTGACACACTTCTCATTTGCAAGCTTATGCACTAGAGTGGAGCTCTGAAGAAGTTAGTGGACTTTTATGTATTTATGGATATGTGATGCAGCGTCTCATTTTCCAGAGTCTAATTTCGGGAAAGGATGATGTACATTAGGCACCAACTATCTTAAACATCGTATTTGTATATGGCACGTAACAAAATTAGCCATAATCACACCCCTTAATATCATAACCAACTTAGAATGTCAAAACACATGGGGCTCATGTAAACTCACCATCGATTTTGTTAGAACTGTAGACGACTGTGTTGGCTGCGTGGGTATACCTGATGAGATCAACCCCATATTTTTTACTATAAAGTGTCCTTTTTGGTCTGCCGTAGTGGAGAGAGAAAAGAAAGAACAGGATACATTAAAAACTGATTCGCATATGAGCTCAACAGCCTGTCAACAGGGCCAAACACAAGCATATGTGTTCATTGAATACAGATCCGATGTGGGTTCATTCATTTCTACTGAACGTACGCAGTTAGCTAGCGAGGCCTAGCCAGTTAGCATCCATAAGCTAATAGGGGCAACAGTATGATGAATAAAAACTATAATCCAAGCCTTACTTTCCCTCTTGGCAGTCGTACAGGACTAGCGAATCATCGTCGCTACTGGATATAATAGTTTCACCGTTAGAACTAAAATCAAAACAGTTAATTTTGTCGGAGTTTTCGCGGAAGACCTTAGCCACTCTAAAACTCCGCAGCACATTGTCCGTCAGCTTCATGTTGGCCTCTGATTGTAGTTGAGGCAAATACTAATACACGCGTATATGACGTGTAATTCAATATGATATGTCGTGGTATGTGAACTAAGATAATGAACAGCGGTATTTTGTCCGGTTTGTAACTGAAGAAAGCAGAGAAAAGCCCGCTTGAACTACTTCTACAGAACGGTTGTGCGCCGAGTGCCGCCTTCCGCCACAAGCAGCTGCGTCACTGGGACAACACCCGCGAGACTACGATACTTTAAGAAGAAGCACCATTTCTCGCGAGACTATGATTGTTTACATGGAAGCAGTTGAGAATCAATGTAATCTTTAGTATTTTGTCCTAGGCAGAGGAAAATGTTCACATTTTGCGGCTATTTTTGTATTCAAATGTATGTTTGAGAGTCACAATAAGGGTTAGGTTCAGCTTAAGTCCAGGCATAAGAACAGTTAGGCGGCTAGGAGTGGAATAATGTAGATCGGTAATGCTCGCTTTCTGAGAGTTTTGTGTAATGTATGTAATTAAATGTAAGACAATTCCAAAACAAAGGAAATTGTTGATAATATTTCAGCTAATATCTCTAGTTCGCTTAAATTATGTAGTCTAATGTTCGTTTGTGGTCAGAGTTTCGGTTCAATGTGCTGTATCTGTTTTTAGAGCTGACATTGAAAAAAAGGAGAAGCAAGATATTGCAAGTATGCTGCTTTTGGGCAGGTAGGATATGGGCTAAAATATGAATATGTTTCACTTTGTCGTTAAACATATTCATGTTGTGAAAAAATGAAATGCAATAATTATTATTCAAGTAGAGTAGAGTAGTTTAATTTGTAGTATGGTGAAAACATTACATGTTTAACTTGTCACTCCCAAGGTTACTTTTGAGATTATTAGTTGTGTGGAAAAAGCCCTATGGTCATTGTAACTAAAAAACTCTAAACATGGATCATGTACATTTTATAGCTCTGTATATTGCATAAACTGAGTATTGGCAAACCACTCATAGATCTAGTTCTCCGGGCTGTTCGAGTCAATCATTACACACAGGGTACACAGCTCAAGTAAATCTTTGGTCAGATTTTGCCCTCACTGCTGCGCTGCTGTGGTGCTGGACACAGTGGTCATTAGTAACCAAATTATTTTGCAGTCTTTGCAGGTAGGCCGTAAAACCAGCGTTAGATTTACACTGTAAACTTTGATTTTCTATATATTTTTTATGTGCATGATACTGTATCACACTGAACCAGACTTTAAGTTCATTTAGATAGTGCTACTTGAAAATGTATTGATGATGGATGTATTGAGGATGATCAAATGTTTGAAGTTTTGAGTTGATAACCAACCCTAACCCTAATAATTGTTTTGCTCCAGCTCACACTCACAAGCTGCTGATGGCGCGTGTTCTGTCCTTCTTCCGGCCAAGACCACTGCTTTCTCTTGTTGAAAGGAGAAAACCTCTGTTCTCCAAAATGTCACTGGACTCAAGAGCACGAGAGGTGTTTGCAACAGCTGTGAGGGCTGTGCAACCAGACACTGTGGTTCGCCATAGTATAGTGCGCAAAGAAGATGTAATTACTATTGATGGACACAAACTCACTCTGAAAAACAATCTACACTTAGTGGGGTTTGGAAAAGCTGTGCTGGGAATGACTGCAGAGGTGGAGAGGATTTTGTCAGATCATTTAGTTAAAGGAATAGTAAGTGTCCCTCATGGCATTCAAGAGAGTCTACGGCAACATGGGAAAAAGTCAGTTCCATTTATCATATTTTCAAGCTATGACTTCTATACTAAATGTGGTTTTTATTCAACAGCCATCTCTTGCTAAAAGAAAACAGTTGCATTGAAGTTCTTGAAGGAGCTAAACACAACTTGCCTGATGATGATGCTCAAAAAGCAGCTGAAAAGATCAAACAGCTGGCCTCAGGACTAACAGAGGAGGATTTGCTTCTCGTACTTATATCTGGTATTCCTAAATTCTTCATTTATCTGCCATCTTTGAAAAAAATCACACTTATTCTTGTAACTACTTTTCATTGGATTAGGTGGTGGTTCAGCCCTGTTGCCTTCACCCATCCCACCAATTTCCTTACAAGAGAAACTAGATGTCACACGAAGACTTGCTGCTGCTGGTGCAACTATACAAGAACTTAATACTGTGCGACGAGCTTTCTCTCTTTTAAAAGGAGGAGGACTTGCTCATTTTGCTCACCCAGCTCAGGTAACAACTGAAATGTAACACAAATAAAATATTTTTTACTAAACTTAACTATTTTCTCTCTGTGCAGGTGGTGGCTCTTATATTATCAGATGTAATTGGTGATCCGCTAGATTTGATAGCCAGTGGACCAACGGTACATACAGAAATATGGCATGAAGAGGTTTTATCAGTGCTTGAACGTTATCATTTGTTAGATTCTATACCAGTCCCTGTGAAAGAGGTTCTAGGGAAACCTGGTCCTAGATGGCAAAAGAAACTATCTGAAGGCGCACAAGAAGCACCTGTCATTAACACTGTAATTGGTTCAAATAGCATTGCGCTTAAGTCAGCTGGGAGGCGGGCCAGTGAGTTGGGATTTCGCCCTGTTGTCTTGTCGTTAGGAGTGAGTGGAGATGTGAAACTCGTCTCTCGTCTTTATGGTCTCCTGGCTCAATTTGCCTGCTCCCGAGAAGAGCCTCCTCCAGAGGTTGCGGCAGAATTGCTCAGACTAGGGCCCGATGTTGGAGTAGAGTCCTGGGATTTGTGCCGTACTATGCAGGTTTTGGATTCCGGCCGGACAGAGGGATGGGGGGCTACTTGTATTTTAGCTGGAGGTGAACCCACAGTTGAGCTTAAAGGAAAAGGAAAAGGAGGGCGAAACCAGGAATTGGCGTTACGAGTGGCTGTGGAGTTACATGGCATGGATCTCCCTCAAGGACCTCAAAGACCTGTGTTTTTAAGTGGTGGAACCGATGGACAGGACGGACCGACTGAAGCAGCAGGAGCCGTGACTGATGCAGGCCTATGTGAAGAGGCTAAAACACAGGGGCTGGAAATCAACAGATTTCTAGACAACAATGATTCTTTTACTTTCTTCTCTAAATTATCTTCAGGACAGCGCTTACTTGTGCCAGGCCTTACCTGTACGAATGTAATGGATGTACATGTGTTGCTTATTCCATCACCCCCTATTGTCATCAGTGTTGGTAATAACTAAATACATGCATATAAAATATGTATTCACAATTCCTTTTATTATTTGTTGTCACAATTCAGGTGCAGTACACCACCACTTAAATATTTTTATGACAGACTTTTTTGCAAGACAAATTTATATTTGCAGTCTGACATTAAAGTATCTTATGAAGTTAAAAAAAAAAGTTTTAAAAAACTGAAAAGAATTTTCCATTATCCATCATAGCTAATAAATACAAGTGAATTCTAGTTTACTAAATACCATTCTATGATACATTAATACCACTTTAATACTTGACATAAATAGGCAATGATACAATTGGGATTTTTTTATTATATATAAATATTGTAAACACAAAGTAATCTATGTAATGTTTGATATATATAGTTTCAGGTGATCCTCACTTCTGAAAACAACGACATTCAGAACGGAATTCTTGTCACATTTTTTCCAGACCATCTTATATTTGTCGAGTTTGGAATGTTCAGAAATGTCCATTAGTCTACAATATAATAGTGTGTTTGGCTAAGAAGAACTACATCACGTTATTGTCTTCAATCTTAATCCCGGTGAACCTTTGCTGCATCCTCAGCTGTTCTGTTCCTGCAGAATAGATCAAATGATGTCCAAAAAAGTTGATGTGAAATGTAAACACCTTGTTTTGTCCTACAACACAATACTGGCTTTATAGCAAACAAACAAAAGACTTCTATTCAGACACCTACCATCCACCAAAGTGAGGCGCTGCGTCAGGTGTGCCCCCGTTCTGGCCAGTTCCTGTGGAATAAGTATAATACACATCAGTAACTGCAGTTACAAAACACGCACATCATGCATTAATGTGTAATTGAGACTTTTATTCTGTAAAAATGACCTTTATGATCCCCCAGATACGAGGTAGACACATTAAAGTACTTAAGGTCCATGCTGGTTTATCTTTAAGTTCAACTGTAGTGAACATGATGATCATTTAGTGTTTTGGTGGTATACTTTTAAACAGTGAACACAATTTTGTTAACATCAAGCTAAATTAATCGTTCTCACATCTCAAATCTTGCACCAAATGATTAATGTGCTCTGGTGCAGCCTCATCAACAGAAGTAAAACCCTCTGCGACTTCTCGTGAGATGTGGCCTCTTAACAGACAATGACGGAATGATTGCACGTGTTTTTGTCATTTTAGTGCATTATTACAAAATTAAAATAACACTAACAGTTATTATTTTACTAAAACTACAGCTCGTAGCCTAAAACGACACCGAAACTTACCTTGTCGATAGTACATGTCGTTCACTGTATTTCCGTAGACTTTCCAGGCAAAATGGATTGCAATCAGACTAAATATTAGCCAGCTAAGAAGAATTTTAAATATAGACACTCGCATGTCGTTAGCAAGCCAGTCCTCCACAAACTCAGAAAGAAACGACAAGCAGCTGTCAGCTATTCGCGATAGAAACTCAAAATCCCACGTGTCGTCCATATTTTGTCAATGTTTGGCCTAAAGTCTTTGGAGAATGATCAATGTTAGGCACTGAAACGATGGCATTTCACATAGTTTAACCATCATCTACGCTGCTGCTATGTTTACGCCAACATTCAGAAACCGGATGTGACGACATGCGTTAATGTGACGCTACTTTTGTGTGTGTGTTGCAGATTTTCTTTTCCTTTATTTTACACATTTTCCTCTTTAGACTTAATGTGTTGAGCTGGAGATTACATATATAATAATAATATGTGTAATCTTTGGGCAAAACTTTGGGGGAGGGACTTAATGAGTGTTGGCGTGTCCGATTGGCTGATGTAGCGTGTCAACAGAGATTCCGGAAGTGTGCTGTTGCTGTCGGCAGTATCGGGCAAAATTTGTTTTCTGTTTTACATTCCCCCTCTTGTCTTGTCATTTGCTCTGGACAAGGCTGCCAATGAAACCCGCAACGTAGCGTCTCTCCCTAACGTTTCGTCGGAAGAAGCAGAGTGAGTTTCAAATAAAGTATATTTTATTTTACCTAATACGGGTACTTGGTGCTTTACTATTCGGCTAAGCTAGGGCCGTGAAATTGATCTGTATTCTGTAAGCTCGTTAGCAGATTGTGCTAACAACAACGAGAACCTCTTTTCAAGAGGTATTTTAATTATTTCACTCTCAAAATCTGTTTTCTAAAATTGATCATTGTGAAGTGAATACAGCATTTGGTTAACTTAATTCGTTAGCTGTAACGCTAGTTATCTTATTCAACATAAGTTTATAGATAGCTATCCGCACTTGACTGTTTTTCTTGTCACCGTGGGTCTTTTATGTTTCTTTCCTTATTTATTTTTATATTATCGTAGTTATTATCCTTTGCCAATCATTTTCACACATCATGTGACCTACCACTTACTTCGAACAAATGCTGCTATTCATAAGTTACGTCCGTGTTGTATTGGCGAATGAAGCCACATCTCACTCAAAATACTTTTGCTTGCTTTTAGGTGACTGGGATGGTAGCATGGAAGGACACGGTCACCAAGAAGAAGAGGGCTTGACAATCAATGCCCAGCTTTTGGCAAAGGACTCTGGCAAGTGATTACTACTCAAATTCAAATGTATGCTTTTCTCTTTTGTAATTGAATTTAATGTTCTCAATTTTAGTTCAAAATCTGGCAACATCTCTATCCCTTTTGGGAAATCACATGTTTCCTGATTCTGTGAATAAAAGCGACAGCAATGGAGTTAACATGGAGGCTGCTGCTGATTCAGATACGTCAAGTATTACAACTGAGGATCCTCGTACTGAATCAAAAACAAGTGCTGACCAGATGACAAGCGCAGAAACAGACAGTGCATCAATCACTGAGGATGCTGCTACAGACAACAGCCAAAGCGACTCAGGAGAGTTTGTCGTAACAATGCTGGCGAAGGCTAAGCTTGAAGAGCAGGGTTTAGGGGTGAAGGGCCAATCATCTCCCCTTCTGGAAGCAGGGACCCAGGATATGCCAGCATACATGTCTCACCGTGAAGAAGATGTGACCGCAGAGAGCTGGAGACAGCACAGGAAGCATGTGTTTGTGCTGAGTGAGGCAGGGAAACCAATCTATTCTCGGTATGGAAGTGAGGAGGCGCTCTCGTCCACAATGGGAGTCATGATGGCCTTGGTGTCTTTTGTGCAAACAAGTGACAACATCATCCGCTCTGTCTATTCTGGTAAGTGATTCATACTGCCTAATGATAACTTTGCATGTTATTGATGTATAATACACTTTTACTATTTTGTTAAATTTCAAACGTTATAAACACCCAGGGAAAAAACACAAATCCTCTTATTTAACTATATAATTATACTAGATTAACTTTATTGTTGCAAGCATAGATCAAAAGTTCTACTATACTGATATTTAAATGTAAGTTTTTATGTCACTAGTTTATACTGGTTATTTTACCAACATTAATATGCTTATTATAGGTGCACCATCAACATTTTCTATTGAGGGATTCCATTGTATAAAGAAGCATACTAATATGACAATGATAAAACATTTACTCATCCATTTCTTTTTCTTTTTTTTCTCCGGTCTAAGCCCAGACTTTCCTATCCACACACACACCACCTAAGAGACATAGCCCCACCTGCATGTCCTGGGTCTCATCCCGGCAGGAGACCGTAACACCTCCCCATGTTAAAACATGTCATAACAAATTCTCAGTTTAATTGGTCTGGACCAGACTTTAGATATTTAAATCCCCCAGGAAAAACACAGTCTCTAGGAACTGCCTCGTAATTTTCGGCCGTTTGCTGCATTGATGCTGCTGCTACTGTCCAAGAGACTGCAAAAAAGAACTGTATAAAACCAATTTAAATTATTATTAAATTTATTGAAATGTGTGTGGTTATGATTATTGAGTTTGTTTTACTAGTTTTTGTAAACCACTTTGTGACTCTGGTCCATGAAAGGCAGTATATAAATAAAGATTACTTACTTACTCTATCACGTTCAAAGTAATGAAAGATTAAGGTACAACAAGTTTTAATGTGGTTAAAAATAGCTGTCCTATGTGTGTGTTGCTTGTTTGAAATGTTTATAATTACCCATATATTAATGAGGCACATGCTAATCTATCATTGTTGATCCATTAATTCTGCTGTTCATAATTTCAGATGGGCATACTGTGGTATTCCTTCAAAAGGGGCCCCTGGTTCTGGTCTGCGTCTCATGCACTCGTCAATCCGAACAACAACTTCGGAGTGAACTCATGTACGTCTATCATCAGATCATCAGCATGCTGACCCAGGCCAGCATCTCCCGCATTTTTGAGCACAAGAAGAACTACGACCTTCGGAGGCTTTTGGTTGGTTCTGAGAAGATTCTGGACGGTCTTCTCAACTTGGTGGACTCGGATCCTAGTTTTTTGCTTGGAGCCGTGCACTGTTTGCCCCTTGCCTCATCTCTCAGGGACTCCTTAAGCCAGATCTTGCAGAAAGCTATCACATCAAATCTTGTCTTCTCCATTCTCATTGCGAAGAACCAGCTGCTAACTATTGTCCAAGAAAAAACTGTAATTGAAGATGCCAGGTTAGAGCCAGCCGATGTCCACCTTTTGTTAAATCTCATCGGGGCATCTTCGGCTTTCCAGGCTGGAGAAATTTGGACTCCAATATGCCTCCCTTTATTTAACCCTGACTGTTATTTTTATGCATACATTTCCTACCTGGACCCCCCCGAATGCACTGTTTGCCTGCTGCTGCTCTCAACAGACAAAGAAGCTTTTTATGCTGTAGCAGAGTGTAAGAGGAAGATTGAGGAGGCCATGACGGCTCAAAACTCACTCAGCCTCATTGACAAAGCACAGGCCTATAGCGTGAGCCAGGTGGGAGTTTCAGACCTCAGACACTTCATGTACAAGCCTTTCGATGTACCAGATAACTACCGGCAGCTGTCTCAGTTCACCAGGTATGTTTGAAACCGTTAAACAAAGATTTTCTGTGTGTGTCTTTTCGCTAATACTTGAAATGAAAAGGTTGAAAATAATAGTAGTCAAATACCAAATGTCTTTCTGTGTTGACGTTCGATTATCTTATTTGTCAATTGCTTTGTATACTGTTTCTTTGTTTGATATAACAACTGGAACTGACAGAGAGGATGTGTGCCATTTCAAGTCTACACCTTGACTACGCTATGACAAACATTGTGAAGATCTCTGGAAAACTGATTATGAATATAAATGCTACTAAATGAAAATTGCTTACCGCAGCTTCCTTATTACTTCAATCTGTGCAGAGTGAGATATAGTATGATACATGGTACATTCTTTGAATTTCTGAAATTTTTACAAACCACATTTGTAAATTGTGGGGAAATGTTGCAACCTATACTGAAAAAGGTGCTGTTGTGTTGTTCTTGCTAAATTTTGTTGTTGTTGTCAGCCCAGAGATGGAGGCTCCATACAGCAGTGAGGAGGAGAAGACCAGGCTGCTTGATCTTTACCGATACATGCACAGCCGAATCCACAGCAGTTCGCGACCTCTCAAACTCATTTACCATGTGGCAGAGAAGGAGACCATGCTTGCTTGGGTACGTGACCTCATGTAAACTGATCTGATTGCTGTTACCGTAGGCTTGGGAGCAAGAATGAGACTTGAACCCACACATACAGTGCCTTGCGAAAGTATTCGGCCCCCTTGAACCTTTCAACATATCGCCACATTTCAGGCTTCAAACATAAAGATATACAATTTAAATTTTTTGTCATGAATCAACAACAAGTGCGACACAACAGTGAAGTGGAACGAAGTTTATTGGATCATTTAAACTTTTTTAACAAATAAAAAACTGAAAAGTGGGGCGTGCAATATTATTCGGCCCCTTTACTTTCAGTGCAGCAAACTCACTCCAGAAGTTCAGTGAGGATCTTTGAATGATCCAATGTTGTCCTAAATGACTGACGTAGATAAATAGAATGCACCTGTGTGTAATCAAGTCTCCGTATAAATGCACCTGCTCTTTGATAGTCTCAGGGTTCTGTTTAAAGCGCAGAGAGAACCATGAAGACAAAGGAACACACAAGGCAGGTCCGAGATACTGTTGTGGAGAAGTTTAAAGCCGGATTTGGATACAAAAAGATTTCCAAAGCTTTAAACATCTCAAGGAGCACTGTGCAAGCAATTATATTGAAACGGAAGGAGTATCAGACCACTGCAAATCTACCAAGACCTGACCGTCCCTCCAAACTTTCGTCTCAAACAAGAAGAAGACTGATCAGAGATGCAGCCAAGAGGCCCATGATCACCCTGGATGAACTGCAGATAAATACAGCTGAGGTGGGGATGGTGTGTTCAGGGTGATGAGCTGTGTTGCTTTTACGCCAAACATATTGTTTTGCATTGTGGCCAAAAAGTTCGATTTTGGTTTCATCTGACCAGAGCACCTTCTTCCACATGTTTGGTGTGTCTCCCAGGTGGCTTGTGGCAAACTTTAAACAAGATTTTTTATGGATATCTTTGAGAAATGGCTTTCTTCTTGCCACTCTTCCATAAAGGCCAGATTTGTGCAGTGCACGACTGATTGTTGTCCTATGGACAGACTCTCCCACCTCAGCTGTAGTTATCTGCAGTTCATCCAGAGTGATCATGAGCCTCTTGGCTGCATCTCTGATCAGTCTTCTCCTTGTTTGAGATGAAAGTTTGGAGGGACGGCCGGGTCTTGGTAGATTTGCAGTGGTCTGATACTCCTTCCGTTTCAATACAATTGCTTGCACAGTGCTCCTTGAGATGTTTAAAGCTTGGGAAATATTTTTGTATCCAAATCCGGCTTTAAACTTCTCCACAACAGTCTCTCGGACCTGCCTTGTGTGTTCCTTTGTCTTCATGGTTCTCTCTGCGCTTTAAACAGAACCCTGAGACTATCAAAGAGCAGGTGCATTTATACGGAGACTTGATTACACACAGGTGCATTCTATTTATCATCATCAGTCATTTAGGACAACATTGGATCATTCAAAGATCCTCACTGAACTTCTGGACTGAGTTTGCTGCACTGAAAGTAAAGGGGCCGAATAATATTGCACGCCCCACTTTTTAGTTTTTTATTTGTTAAAAAAGTTTGAATTATCCAAAAAATCTTGTTCCACTTCACGATTGTGTCCCACTTGATGTTGATTCATGACAAAAAATACATTTTTTATATCTTTATGTTTGAAGCCTGAAATGTGGCGAAATATTGAAAAGTTCAAGGGGGCCAAATACTTTCGCAAGGCACTGTATTTGGCAAATTCGTGACTTTTGAATCTGTTGCTATACTGTTCCTTCATCAAAAACATATCAGGGGGTAGATTCTAGCTTGCATGCCGTTTGCTCCCATGTTACTGATTAACTTCACTGCAATGTACGCGCAGATAGAAATGACACATACGCAAAGAGAATGAATGACCAAATGTTAATTAGAATGCAAAAAGGAGATATATAGTGGAAACTATAATCCTTTTGCTAAAGCTGCTCTTATTTGTTCATCAACAATTAAAACTGTAAAAATGGCTCCTTCACAAAGTTTGCGATGGTTACCTGCAGTTTTGAAGGTGATCTGAATATAATGTTTCCTTGACTTTAACTCATATTCCACAAAACTATTGTCTACAGAGTTTAGAATCAGGAACTAGTTATATGGATGTTATCAATTTGTTGTGGTTTGAACGGCACCCCAGCTTTAAGAGTTAGGAACATGATTGGACTATAAAGCCTGTCAGACTGTACAACGAACAATGAACAATTAATGAACTCTGCCAACCTAGCCTCACATTTCATACATCTGTGATATGGGACCACATGTGTCCACTAGCGTGTATAACTGATTTATCTGCAGATGTATACAGACAAGTACTATGCTATTGTGCTATTCATTATATTCACTTGTGTTGTGTGCTCCTCATTCCTACTCCTCTGTAACTTGTGATTCAATACCAAACACAAAAGGATCTCTTCATCTTAATCTAAATCTAAACTCTCATTTACATGAAGTTAGACAGTAATAATTGCTGCTTTCCCCAGTTTGTAAATTGCGTTTGTGTGAGCTTCCAATAATTAATGTATGTCTTTCTTCTCTTTTAGGTCACAAGTAAATTTGAGCTCTACACCTGTTTCAGTCCTCTGGTGACCAAGGCCTGTGCCATTACCGCTATCACTAAACTTTTACGCTGGATCAAAAAAGAGGAGGAGCGCCTCTTCATTCGATACCCCCCAAAATACTCAACCACTCCTAACCCCAGCAAGAGCTCTCGAAGCAGCAAATCAGACCAGCAAGACTCCACAGACAACGGATTCCTATCCCTCCTATGAAAGTCTTCTTTGGATACACTTTGGACTTTTAGACTCTGAAGATGTCAGCAGCCCAACTCTAGGTTTTAACGTATTTAAAGAACAAAATATCAAGTGTTGCAATGTAATAAAAAGGCATGCTAAACCATCATTGCTTTCAATAAAAAAATGGGTCCTGCAAACATAGTCCTAACAAAAAATGTTTTATATGAAATTGTGTTTGAGATCACTAAAGTATGTAAAGCTTTTTTAGAATGTTTTATTAAGACACTATATTAGGGGCAATTCTTTGTTTGTGAGAGAGAGAAAAATAGATGATTTTAAGAGTCAAAACTACTGGTCTGTCCTTTTTGTCCACAATTCAAATGCTATAGCAACTAGTGTCCTAGGACTTTGTAAAGTCTTTCTTTGTTTTGACATAACTGGAAAAACCACTGAAACTGGCAGAGCGAGCATGTGTCATGTGCTTATATACAATTGCCCAATATTTGAACAAGACGGCTTACTCATTGTTCAACACCGGAGCTCATGTCCGGTCTCTGGCTAAACCGGGTACATCTCTGTCATGTGACCTATTTATGAGGAGCTATCTCTTCAAATACAAACACTTTATTATCATAGGATTTGTAGCATTAAGCCACATCTTTCTGAAACTAGATTTGCAAAGATTGGCAATGTGATATCAAGATAATGTAAGTATTAAGAATATCTTTACAGTATAAATAAAATAAATTGTTGCAACAACACCTATTTGTATTTGAACATTAATTGTCCTTTTGTTTATGAAGTATGTCTTGGTGTCTTGGTTATATAGATTGTAATTTAGTGCCACCCTAAACTTTAAAAAGAAAGCCTGCACAAGATTGGTGTTTCCGCTTGTTGCTTAGAAGATAACTACTGATCCCAACACCCTACATGCATGTCAAACGTTTAATCCAGTTTGTCAAAAAAATAAATGCATGAAGTTCAAACAGATTTTATTAATTTAGAGAAAAATCTCGGTCAATTTATAGATCTTGATTATGAGAAGATGAAAACCTCCATAAACTCCCAAAACAAGTAAATACAGTTGTGAGTTTGGTCACTTTGGCCTGCAGTGCTCCAGTCTTACCCCACACATCTCTACTATTACAAAGATCTACTTTAGTGTTGTACATACATCTTCTCAGTATATTTTAAATAACACTCTTCAACTGCCACAATCATAAATTAAAATCTAAATTTGATTTGCATTCCTTAAATTATTCCATGTAGATAATTAAAAACATCTATTTACATATTTACAAAACTATACACATGCACCTTTTACTACACAGACTTTTTACATTTATGTATATTATATATAAACACATCACTGCCATTCAATATGGCCCAAGAGAACACCATTTCAACTGATTGTGCTTCTTCATAAATTAGCACAAACCATTTTCAGTGAAAGACAAACATAGTAATCAGCGTTTTTCTAGTGGCTGAACATCACACGAACCACAAACTGTAGCTGCACGAAGAGTCTAAGTGACAGTTTCACAATATGGAAAAAACAATATTGACTTCCTCCATGTCATACCTGGACGATATGGAGATAAAAAGCTGTCATATTCTTTATTATTCAAAAGTAGATCATGATCTTTGAATATTCTCTAAAATTCTTTCAAAAATATTTATAGAAAGCCATTGATTAGGAGGACAAACATTAATATGGTTCACAATCCTTAATCATTTTTGATTAGTGTCCAGATATGACATGCATTCATTCATGTCCCGATGCATTCCTTGACACAAGGAGACAGTTCTATGGCCAACACAATATCAATACATTTGAATGCAGACAATGACACATAGATATTTACAGTTGACCCACCTGGGCATAATAAAAACACTAAAACAGTGGTAACTGTGGTAATAAGACATGTAGGACAAAAATGAACACATAAATTCATGACTATGTCCTCAAGCTTCAGTTCAATAAAATCTCCAGATATAAGGCAATCCTTTTCAATATAAAACCCTCAAAAGTTATTTCATAAAGTCCCTGTGAGTCTGGGTTACAAACGGAGGTCATATAAAATTGGAGGGGGTGAAGTTGAGATTCTCTCTCACGTGGCTCAGATGTTTCATGGCGCGGTTGTAGGCCGTGTGCACAGATTTGCGAACACTGGGCTTCTTTCCCTCCATTAATCTCAGTTTGTCTCGCGTGTCGTCCGCTCCGAGTGAGACGAGCTTGTTTCGCGGGAGCCACTGCCTGAAAATCCACATGAAACTTTTAGACAAAGGGTAGCCATGATGCAGTGTTTCAGCCTGATTAAGTCTGTCTGTCTTGACTCACCACGTCCTCTTGGCGTCAAAGAACAGCACCAGGAAGAGCCTTTCCTCTCCTTCCGTCTCTCGGCCTTCTCCGAGCTTGAGCACCTCCACAGGAGGCACGGGAATAGGGATCCCATTGTGGAGCAGCCCTTCCTGGGGCATGTCTGGGTCAACAATCTGCAACAAAAGTCATGTCAGTAAATTACTGCCCTTTGAAAAAATGTATTGCCCGTAAGAAACCAGTTCTCACCATCGCTGGATATGAAGGATACCCTCTGGTTTTGGCCCAAACTAAGTCCAGAGGTGTCAGCTCTATGTCCATATCCTCAGACAGTGAAGAGCCTGTGAATGTGACTATGTTGAGAATTACCACTTTACATTTTTGTTAATAATATCAAACACATTGTCGCAGTTGTAGGCTATGTGCATAGATTTGATCAGTACATAGTAAGATAAATACCAGCAGAAATCTCATCATTTTCACTCTCGGGGACTTTAGCCAGAGCTGGTTTTCCTCGACTGCGTTTTGGAGGAGGACTGCAGCAACAACATCCCAAACAAAACTCAAGTTTAGGTTAATAGAGAATGAACAATTGAACATAATTATATAATTTAGTATAGTGAATTTCTCACTCTTGCTCTTCCTCATCTTCAGTATCAGTCAAGGCGTGCTTCCCATTGGTTAGACCTAACATCAAGATTTAATTACAATTAAAAAGATGTTTGTAGAACGATATTAGCAATCATGCATACTCATGCCTTCTTTATCCAGTAATGGCGGTTTCTCTGCTTCATGGTATGAGCTGTGTCCTCGAGACCTTAGGCGGTGGGATGGAGAGGGTGGAGTGGGTGACGGTGTAGGAGGCAAGTCCACGTTTGTTACATCAGCTGATAGTGGGCTCCCTGGTGCACTATCAAGTCCATTTGCTTTACCCCCAGATTCTTTCCCACTTTGTGACATCACATTTTTTGCCATTCGAACTCCATTTTTTGCTTTTTTAAAGAGCACGGATGTCCGACGCCCTACTCCGACCACAGACAGTGAGGGTGGGCTTCCCAGGGGCGTGGCTTCGTGCTCCGCCTCCTGTTGGGACGATCGTGTTTCTGCTACCTCTGCCTCTTCTTCTCTGTGACTTTTGCTGTTGCCACGTGACGATCTCTGGCGTTTGTAGGAGCGACCGGGAGATCTCTGCCCCCCAGAAGTGATGCTTAAGTCGGGTGGTTCAAGAGGGGCATCCCCAGGAAGAGGGGATGACACCGGGCAAGTGAGCTCAAGCACTGGAGGAACGTCATCTGATGAATATAGTTTCATGTTATAGACTCAACATTATTTTGTAGGACCTCTAAATCTCGACCTCTGTCAAGTCATACTTTGAAAAAATTGTTTTTAGATTTAATCCATTCCTATCCATTCTATTTACCCTATGGGGCAATTTTCGAAAGTAAAAAAGCAAACAAAAAACAATGCAGCCAATGTAATCAATGCAGCGTCTTACATGTCCTGCACTTAAACTCCTGCTCACTAGTTGGCAGCACACCAGGTTAGAACATTTTCATTTTTTACAAAACTAACTCTTATATTCAATACTGAGAGAGGTCGTTCTTCTGAATTATTAATATTACTTTCTACAAAGGCACAATTACAAGTTCTACTATTTAGAAAGTTACCTGTGTTTGCATTCTCCTTCTTGTCAGCACGTTCCCTCTTCTTCCCCGTCCCCCGCACCTTCACCGGCTCCTCCTCCTCCTCTTCCTTCTCCTTCTTATCGTTGCTGCTGATGCTGTGTTGGTGGCTCGTCTTCTGTCTAAGCGAGTTGATCTCTCTGCGCAGTAATCGGATACGTTTTGTGCGACCGCCGCTGGTTTTCATGGACGTTACCGTGTCTAATCTGTCCAGTAAAGCCTTCAGCTGCTCCTCTGTCGTGAGGTGCAGTCTGTTCTCCGAATCCAGCAGGGAGTCCACTAAAAAAATGGAAATAATAGATAATACGGCCAAACCATAGACTGTGAATATTAATGGAACGCTTATTTCCTCCGTTGAAATGTATGTGCCACAGACATGGGCAGATTCAAAATGGAATGCACTGGATAATTTTGTTTCCGGGTACTACACCACCAGTAAGGAGTCAGATTACAGGCATGTCAGCAGACGTGTCATGGACCCTTTTGAGCCCGGACCCGCCATGTCCATAATGATGTACGCTGACATGCTTGCAATACCACCTCGGGCCAGTGGGGGTGAACCCTAAATAAGAATTAGCCAATCCTAATGTCGGCTCTTGGTCGAACCAGTGTTGCCAACTTAGCGACTTTGTCGCTAGATTTAGCGACTTTTCAGACCCCTATAGCGACTTTTTTTCAAAAAAGCGACTAGCGACAAATCTAGCGACTTTTTCTGGTGTTATTGGCGACTTATCTGGTGTTTTGGCGACTTATCTGGTGTTTTGGAGACTCGTGAAGCACGTATTGTTCTGCTGTCCTCAACGTGAGCCCCTCCCCCGTCCCAAAGCACTTACAGGCGGCCAGTCTCACAGTAGCCTTGCGCAGCAGTCCCAGCTACAGTCTATGGGCGGAGCAGAGAGAGAGAGAGAGGAGACCCTGTCTCAAAAGCACAGGAAGTTTTCAGGCTGCTGCAGACTGAACTTCAGCTCCACCACCACCACACATCCAAAGCTCCCCGGCCACTCCTACCACCGCCACCCCCCACTACCCCCCACTACCCCCCACTACCCCCCACTCCATCCGCGGCAGCTCTGTCCGTGACTCTGTTTTCTCTCAGTAGTGGGTCACATTAAATCATTTGTTATGCCAAACTATGAAAAAAAAAAAAAACTTACAAAAATAAACCTAAGTAACTCTGCCAGAGTGTGTCTTTTGGGTCACTTTGCCGGTCCCAAGCCCGGATAAAGGAGGAGGGTTGGTTGTAGAGCTAGCAATTTCACCCTACATAACAATCTTTTGATTACATTTGCTGTTATAACATTTAACAATACAGGACAAAACTGATGTGTGTAATGTGGATCTAGACAAAGCATTAAAATCATTAAATGTTGTTAATGTTGAAATTATTTTTGTACATTTGTAGTTCTAAACATATTTAGGGTGTTTTTACTCACTTTTGTCTCTCCCACGACCTTATTCCTCTCTCCTACAGCGTCCGTTACAGTTATTTGCAAATGGCAAATTATGCAAATTAGGCGATGACGTCATTTAGCGACTTTTGGGACAGCCAATAGCTACTTTCCTTACTGAGGAGTTGGCAACACTGGGTCGAACACTATGCTCCACTTGTTTGTCAATGCTGAGGGGACTACATTTTTTTAGACCATTCTAGTTTAGCCGCAGTGGAATCATGAAGGCATTGGTCAAATGAATGGGGCTCGTAATGCATGCGCAAATGTGTTTTTTCATATTTCACAGCTCCCGCGGCCATTTTGAAACTGCCCATAGATGGCGAAAGTGGTGGCACATTAGTTTCAACGGCGGAGATAGGCTTGATTATGTCCTTTGATATTTACGGTCTATGGTTCAAACAGATCATAGTAAGTTCCACAAATTCTACTACTAATAATACAACAGTTATTCTGAACCCTTACCATCATCCCACGTGCAATTGTAGAAGCCGTGCTTGTTGATCTCCTCTGGTAGATGCATCCCGGTGCTGGGGTCCAAGCCAATGCTCTGGAACTGCCTTTGGGCTTGTCTGAGGATAGCGCCCCCTACATCTTTCATCTGTAATGCAGTCTTATGAAACAAAGTGTCCTTGGAGTTGTACTTGAGGCAGTTGGATATCATGAGTTCAAAGTCCTTCTCCAAGTCTGAGATAGTTGCGTAGCCGTGCGCCTCCAGCTTGGTTCGCATCATGGCCAAGTCCATGGGCTGGGAAACAAACTCCAAGTAATCTGGGACCTCAATCAATCATAGAAAATTATCTTAGCTTATAATTACGTCAAAGTCAAAGTTATTCTAAAACATACCAGGAGATATATTTGTGCATGAAATGTTTTAACTAACCTCTGAAAGATTGACGGGTTGTGAGAATATTTTACTTGTGTCCTTTTCCTGAAGTTGCTCCAAAGTGGTTCGAAAGAGCACCATTGCTGGAGTTAGCTTTAGCTCAAGAGCAGCTTGCTGAAGTTTCATCTGAGGAAACAAAGTCAGATAATCTTATTTTGATCATTGTAGCTGTTATCTGGACTTCAAAACCTAAAAAAAAAAATGTCCAAACACCAGTATGTAGCATTGATGGTAAGGAGTTCATCTGTTCCACTACACATTAACCTGTTACCATCATCATTTTAAAGTTAGTCTTCTCAGGTGTAATAATGAACTATAATGAAATCAGGAGTAGTTTCATTTTTAAAAGTAAACAAAAGGCAAATCAGTCAGCAAACCTCCCTTTTGTAGTTTTGGTCAAAAAATCTCCATGAATTAAAAAAAACATAAATGCACTCACTATATGAGCACTAGACAATATAATGAATACCTCTATAAAATTATTAAGCCCCTGGCAAGCTCCTTATTTTGTTTCCCCAATTCTGCCTCCCTTCAATTTTGGTTTAGGGATTTATACCATTAGAACACATATTTTAAAATGTCTAAGTAAAATAGTAATATTTCTTGGGAAAAAATAATAACGGCTCACTAATTCTCTCCTAAAATAACCGTTGCACTGATTGGACTTGGAGCTCAACTCTGACCAGAAAAATGCAGGAGTTTGCACCCACCTGGTCCCTCTTTAGCCTCTCCCTCTTCCGGATGAGCTCGATCAGGAGTCTGGCTCTCTCCAGGTCCTGCCTCAGTTTCTGCCAGTATCTCAGCTCCTCTCTCGCCGCACTCAGCTTCTCATCGGGCTCCTTCTGTTCGGACATGAACCGATTAAAGGTGCCAAGGTTTTAGTGCTTTTCATCATCAAAGGTTCATAAAATTTAACTAAATGTGAGTTTTATTTCCTCTATAGTTTGGACCAATAAAACAACTAATAGATGAATGCCAAACTGTGCAACACATCATGGAGAAAAATTAGCTTTACCATCATAAAGTACTGTTAAAACCGTTTTTTTTCAATAGTATAAATATGAAACTTATCCTTCACTAAACCAGATAAAATCATTTCTGAATGTAGTAATTATTATGGTTTAATTATCCATATATTCATGTTGTTTACCTGTTCAGTGGTTTTGTGAGTTTGCATATGAGAGTGGAGCCGTCGTATCAAAGGCATCCCATTTCTTGACTGCCGCTTCAGTAGCCAGTAGTTATGAAGTCTCTGCATGAATTGATTTTTTCTCTGGACGTTTACCCCAGTACAGATCCTATTCAGCCTGTGAATGTAGAGAGCAGCGGGTAAATTATGTTTGGCTATTGTTTCACATATTGCACAGGAACTAGGTTTGTTTATTATATTGTAACATTCTCCACAATATGATCTTTTGATATTTTACAAGCAAACACTATACTTTCCAAGTTTGCTTAGCTGTTTTAAAGCTGGGGTGCCAAACGCTTTGGCCCATATATTTTGTTTGTTGCAACAGGATGAAAACAGAAAAATTACTATAAAATATGTTAATTTTTGCCCACTTGAAAGAGTGAGTCACTATTCCAAGCTGATCTAGAGATGGCAGAGCCCAAAAAATTGATACATGGGAAAATTAGTTTAATAGATTTTATTACACAGTTGAATCTATTGTTGTTTGAAAAAGTCAGATACCTCAGCTTTAACAATGACAAAGACATATTCTGGAGTATTTCCCCATCCACTACCATAGTCGATCAGTGGGTGAATGACAGATTGAAATGACATCTTAAAAGCACAAAGAAGTGTGAAGGATTGTGACTAGTAACTGTGATTAGTTGTCTTGTGTGATAAAGTTAAACTATGGATTAATAACCCAAGTATAAAAGTAACATTGTAAGAAGTGTGATTTGCCTATGTATGTTACTGCTCTATTCCACAATCTAAATCTTTATCTAATCTAACAGACTTCCACCAATTACCTGTGCGACGGTATCTGAGGCACAAGCAGCAGAGGCACATTGGATCGCCGCGACCCTCCCCTCTTCTTCTTCTGTCCTTTTGTACCTTTTTTATTTTGCGGCGATGGCGAGCTCTGGGTGTAAGATCTTTGCCCCCTGTTGCCCCTCCCTCCCACCAGCCTTCCCTCCACGGATTCATCTCCCGAGCCGTCCCGCCGCTCCCCGACTGGAGAGTGGTGCTCACAGAACGCAGTCTTCTTCACTGAGAAAGTAGTTCCGTTCACGCCGGTCTCCCTGACTGGATCGATCTTCATAAACAAACCGGCTTTCTGGGCGCACGTCACATGGAAAGCCCGGTAGCAGTTGGCTTTGTGGCACTGTATGGACGCGCCCCTGCCCTTTTGCTTGCAGAGATAGCATGTTAGCTTCCAGCGGGCGGGGGGGATGTTCTTTATCCCTTCCACTGGCTCCAAAAACACAGTATTGGCAAAGCAGACTTCCGGTATCCATATGGCACAGACGACATGAGCCCAGCGCCCGTCGCTTGTTTGCTTGAAGGCACCTCCCCGGTTGGGACACAGCACGCAGTCTACTGGGCGGGAGGGGGATTGCAAGCAGCAGCGACACAGCCACTGGCCTTCTGGGACGTAGGGCACCCCGTAGCACTCCTGATGCACTGCTAAATTACAGATGTCGCAAAACAAAATCACGTTACTGTTTAGGCATTCGTCATCCAGGCAAACACAGCAAAAGGCATCCTCATCGACAGCACACTGAGCCAAAGCCTGACTCCGGGATTCTAATATGGACTCTCTCTCCAGTCGGTCGATGAGGAGTTCGAACGTGTTTGGCGGTACCGAGGCCACACCGTCGTGCACTCGTTTTTGGTTGACCATTTCTAACCAGGCTAAATCTTCTTCATCCATGTCATACTCTGCTACATTGTCCTGTTCTTCCGCTGTTTTGTCTATGAATCGGTAATAGGCGGTTGGCAGGGAAGGAGCTTCTGAAAGGCTGGCAGATTTCAACAAGCGAAATTTAGGTTCAGGCAAAGGTGACTGGTGCTGTGTTGACTTTGTATGTCCATTCTGCTGATGGGATCGCTGTTGATTCTTTCCACTCTTTTTGTTTTTGTTATTTGTTACTTTTCGACTGGACCTGGTTTTGCTCTGGGTCTTTTCCTCACTGTTCTCCTTGTTGCTGTTGCATTCTACAATATCCTGTGCCGTCATTTCATCATCGGTTATAATGGGAAGGAGGTCAGAGATATTGATGCGGTGGATTCTCCCCTCCAGGTCAACTTCCACAATTTTCTGAGCCTGTGCGTAGGTGAGCGTCTCCCGGGACGGAGAGAGCTGCAGTTTGTAAGGGGAAGCAGGGCGAGGGTCACCAGAGCTGCCCCGGCCCCGACCTCTGCCCCGACCTCGACCCCGGCCCATGATGCCGCTGTGGGCGTCTCACATTCCCACCTCCGAGCGTGCGTGGGTCATACACCAGCTTCCTGTAAAATACGAGAGGATATAAGAACTAAGGCCGCATAGAAAGTTTCAAAAGTCATCATTCTGGACCAACTTTCAGTCATCTGGTTATTTATTATCATAACTAATGTTCAGCCTGTTATATATTTGACATATTGTCTGGAAAGTTACTCAAATGGTAATACACTACAAAATGTTTGTTTTGAAATATTGCTATTTTTACACTACTTTGAGTTTTAATTGCGTTACTTCTACTTCCAGGTGCATTCCTCAATGCCACTTTCTTTGAAGTGTTCCAATATCTATTTCTTATATAGAGGTGTTATTGCTTTGCAAGAACTTGTAAAACAACATCGAGATGAACTCTGGCACCACAGGTCCACCTTTAATGACACCTTTATTTTCTTTACACATTCTGAAGCACTGATCATAATAGATATTTTATCTTTTTGATAGTTTAGTTAGTTTATTTGTAAAGATAAAATTTGCAACCACTATTCAATATTGCTCATGTATATGTATGTACAGTGTATTCCTATGCAAGTGTATGTGTATATTATATGTAATATGTTAAATGTATGATATTAACTATTTCACTATTGCTCAAATGAATGAATAAATGACAAACGGATGTAGACATTGCTTTGTAAAATACAATTAACATGTATCTATCATGCAAAATCATATATTCATATCTGTATCCCAAATAGACTGTAACCAGATTCCATACCATGACGTCAAGTGTTCTCAGTGTTTTGAAATGCTCTTCATTTTAATATGCAAGTAAGATTATAACTGGTAAATGTAATAATAATTGTATATAAGCGGGCTTTTGTCATCAAGATTAATAAATCCATGCTGGGTTACATTAGACCACAAATACATACTTATTAGTTGTGTTGTTGTCATAATCAATGTTAAAATGTCATTTAACAAAACAACAAGTTTAATCATGTGTGGTTCTGTGTAACATGTGTTATCTAAGGATTTTTGAGGCGGACAGCTTCATTATGTCAAAGGGGTTAGTGACATTGTTGAAGTAAAAACAAACGTTACCTCAGGTACTCTCTGCATAAACAGTGAGTTATGCTTTATCGCTGTGTTATTACGCCATTGGTCCAAATCAGAGCCCGTAACCACACTGTCCAATCAGAATCATTCTCCACCGAGTTTTTTTCTGCCTCAGTGCTCAACATAGTTTGGTTGCCCTGCGCTAAATACCTTCCCGAGTATCTAACATCTGTCAGCCATTTTAAGCGAAGAACAGCGGAGTCAACATTTCTATAGCCGCTGGTTAGGATGCACACTCCGCCGCACAGCAGCCGTCAATCTGACGGCTGCATGGTGCTGTTGCTCCGTGTCCAAACCCAGTGCACGCAAAACACCAGCACGACATTACAGTGCGCAACGCCTTTGCTGTGCCCAAATACAGAGGCGACAGGAGCTGCTGATGTGATAAGGTCTCCTCGGACAGGACACTAGTCTCAGAAGCACAGACTGTCGCATAGTCGGAGGAGAAAACATGGGAGACATTACCTCTCAGGACGCTCCCCCGCAGAGAGGTGTCACGTACAATGAGCAGCAGCTAAAGCAGAGCCTCTGACAGAGCACACACCACAGCCGAGGCGGACATGCTCATGTTAGCTTAGCTCGCCGGTCATTCAGCAGCGACAGTGGCATCTTCAGCTCCGCAGAGACACACGGGAGACACGGCAGCAGGACCCGGGCCCGTAGCACAGGCATGGGCCATGGGAAAAACACCTGTTATTTTCACAAAAACGTTCAACTGATGAAGATATACATTTAATGCGCCTTGGATGATGCTAAATATTCAGTCAAGATGGCTTGAAAATACGCCCCTTTGGAAAAAAGCACACAGCCAGTCATAGGCCGTCACTTTACCTCGCGCACAACGCGCACCGACCTCTGATTGGTCAATGCTCAACCCCGAGTCTGTCTACGATAACCTGAACCTCAGCGCTGTCACAAATAAACAAGCCTCATTTTCTTCTGCACATACAAGTCTACTGTGCTTCAGACGAAGCTGCTGTAGTATCAAATGAATACAACGAATAGATTTAGCTTCTATGTAGCTTGAGTGGTCAGCTCTATCATAACTATAGTCACGTTTAATCCAGTTAGTCATCATACATCATCATATGTAATTCTTTTTTTCAAAAAATTAAGAAAAAAAATCTCAAAGGAACTGGTTTCTTTAATATATTTAATTTCAAAGTTACTCATTCCAGAAAACAAATCTGGCAAATAGTACTATACAGTCAAAGAAACTCAAAACTCCATCTGTAAACAATTTATTTAACATCAGAATTACGCTTTGATTATAATTAGATGCCACTTGTGCATTTACAACAAATTAGCTTTTTACATCGTGTACTACGACTTTGTACATCAGAGTAGTTGAAGCATAACTCAGAGACCGACGTCACTCGAACATCATCAGTGCGATAATGTTGTTAACTAAAATAACTTTTTAAAGTCAGTAATATTGTAGAACAAACTTGCCCAACACTGAAGATACGTGCACAAGAAGAATGATGAAACTATTGAATTGCTTTTCCATTGGGGTAGCAGTCAAAACATATCGACATCTCATCACAACTTTGGGAACTTCTTTCTCTTGTAATTCTGAAGTTTGGGGTCCCTCCTCCTAAGGCGTCTCCCTTCTCTCCTCCTACAATCCCCTGCTGTGACTCCGTACTTTTGAAAGATCATAACTGTTCCTGGATCATAGCTCACTGAACCAACAGATCCTCCAACATCTCTGAACAGACAACCCACAAATCCTTCCTATTCCTACACAGTTCCACAGTCTTTACCCCATTTTTACTAGGATACTGTGCTACGATACAATGCTTCAAAGCCTTGTTGTGCTCTTTGCTGCCTTTCTGTTTGACACAAGAATTTGTCATGCAGGTAAGATGGCTCTTTTCTATACTTAATGTGCTTAGTGTGCTTAATGTACTTACTGCCATATAGTATAAGTCGGATGTCATAACTACTGCTAAAATATCTGTGTTGTGTAACAATAGCTGCTTATTTTCTGGCTCTTGTGTTCCCTTCGCTGGCTGCTGGCGCGGATAGTTACAACAACAAAAATCCAAATACACCAACTGTCAAATGAATTTACTGTCATCTACTTCCTTTCCAACTCAGAGGCCCGAACAGGATATAAGCCAGAAAAGAGTGGTTATGAATCCAGGCCTGAAGCCAAACAAAGATCCAGTGTTTGATTTATGAATAGAAGTATGGTTTTCAAAACTCTCCCGTGGTTATCCAGATCCGGATTTTGGCCTTGATATGTTTTTAAATAAGCACGCAGCAGCATTCAATTTCAAAGTGCCAAGGCATTTAGATTTTGAATTAGAACAATTTTGAGTAGTCATGAAGAAAGCTGTTCATGAGCAAACAAAGAGGAAAACAAGTTTTCAAAGTGGTCATAATCATCACAGTGGTCTGGTTTTGATTTGACGTGATACAACAAAACCACAAACCACGATTAAGGTTCATAATATTACCCATGATGATAATACAATGGCTTACACAGACCACTAAATTGACATGCTGTGATTTCATCTCCATCTTTCTTCTTCCACTTTATCAATCGCCTGTGGCTGAATGCAACCATCCCTAAATCAAAGATATGTGCAATAGTGAGGAACAGTCATTTCAATTCCACACAGAAGTTATGTAAAGCTTATTCCTTTTGAAGACTGTGATAGTTCAAAAAGTTATGCAAAGCCCTTTTCTTTTTTCAGCGGAAGCAGAGCTGAGAATCACCACAATAATGGTATAATAATGTTATTTGCCACTAAAACATTTGGCCTATAAAGCATACAGAGGTTTTGTCATGTTTTATTTCTTGGTTGACAGCAAGAGCCCTACACCATGTCAAAAGGCCTAGAGCTGGAGGGGTTCTGCATGGACTTGCTTCGTGAAGTGGCCAAAAAAGTGGGCTTCAAATACAAAGTTCAGCTGGTAAAGGATGGCTCCTATGGCAGAGTGGACGAGAGCGGGCACTGGAACGGGATGATTGGAGAAGTTGTCAGAGGGGTAAGAGTACATAGTTAACATTTGAATACTTCATACATGGTTGATACATATTATTGTCTTAGCCATTATTGATGCTTAAGCAAATCTAAAACCTGTCAAAATACTGAGGGGTTTTAAGGCTCCTTGCAAATAGTATAAATCACCAAACAACATTTGCAATTCAAAAGTTAGTGGTTGGTTTTTGAGTCTTTGGACAAGGCAATTCAACCATCTCATTATTGAAGTTTGAGCTATTGTATGAAAAGCTGATCAAGTAAATCCAGCAAAGACAATTTTGAACCAATATTTTTTTCATGTTAAATACTAATATTTATTAAAATGTATAACTTCTGAAAATACTGTGATAGATGTATTTTATAACCCTGAAATCTGGTTGTCCAAATCAGACCACAACATACGGTACTCATTTTATTAGTGATCATCCAAGCTGTTTTGAAATCGAGGAACTGGATGGAATTTATGACAGAGTTATTTCTTTGTTTTGTTTAAATTTGGCTATAACCGTTGTCTTGTCTGCTGTAGGAGGCGGACCTGGCCTTTGCTCCTCTCACTCTCACAGCAGCTCGGGAGAAGGCTGTAGGGATGACCAAACCTTTCATGCAGACGGGAATCAGCATCCTGCTCCGTAGAGACAGCTCAGAACACCAGAGCTCCTTCAGCTTCCTCTCCCCCTTCAACACTCAGACATGGATCAGCCTGTTAGTGGCCCTTCTCGGAACTGCAGCGTGCATGTATCTACTCGCACGGTCAGTGACTTATCCTACGTCATTTGTGTCTGAACCCCACACATATTTTTGGATAACCTTTTATGTATCAAATATGCATTGTTACTATTTGCAGGTTGAGTCCATGTGAAAGTGAGAACAAGTTCAGCGTTGTGCAAAGTGTGTGGTACACAGTTGGAAGTTTGACTTTACAAGGTAAGAAGTTGCATCCAGACATTTTTTTATGTCTACAGTAGTGAGGCTGAAAGAAAAAAAATCAATTCTAATCGTTTTTGTAAAGGCATAAATCACAAAAGCTCAGATCAGAGCATCATAATGAATGAATGTCCATACATGTTAATACATTTGCATACATTTCCATAAATGTTCCTAAATCTCACAGATCATCAATGTCCATAGACCCTCCCACATCAGCAAGGAATCACTAAAAGAAAGGAAACATCGACTTCAGACACTTCCTCTAAAACTGATCAGTGATTCTTTAAAAAAAGATCAGTGACATCATGAGGTCCGGTGTATTTGCGTCTGAAGTGAACAGAGTCTAACCTTGCTCACAAGCTGTATTCTCACAGCATTTGAGACATCATGGCCCCACAGAGCAGAGTTCTTCACTATATCGAGCTGGCCCCTGTCAAGTTTTACTGAGTCCCCAGACTAATCTGAACACACTTTACATTAATGCAAAAAGGAACTAATGTGGATATTTGTGCAGCGTTGGCTGAATCATCTCTCTTCTTCTCTTGTATGGCAGGTGCTGGTCCTCATCCTAAATCTCTCTCTGGTCGTGTGGTCTGCTGCTCTTGGTGGATATTTACATTGTTCCTTTTGGCTCATTATTTTACAATCCTGAGCTCCTCCAACTCCTCACAGTCTTCTTCAGTCACAGTGAAAGGATTTGAAGATCTGGCCGATCAGGGAACGATGGAGTATGGGTGCCTGGCGGGATCATCCACTCTTGCTTTCTTCAAGGTGGGTCTAAACATTAGTCATGCTTTAAAAGAAGCATCTTAAAACCTTAAAGCTGAGGTATGTAACTTTCAAGTTTTCACATGCATGCGTTATTGGCCTCTGTTATATCAGCTCACAGAAAGAAAAAAAACCCAATCAATTCATCTCTATTTACAAAGTGCTTTTTTTAAAGTGCCAAACTGTTGTTGTGTCCGTAGGCAAGACACTTCACCCCCATTGCCTAGAATGAGTCTGGTGTGTGTGAATGGTTGGTGGTGGTCTGAGGGGCCAATGGCACATACTGGTGGCCAGACTTCTGTCAGTGTGCCCCAGGGCAGCTGTGGCTACAGTAGTAGTTTATCACCACCAGTTTGGAGTGAATGAATAAGGACATGTGAAGCGTCTTTGAATGTCCAAAAAAACAGTATATAAAACCCATGCATTATACAGATAACACAAAGCGCAAAATCCAATCAGCTCTCAGCTCAAACAGTCAAACAGTGACTGACAGGGTTATTTCTTACATGTACAGTATATGCAAATATGATGAGATGAATGTGTATATATCTTTTAGTTGAATAGCTTCAATATTTCATTCTATTTTAGAAATATATAAGCAACAACCCATCTCACATCAGGCCTGATTTGGTATTTTACTTTTAAACCATTCATTGTCTTTGTTGCAGAATTCCAATAGCATGGTCCATCGAAGGATTTACGAGCACATGGAGAGGAGTAAGAGCTTTGTCACGTCCATGGACGAGGGGGTGCGCAGGGCCAAAGAGGGAAACTTCGCCTTCATCGGGGAGTCCGTGTCCCTGGACTTGGCTGTGGCTCGTCACTGTGATCTGGTCCGCACTCACGAGGTCATCGGGATGAGAGGATACAGCATTGCAACACCCATTGGTATTTTTCAGATAAATAAGAAAATGATAGTGAAAATGATTCATACATATAATTGTGTCTTCACTACATATTATTTCACATTTTCTTTGCCATAATGGTGCAAAGCGGATCTTGCAGAACTTAATACTCCATCCATCCATCCATCTTCTTCCCCTTAATCCATTTCTGGGTCGGGGGGGTGGCAGTCAGAGCTGCACCCAATTCACTTAGCACCAGCCCCTCACTGACCCTCTGCAGGTGGTGAGTCCACAGGAGGACGGCTGCTCTGTCAGTGACAATACAGCCTTGATTTTTCAGCGGGGGCTTCAGGCAATGCAGGGTTAAGTGTCTTGCCCAAGGACACAACGACAGCAGTCATCAGTGGGAGTCGGTGGAGAAGGTCCCGTGGTGGGCTTGAACCCACGACCTTCAGGCTCAAAGGCCAGTGCTCTACCAACTGAGCTACTGTCGCCCCCGAGAACTTAATACTATAGAAACAAATTCCTGGACTTGGATTTTTTGACTATTTGTGTGGGATTACAATGGCAGGACTATACATTTTTAGTAGCTGTTGATGTTGAGGATATTTTGGAGGGTCAGTTTTTGGATTAGGTTCTGTTTGCATCAGGATTGGTAAACAAACAAAAAACACTGTAGCTTGATTAAGTATCTTTTTCACCTTAAAGTTTTAAGTTCAAAATCAAATTCTCCAAAAGGGAGATGAAAGCATACATTGAACCAGGGTTTGTATATCGTGTATGTATTGTACTGCACATCAAGTCAATAATGTAAGAAATGTGTCTCTTTCCCAGGTTCTCCTCTCATTAAGAACCTGAGTGTGGCCATTCTGCAGCTGAGTGAGGCAGGGGAGCTGGCCTATCTGCGCAACAAGTGGTGGGCCAGCCACTGCTTGGACCAGGACCACAGTGGGACCACACAGGGGCCTTCCCACGGACTTAAGGGGCTGTTCCTGCTCCTGTCCCTGGGTTTAGGCCTGGGGCTCCTCCTGGCGGTACTGGAGCTCATCAGCTACTGCCGAACCAGAGCAGCAGAACAGAAGGTAAGAACTGAAGTGTAGACGATGTATGGAGTGTACAAGCAATGGGTTCTCAAAGTGAGGGGCAAGACACAAATCTGGAGGAGCTGAGATGAACACACAATTTTGTCTGCTTTTCACTGTATTTGACCAAGGATTTTACAATTAACATAATTCCAACTGGAAAGATTCAAGATACAGATGGCATTAGAATCATATATTTTGGCTTGTTTGCATGACTATACTGCATTATAAGACAAATAGCTCCAGCAGAAGCATGATATGTTACAAGTTTATTGTATTTGGACATGTCATTTTCAATAAGATTGGGAAATTAGAGCCGCCAGAAATATTGAAAGACATATGCAGGATGGAATTTGATAGCAGCAATGAGCGTGCGAACCCCACAGGGCCTAAACCCTGGCTGCAAAGGAACCTGAGCCAATTACATGATGATCCTTCACTAAAGAGGCAGTGATGGGGAGGAGGTTGGTTTCTGCACAAGCAATTCCAAGTCGATTGTAAATTGCAATATCAAATCTACTCTACAGCTGTGTACAAACTATTACAGCCTATTCTGCTGAATATATATGTAACTAAATATAACAAGAATGCTTTTTTGCAACTCTATATTACTGTTATAAACCAATACTACTCATGCAAGGACAAAACAGTTTAAATAGGATGGCATTTTCACAACATATACAACACAACTGAACTTGTTCTGTGTTTTTCTTATAGAAACCGTGTTGCTCTGTGCTGATCGAACAGCTACGTCTGCGCTTCAAGACCAACAAAGCAAGACCGCAGGAAACAGATGAAAATAATAAGGACAAAGCATAAAAAAAAGCTTTTTTTATTACATGACAGGAGATTCCTAACATTATTAAATTGAAATTTAATATGAGATTTACACAAAGTATAATAGATCACAATAGATCATATTAGATATTTGTAGTGCACATTTCCTTGTTTATATGTACAATTGGCAATGGCGTAAATTTTTTCTGTAAACATTTCCAGCAGAGTGTATACAACATGTGAAAAATGTAAACAATATAGCAGGTTGATAAAACTATACTTTTTTATCTTACAATTTCACTGAAAGAACAAAAACACTGAAAGGGAGGCTGTAGTCACACGACCCCTGGTTTGATTCTGGTTTAGTCTGGCTATAACTATCTGGCAACAATACATCCTACAAGTTGATTATTACTAAGAACAGAGTGGAATTTTCCATTTTGACTGCTGGTGTGAGGTCTCTCTCAGAGTGGTCACGTGATGTCAGCTGTTTTACACAGTTTTTGGCACTGTTTTCCGACCACTAGAAGCAGGACGAAAGCGTCATCTGTAGTCCTACTTCTTCAGAGTGAGAGTAAAAATTCTCCCTCGTCCCGGTCTATGGTCCAGCGTCAGTTTTGTTGTTTTCAGCCCCTTTGTTTTTTGCTTAGTCCATAATGTGGTTCTCTCTTTTACAGTGGATGGAAATAGACAATTTGAGTTTCTCTTGTGTACTGAAAGCCCTCCCTGTTTCCACAATGTCGGTTTTATTGCATGACATGCGTGGTATTTCATAGATGAGGTTTTCTCAGGAGTGCCTCTGGTGGTGAGAAGACAGCACCAAAAACAGTGTGCTTCTGACAAGACACGCCGCAGGAACATCCCATGACCATCCCATGACTACCCTGGGCGGCACGGTGGCTGAGTGGATAGCACTCTCGCCTCTCAGCAAGAAGGTCCTGGGTTCGAATCCCGGCCGGACCAGGGCCTTTCTGAGTGGAGTTTGCATGTTCTCCCCGTGTCTGCGTAGGTTTCCTCCGGGTACTCCGGTTTCCCCTACCACTAAAAATATGTACAATAGGATTGGCATGCGCCTCCTGTTCGGCGACCCCGCTCCCATCTCTGTGTGGAGTGAGAGACAAGTGCCCAAAAATTAACAATTGTAAACCGCTTTGAGACTCAGATTTGCAGTGAAAAGGCGGTATATAAATAAAGATTACTTACTTACTGATGGGAGACTGCGCACCAGCAGTTAATAAAAATAAAAACAATGGTCTTAAAGAAGATAATTAACTTATAGAATCTATCAGAAGACCAAGTGAACCTTGTTGGACTGGCAACAATAAAGAGACTTTTTCTTTGTCTATGTGTCATTTCCTGTTTGTGCATGTGACATGTATTTTTTATAAATGACTAATGAGCAAAACATAAAATGTGGCATATTATTTCATTTACCAGACACATTTAGATAAATATGAAATGTAAATGATTATTTGTTGAATTATATCATTGATTAGAGTAGGCTAAAAAACAATTGAAATTTTGTAAACCAGAATCCTAAATAAAAACATTTTTAAAATCCAAATTAGAACATTTTGAAACTGAACCAAAACGAAACAAGGAGAAACTGATTCAACACAGTTCATAATGTCGCCTTAACCCTGAATCTTGTAGCATTTTAGTACAGCAGCGATTTAGTGGTTTATTATTATTGATGCTTTGAGTTTCCAGAATAAAAATAAATGAATAAAGGAATATGCTATTGCCTTTTTATTTTTTCATAAAAGATATGTTGAGATAACAGTAATCAGTAATGTGAGAATGAAAGAAGAGCAAATCTAAAACTTTTTTGTTTTGTTCTTGCACATGGAGTAAATCCTCGACTAGAATCATCCATCTCACACTTCTCAAAAAGGTGAAACACCATCTTGCCTTTAATCATATGTGTAGACTTAAATCAATTCACACAGGGCTCATGGCTGGAGGGATGCGGTAAGAAATGCCAATAGACTTGTAGTGATGTCACACACATGTGATCATGAACTTGCTTGATGCCTGGAGGGCAGAAGCGGCATTTTGCCCTTCCAGCTGTCGTTGTTATCTGTAAAACACTATGGTATATACCTGTAGTTGGTGGCACCTGAAGCCAATGCTAATCATAACAGCTAGCATTAGCGGCCGTACAATTTGTATAAAATCTATGTTAATTGCAAAAACAACAGAACTGCCATCATCCCTATTTGTTGAAAAAAAAATATATATATATATGGTGCCCCTTTGTAGTTGTGAATATAGTAACACATTATTGCTCAAAACTCTGACTCTCGCAGATAAAACAGTTCTGTCAATAAATGTAAGAAAGAGTTTTTCTTATAGACACATAAACACATCTGGAATGTAGCGTTGGACCGAGAGCTGACTTTTGGACCATCCTGTAAAGCCGTTTTTGAGAGGAAAGAAGACGCCATACAACAGCATAATTCTCCATACAAAAGGTAATTTTCTTTCCGGGTACACCCCAATGGCCAGGATTGAGATTGATTGCAAGTGTCAGACCTTTTGGAGCCGAGACCAGCCTAACTGGTTTTTCTCACGGCCTGGAGTAGTGAGTCGCTACTATCTTCTTCCCCTCAGCTTTACTTTGCATGCGCGGAAACACTGCATGTGAACTCAAACATTCATTGCCTCAAACACTGCTTTGTATCGGCCATCACGCATGTCCGCCAGTGAAATTCCAGCCTCCTCCTCTAATCTGATTCTACAGCATCTAAAAACATCTATGAAATCAATAATTACTCAAAATTGTCTTCGAAAAACAGGGGTGACTTGCAATGAATTTCTCTCATCTTCTGTTCAAAAAGCGCCTTCATTTCCCGTTGCAAAGTGCCATCATCTAGCCCTGATTTGACCGGGACGTTTGAAGCCACAAACTCCAGGCTGTCTGTACTCCCGCTGCTAATGGAAGAACTTTCGGACAGACACACACCGTTGGGGATGGACGTCACATGGCCACTGTAACTGTCCTCACTTTTCTGCCATTGCAACTCAGTCTTACGGTTCAACATTGGCGTCTGTGAGGGTAAATGTTTCGGCGGGCAACTTTGCGATCGGTGTTTGGTCCGTATTGGTGAGGAGGGTCTTGGGGCCGCTGGAGTCTCTAATGTCCGTCTGATTCTGGGAGGAGATGGAGGTGGAATGAGTGGTCGTTGAATGTGATGAGAGAGGGAATGCTGTTTCGTCTCAGAGGTCATTTTTGCGTCCGCTTCGTCGTCGAGTTCTAGCTGTGGTGAATCGTTCATTGTTTCAGGTTGCTCAAATTCGCACGTTTGAATTTCTTCTTCCTCTACAAAACATGGAAGGGCCGCTGGTTGTGGCTCTATTTGGACTAAACTGGGATTCTCAGTAGTATCCGTAGAATCTTGGGAAACAATGTCAAAAGTGTCTGGTGAGACGAAAGGTGCTGGGGTGAGAGGCGGGGACTCAACACTTGCCATTCGCGTCAATATGCCCCTTTTTGGTTTGGGTGGAGGTTCTTGGAAATTGACCCGTTGGGCGCGCCGCACTGGCTCGCTCATCGCGCCCTTGTGGATAGCTGCCATAGCTGCAGGACCAAAAGGAAAACCGTCCCCATTTTTACTGTCCTGTGACAACGTGTCCAGATCTCGCCGATAAATTGAACGTGCATCGTCTGAAGACTGGACAGAGAAGTCCAAAGACGCTTGTCGAGGTTGTCCTTTTATGTGCTTCTGAGCTGCCTTCTGGATGTGTTTCTTAGCGGCTTGGACGGCATTAGTGGGTTTCACCTACAAAATAAAAAATACATATATAGGAAAATTTTGTTGCAGATCAAGGCATTAGATCAAAAAGTATGCAAGCTACTTAGTTAATAAAAGGCTCCCACATCTGTTATTTAATTTCTTGCAAAAAAAGATTCAGTAATATCTTCATTAAAGCTGGGGTACTTGACTTTCATATCACAGTAATGTTACTAGTCTGTGTAATAAAATGCAACCAGTTTCTCCTGTTCAATAAAATTTGGTTTTATCACTAGTTTTCACATCTTTAGATCAGTGTTTTCAGGCAGAAAAGTGTAAAAGAAGAACCACTCTTGCAAAGCCAATCAGCTCTCAGCCCAAAGCATCAATTTGTGACTCACTGAGCTGTTTCTTACAAATATACAAAAGACAACATACATGCAACATGGACATGCACAAGACAGCATTTGTTCACACTATCTTACTAACAAAAAACTTTTGGTTGGAAGAAATGTCTTAAATAAAAAGTTAGGTAGTCCAGCTTTTTAGTGAAAAATGTTACAAACTCCATAATGAATTACAACTTTTAGCATAAATAAAAATCCATTCAAAGTCAGCAGAAATCTCACCTTTCCAGTGTTGTCGTGGATGGCAACATGAACAAAAATGGAGGACTCTGCCATGCCTTCCAGGTACACATGACGATAGCCTACAGGTCAGGAATAAGTATATTTATTTATATGTATGATCTGAGAATATGAGAACTGCAGTTAGAGAAGACATTTATATCTCTGTACCTGGGAGCATACTTCTCAAAGCTATCGTTCTCTGTCCAATGAAGTCACGTCCAATTGGATCATGGTCCCACACCTCAAATCGCACCAGAGCTATTTGAGGCATTTGAATGTTGAACACAAGAGTCTCCTCCCACATAGGATTAAAACCTGGGTTACAGAATACATTTCAAAACAGATTGAAGAAATACTTTTCAAATCATTTTTTAATTCATAATTTTACCATTATCATCCACGACTCTTGTTTGTTTCTTTTCGCAGTCCATGGGTAGACCAATAATTTCCACCTCAACATAGGGATCAATGATCTACGGGTGGAAAATTACAGAAAATGAGCATATTTCTTTCATTTTCAGCAGGTATTGTAAACGTACCTCTCCTCTGTCTCCCAACATTGAATCTTTTGGTTTTGGAAGCTGCTGTCCACTAATGATTTTCAGGATTAACTGTGTTTTTCTATGTCCTGGCAGAGGATCATCTAACATGGGATTAAAGGCACCTATAAAGAAATTAAGACATTGTATACTGTATTTATGTAGCAGTTGCTCACATTTACCATTTCAAAATACCCACCTTTATTGAGGCACTTGGGCCTCAGCACAAATCCACTGTTTCCGTTGCTGGCAAACTTGGCCCGGTTCAGCTCCAGCATTCGACCGTCAGTTTGATAATTCAACGCAACTGAAATATTTACAGACGCCATATGATAGTTAAAAAATCAAAATGTGGGAACGGGACATGCTTCTTTTGACCAACATAATACAGCACAGTTTAATTCACAAGTTTAATTTTCCTGCAAATTACTTACATATTAGGTATTAAAAACATTTGATGATTCGACCTCTTGGTAATCATGTGTCAGAGTTGCCATTGTTCCAGTGATAGCTGTTGGTTTTTTCCTTTTTTTTTTTTTTTTTCTGTGAAATGTTTGACTTTAAAGATTTTTTTGGGAGTTTTTCTTAGGCTGTAGTTTCATTTCATAAAGTTGTTACTATAGTTATTGTGCCGCTCTTCATGCCATTTGAGTGGAGTTAAAACTTCGCTACATTGAATCCAGGGTACCTCATTTTATTTATTCATAAATAATGTTGATGGACAAACTGAAAGAGTCTGGTTATAGTATCATTTTGTGACCAAATGAGACAACAACAAATTTACTTATGATAACATGTTATTTTTTGCATACTTTGAGGAAATTATGCTAAAGCTAGAGATTTTATACTTTCTTCTTTATTATGCTATTATGGTATTCTCTTTCCTACTGTCCTGTACTGTAGCTGGTGATGCAACACTAACATTTCCCCGCTGTGGGACAAAAAAAGGATCTCTCAATCTCAATCTTATTTTATCACCTGAATGATAAGATAAGATAAGATAAGATAAAATAAAATTTGTTTTTCATACTGAAATTTCCTCATTGTGGGACAAATAAAGGACATTCTAACTATCTCACAGCGGAAAAATGTACAATGACGGGGGTTTTCACTTTTCTGTCTAAAAAAAGTTGATAGAAACCAAAAAATACATGTGAAAACTAGTGTTAGCGATTAAAGAGCGGATTTTATCAATACATTTTCAGACAATTAGTTTTATGCTTTGAAAGTTTGAAAGGTTCATTGGATAGATTCAATTGCGACGTACCCATGTGGCAGCCAGTGTTCCAGTAGGGCTGAGGGTTGAAGTTGCTGGAGTCCACTCTGTAGTTGGATGGATAGACTCTGAGGAGCTGTCTCTGGTTAAAACGGACCAACTCCCCGGGTTTCAGCTGCAAGATCTGGTTCATAACAGTCTCATTGAGAGAAGACACCTGCCAACTGTTGGTGCTCGCTGAGGGACAGAGGGAGAAGTGGTGATCAGAATGTATGATTATGTATCTTTGACAATAACTATGAAGTCATAATCACCTTGTGTTTCTATGTCATGAACTCGCACGGATTTGGTGTACCTGACCAGATCAGACAGGGCGCGAGAAAGCCTCATTGTTTTCCTTTTTCTAGACATGGAAATAAAATAACATCAAAGGTGATACAAAGCACAACATTGTCCAAGAGTAAAAATGTTCTATTTTGTATTTTTTTTTTTTTACTTCCCCAAAGACAGCAAGCTGTGAAATTATCCTCCTTCAAATCAAGAACTGATCTTTAACTGGAAACACTTTCTGAAATTCTACATGTTTAAAGGGGCCCTAAGTATTATGCACAATCAGTGGTCTAATGAAGTCATGGAGAAAGAAAATATAACTTCTAACACAATGCACCCAAGCCCCTGCTCTCTGATTGGATAATCTAAACTGTAAACATAAATATAATGAACATAGTGTCCATAGTTTTTTTTATCAAGGAAGATTAACAAACATGATGTAAACATGTTGACATGGGGACATATAGAAACTACCCTTACCCTCGGGTCAAAAAGACCCTCCACAGATGTTTAATAGTATAATAAAATTAGGCTCTAAAAGGGTCTAATGACCCAGGGCCGGTCAAGTTAGGAAAAATCATCAAAATTCAGCTTGAATTTCTTTAAATTTAGGGTATTTTTTAATCACTGTGGCGGGTCACGTTGACTCAAGGATTGCACAAGGGTGAAAATATTGAATGAATAACTTTTTTAAGAATACAATTTACATTTTTAAAGGACTTAAACAAAATAGGATCCACTTGCTTGCCGTTAGTTCCACTCACTTTGGATGATAGACAATCTGAGTCCTGTCTCTGCTGCCATTGTAATCCGACTCTCCATCTGACACTGATTTGTTTTTGGAGCGCGCTCTCTTTTTCCTCTAAAAAAAACAAATACATTTTTATTAATCATTCATTTAGCGGGATTAAGTAACCATCCCACTTTCCATGGGCCAAAACACAACTCCAGCTATTCCATTCATTCAAATATAACTCAAGGAATGTTAACTGCAAAAATATAAAATCCAAACGTAAAATTCTAATTAACCTTTCGTTTAAAACTTCTCATGATTGACCTTCCAAAGCGCTTTGCCTTCTTGGGGGGATTGGCAGATGTTGCGCTGTTTCTATCCTGTTGAAACATAGAGTCCCTTTAGAATTTCCATCTCCAGTAATGTGAGAAACTTTGAATTTAGTCAGTTCAGTAATGATATTCACAGGTGAACGGTCGTCTTCATCTGACTCCTCCTCAATGTCCTCGTTTTCAGTATCTTCATCAGACACATCGCCCTCCTCTGCAGTGGGGTCAAGGTTTACAGGCAGCTTTTTGCCCTGAGGGGAGAAAGTACATCTGCAGTTTCATTTCTATTCATCTATTTATATAGCACGTACAAAAGACCTCTGCTGGCCATGTTCCAGGAATTATAAATGCTTACCAGATAGACTAGCTGTACCCATCAACTTGTGTTTTTCTCTTGGTTTAGATTAGACTCATGTTTAGCCATATATAGGCCTGTCTAATTGTAGATTTGATGTTACTTGACTAGCTAAACAAAAAACCACTCTCATCTAAATTGCTGTTAATCCTCCTCACAAACCTCTACTCTTACTTGTATCATGTGCTATCTTTCTTTCAAGTGTACTTCAGAGAGCATGAGGGCATGAGGGCATTGAATATAAATTAAGCTACTTTTTCCTAAGGGCAATAACTATAGTTCTATGCCTAAACTAAGATAGGAAAAACATATTTTGAGTGCTACTTTAAAGGTTTTCCTAACACAGCATGACACAATTCAATTACACTTAGTAAATGATTTGAGATGTATGCCATGGCTATATCAAACTACCACAAAATATACCAAATATGTAGGTTGTTTCTGTGTTACTAAACTGTTGCTAAACCTTTGCCCCTGTAAAGCTCTTGCTACAGGATCTGCTTTTAGTCAAGTTAAGAGACAATGGTAATGGCTGACCTTGATCAAGACCTTCCCCTTGAGGATCTCAGGAGACGGTAGCTTCCTGAACTCGTGAGCATTGACACAGGACAGGTCCAGTTTGTCCTGCAGGACTTCTTTGAGATATTCTGCCATTTTCTTCTGCTGAGGCACAGTGCAGTGGTTCTCAATGGACAAGATAACCGGGAACCTGCAGAGACCGAAGACCAGGTAACGTCCAATTTCTTCCTTTTTCTTTCCCTTAATCCATTTCTGGGTCGGGAGGACCAGGAAATGGATTAAGGGTCCCCCAACCGTTACAGTATGAGAAAATAGTCTGCTGCACTGCATCCTCTTTTATGTATCACTTTTAATTTAAAGTTGGTAAGTTCATCTTTTTGGAATGCTGCTGCTGTGACTTATTCTACTTATTATTTGATTGTCTATAATTCAAGGAAACTCTTTCGATCAAAAACACTTTGGAATTTGAAATGCTTTCAACACCCCACACAGTAAAGAAAAATATCTTTTACTAACAGAATGCAAAAAAACACATTGGAAAATTGAGCAGAAGGGGAAAAATGTCATGGAGTTTTGTTGAGTTTTTCTCAGTAGATGCTAGAATTTGACTATTTATCGTACTTCAATTGACACTATGTACTTACGGTGTTTTGGTGAAGGCATATTTATTGATAGTTTCTATCACGTCTCTGAAGAGGATCTTGGACGTCAGAGTGTAGCCATGGTGTATGATGGGCTCTCCATCAGGGCCGTCCCAGCAGTCCACTGCAACAGTCAACCCAAAGTGATTCACTATCAATGTGTTGATGATTATGCTTCATTTGTACAAATGCATTTGTGAAAGCACCAAACAAATGTCCACTGGTGCGTCCTGATTAATAAGTGTGAACGCACCCCATACCATGCTTACATGGGAAGAATAACAGCGGTGTCTACAGTTTCAGACCTGCTAAGCATAAAAAAGACTGGATGTACATCCGAGATTGTTTTTTTTATGGATACAATCCTTGTTAGCTTACACTTATAAAGTCAACAGTACACGGTACATTACCAATTCAAATAATTCTAATATTTATCAAATGTAATAAAAGTATCTAAAAAGTTCCTCCTGGCTCTCAAAATCACTAGTTTTCTCATATATGTACTGTGGGCCTCTGACACATCTTTAGATCTGCTGATCAAACAGAACAGAGAACATTAGAGGACACCCTGTCCCTCCGCTCTCAGCCCCAGGAGTCAAATAGTGACTCACAGGGCTCTTTTTTTTACATAAGTATGAGTATGGAAAAGATCATGTGTTTTCTAAATAAATAAAGACAGCATATTGTGGTCTGATTTGGCAGTATCAAGACTCTTTCTGTTAGGGAGAAAAACTTGTCTCACCCTCCACACAGCGGCAGCCGTCCTGCAGAACATAGGAGTACATCTCCACCCTGGACTGGGACAGCAGCTGGTCCCCGGTCAGGTAGGTGTTATGAGAAGTGGCAATGTAGTAGTTATTCAAAGGCTGGCTCATGTCCTGATTCACCTGATGGTGCTCAGGGTTAAATATATCTCCCGCTGGACTCCGCATGTAGTTTGTAAAACCTTGGGCAGAAACGACAGAACGATGAAATTACCTTTGCTTTAACTTACTTTGGTTGATTTGGTAATGATCTATAATAAAAGTACCATCGATTCCCAGAACTAAACGCTGAAGGTTCTCAGGACACGGTTCAAATTTGTTCATAATGTCGACAAGATGTTCCCTTGCCAGACCTCGCATCTATAAAAACAAAAAAATACTTCTAAATCTATACAAAGACATTTGAATGATCATCTGTACCTTCTGCTCATTCTCCAAAAATCGCGCCAGATCCTGTAAGTCCATCACTTCCTTCTGGTTGCTGTATGAGATCATGATGAGGTACAGGTCTCGTCTCGTTGAAATCATTTTATAAAATGAGCAAAATTCTTCAAACCCAAGAGTTCCCTGGTTTTCATCTGTGTCTGCTTCCTGTGAGAAAATAAAGTGTAATTAATCTACCAGATCATAGTTTGTTGGCATGCAATATTATCAAAAGTCCACACGCAGCCTTTTTTGTGCCTCCAGTGAAATATAAGCTCTTAAGAAATTCATTTTAGGTTTGATTTTGTAGACACATTGGGCCTCATTCACGAATAACTTCGTAAGAAACTACTCAACTTTCTTCTCAAGTTGTCCTTAAGTAGATTTCTAAGAAATCCCTACGTGGGATTCATCAACGCACTCGTAAGCCGCTGAATTGTTCGCAGCTGTTCTCTCAGATTGATGAATCCCATTTCCTCTTAAGTACAGCGCGCGTGCCAGGTGCTTCATTAGCATAGGTACTTAGCATAAGTAACCGCCCATTAATGCAGGGCCTGCAGACTGCAGACTGGCCTGCAGACTGCAGGGCCGTGTGCAGACGGCTGAGGAAACAGCAACAGGCCTAAAGCAGGCCTTTTTTCTTCTTTTACCAGACTGAGAATAAAGTTATAAAATGTTGACTTAAAAGTCGAAATATTATGATAATAAAGTCGAACTAGCAAAATTATGAGATTAATCTAAGAATATGATGAGATTAATCTCAAAATGTTATGAGCTTAATTTAAAAATATATTATGTATTATTTTAAAGATGAATCTCAAAATGTTTTGAGATTAATCTCAAAATATTTTGGACCCTGGGAGGAGATCCAGCGCGGACCAGCGCTGAGACCAATGCAGACCCGAGGAGAGACTGGAGTGACCAGCACACAGAAACCAGCGCGGACCTGTAGAGACCGCATAGACTGTAGTGACCTGACTGGAGAGACCGGTGCGCAGAGACCAGCGCGGACCGAAGATAGACCGCATAGACCAGACTTGAGAGACCAGCGCGGACCCGTATGGATCCAGGAGCAGGCAGCACGGACCCGTATGGAGAGAGACCAGTGCAGACCCGTATATGGAAGAGACCAGCGCAGACCCGTATAGATCCATAGGAGAGACCAGCGCAGAGACTCAGCGCGGACCCAGTAACCTCCTGCAGCAGCAGTATATATGCCGTTGTTCTGTGGCCCGTGGATAAAGAAATGCCCCCTATAAATAGGAAGGGGTCACTAATACACGGCAAGATTTCCAATGTATTTGATAAAGCGTTGGCACATTTCATTTCAAAATGAATTAAAAAGTAGGCCAGATCTGCAGTGAAAAAGGCGGTATATAAATAAAGATTACTAATAAAGATTACTACAAATAAATAAATACATACATCGATATGACGGACATATCACTGGAATGTTGTATTTTTATTCAACTTCACCAAAGAGGACAACCCCGGCGTGTGAACATGTCGGCACTGAATGCGTAGGAGTGCTCCTGAGGACTCGTAGGATTTGTACTTGCCCAAGAGAAATTCTGGTTACGAGAAATATTCGTGAATGCCACTTTCTTCGTAAAAACCGCGTAAGTAGGATTTACGTACAAATCTGTTCCTAAGAACCGTTCGTGAATGAGGCCCATTCTCTTTATTGGTCATTATTCAGTTCAATGAGTCAAAAATGGAATTGATCCTTCACCTTTCCTTGTACTCCAATCCTTTGTAATGTGCAGTTCAATTGTGTTGTCAAACTGGGGTACTATCACCGAGGGAAACTGTGTGAAATGTCCCTGTAGCAGAAACTTAACTCAAACTCAATGTGCTTGGTAAGTCCCTTGTAAAGCTGCTGTGATTTATGTTATTTTTTCTAGTCTAGTTCCGCAGAATTCTTTGCCTCCCTCTACATTCATATCCATCTTCCACTCCATTGGAACACAATATCCTACATATGTTTTTTGCTTTTGGAGCATATTTTGAAAAACTGGTCGGCCAAAGTGTTTTTTATGGTCTCTCCCAAAAGCCACATTTTGGGCGGGAGGACGGAGGAACCAAACTAATGCACGATTGCAGCTTAAACTGAGGCCATCTGGTCCGCTCAGAGGGGGCTAGCAGTCTTCTGTGGGACTCCGCATACTCTGCCAAAATACTCCACACTGCATATTTGTCCATTGGCGCTCGGTCCAGTGTCAGCCCTGGGGCTGTGTCTGTGTACGACTTGTGCACAGAAGATTTATAACTATTAATGCCTTTTTTGTCTTCTTCATTCTTAGTTGCCATATAGAATCATTATCTGTAGTGTTGCATAATGTTAGTTTGCGTTCCGTCTCCGTCTGTGGTTGTGGTATTTTTGTTTAAGGCTTGCTCATGTACTGTATTTACTTTTCCTTGAGTTAAATATATGCAATTTGATGAAAATGTTGTATCTTCAGCAATAAGCCTCGTCCACATTGTGGCATAACAATTATCTCCTTGGAGATTGTTTCCAAGTGTAGTTTAATCTATTTTTATTTAATTTGACCATTGTCCTCTGCATATAAGCATTTAACCCATCCATCCATCCATTTTCTTCCCCTCAATCCATTCCTGGGTCGGGGGGGTTGGCAGTCGGAGCTGCACCCAGTACACAGAGCATCAGCCCCTCACTGATCCTCCTGCAGGTGGTGAGTCCACAGGAGCCTTGATCTTTTAGCGGGGCTCCAGGCAAAGTGGGGTTAAGTGTCTTGCTCAAGGACACAACGACAGGAGTCATGAAGTAGGTCTTGTGGTGGGCTCGAACCCTTCAAGCTCAAAGGCCAATGCTCTACCAACTGAGCTACTGTCGCCCCAGCATTTAACCCACCTCCAGAAAGTATTTTTTTTTTTCTTAAAGTAATATTTATTTATGCGGTGCCTTTTACAGACCGGAGTCACAAAGCGCTTTAAAATTGTTTATTAGACACTCATCTCTCACTCCACACAGAGATGGGAGTGAGGTTGCCATACAGGAGGCGCATACCAGACCTATATACACGTTTTTAGGGGTGTGGGATTCAACTTTATCAGACCCTCTCACCTGAAACATCTCCTTGACTTTCTGTCTGGGAAGATTGACGTTGAGTTTGTGGAGCAGCTGGTGAACTTCTCCAATACTCAGAGTCCCATCACAATTTTTATCAGCCTCTGAGAAAGTCTGCTGCAACCATTTAAGCCAGAGTTAAGGTTCAAAAGCAAAGATTAGAATACCACTACAGGGAAGTGCACTTTTTGTTAAAGCCCTGACACTATTCTTTTGGGTCGCTCTGACCCATGGCTCCTTCGGCTCGAAAACATGCTCTGGTCCAAAAGGCTCTAAATGAGCCAGGTCAAGTTAGAAACAAGTCATTTTAATTCAGCTTTGAAAACAATGATCTAGGGTACTTTTTAAATCACTGTGGCAGATCAATTTGACCCGAGAACAGCACGAGGGTTTGGTGGTCAAGTAGGAAGTTGATGAACCCCGCTCTTTTGATAAATAAACCAATCTATAAATGGTGCAAATTTCAATCTGCATTGGTCATAGCAAAAAATTGTTTTGACAAAAATGTTGATGTAGTTAGCAGACTACTAACCTTTGCATTCACACACAAGACACATACAACGACCGTTCAGCACTTTACAGCCGTCTGGAGGCATCTGTTGTACTGAGAGGTCTCCCATCACAACACAAACCAGGCACTCCCCTGCTGAGGCACTATGGTGGTGTTTTCAACCAATTTATTTTGGCCACAGCGCCAGTAAATGCAAATTGGTTATTCTGACCAATATATTGGTCAAGTCTATCTTATCTAATCTTAACCAATTTTGCTCTAACAAATTTGATTTTTAGAGTGTAACATTTACCACAACAGCAACACAAACTACATATCAAGATAATACTTAAATGACATCACTTCCAAGCACCTCCTGGAGGTCTGTAAGTCAACAGTATCATTTTAAAACTTCCAGCTCTGTTATAAATCACTGAAGGATATTGGTCTCGGGTTCGCTGCCTTCGGGCCAGACAGTCTTCATCGCTGATCCCGGCCATGAGGTACTTGAGTCCATGGATCCATGTTCGTGCTTGTTCTGCGTTACTGGTCACCAGGTCCAAGGACTTGACCCGAGCCCCAAAGTAAATACTGAAGCAACAGTTGGGGTCGAAGCGGTTGTCTGCGTATCTACGGAACATCTCTGACTTCTTCCCCTCGCAGACCTCGTGAATGGAGTCAATGGTAACTGCAACAGTAAGTTCAAGTTCATTTACATGAAAATTCAGTATGTCCTGGAATTTAAATCTACTTCATATAGCATTGCACACACAGGTGCATACTCTAGATTAGAATGAAGAAATTTGTTATTATTGCGTTATTAATATTACTGACAGTTGAAGCATATAGAAAGCAAATAGCATATTATAATGTTCTTACAGATATTCAAATAATGGAGCAAATACTGAAATAGGCCAGATATGGGTTAATGAAGTCCCAATCCCAATGATGGAACCTCTGCTTTCTTAATATTGCATTTAATGTAGTCCAGGTTCTCACTTTTGGCTTTGTCGTGCTTCCGTGATGGTCGCCAGCGGATACAGGACTTATGCTCGTCCAGGTAAAAGAAGCGCACCAGCCCTTTCTTCTTCCCCTTCAGTTTGGACATCTGTGTCCCTGTCTGCATGCTGCACATGCATCTCTCAACTGCAACAAGTATTTATGTAGAAGAAGAAAATATATTTGAATTGCACCTTTCATATACTTACATGCAACAACAACAACAACAGGAGATTTCCCAAATATAGTTTAGTTTATTCTGAAATGCTCTAATACTGCGGCACTTTATGTCATCAGAGAATTTCATAATGAGCAAAAAAAGATTCTCCAACTCTCCATTTTACTCAAGGATCAGCGAGATGGTTACAGTCTCAGTATCTGAGTGAAGTCTGATCCTGGCAGATCCCAGAAGGTAAGCTGGACAGGGCCTGGCTAGCACTGTGATGGGATACCAGGTGTCCCACCTTCATATAATAAAGATCGACATGAAACTAGTTGGTGGTGAGTTAATGAGTTGACACGTTACTGTACATTAAAGTAGATTGTAAGTTTATTATAAAATTGCATTTAAAACCTTTTTTGCACACTCCAACAACATGTTTGTAAAATGTAAATAAAATTCTCTATTGTCTTCTTGAATTCGTGCTAGTTTGAGAAATGTCAGCAAGATCTCATGGTCTTGACCTGACAATGAAGATCACCTTGAACCCCAATTCAACAACACACAAACACAATATCCTGACGGGTAGTTGCTGCTTGTGTTTTTCTCTCGTGGTATGGTTAACCTTTGTTTGTAATCTACGGCTAAGATGGACGTGACACACCCCTGAACATCATTGAGGCTAATCCCATGGGATTGTCTGCTGTCCATATGCCCATTATCTGCTGCTGGCTTCACTTTGTGTCAGAGCCAATGGCCTCCAGACTAACCTGTGTTCAAATACATGTTCAGCATGTGGAAGTGACAGGGATGCATCTACTCTGTTTAGTCTGATTCAGAAAATATGATGTTTATATGTACATAGAAAGGACCAGTATGAAGTCTTTTATTTATTTTTTTAAAACATATTGTCACATTTGAAGCTGGAGTACCTTACTTCATAAATGCATTTTGTTTGTTCCAACAGAGTCTTGAGTCTTCTTTAATTAACATTTTGTGAACAAATCACTGTTAATATCTTATAAGAAAACATTCTGAGGGCTTATTGCCTGAGTGAGGACTTTTCTTTACTGAAAAAAAACTTATCAAAAGATGTGACAAAGCCATGGGTACTCCAGTTTTAACTGTAACATTTCTATATGAACAGTCTCATATGCATTTTACCTTTACTCTGCCACGACTATAAAGATGTGCTTTTTCTTTCTCACGTGGGACATAATGTATAATTAGCAAGAATGTATTTTCCTGCATGAATTACAACCCTAGGGGCTGGTGCTATGTGTACTGGGTGCAGCTCTGACTGCCACCCCCCGACTCAGAAATGGATTAAGGGGAAGAAGATGGATGGATGGATGGAATTACAACCAACGAGAATGCCTTTTTCGGTTTGATGATATGAAGATTCTTGACATGACAATTCCCTATGTGATTCAGCTAGATGTATACTGCTTGGGACACATCAACAGACTTCACTCACTTATCTGTCCCAGTCTCCACTTGGGCTGTGCCACCACACTCCCTCCAATCCAGAAGAACTCCTCTGCCAGCCTGCAGATGGACGTCTTGTGCCATAGCTTTGGGGAGCTCATGATGGAATGGCTGGGTGAGTTGACAACACTTGAAGATGGCTTTGCTTCATCATTGGCGTTGGCTCTTCCCATCGCAGGAGATAGCAGTCCCGGAGATGAAGATCCAAGACTCTGTTTAGGTGATTTCCTAGGAGAAGTTGGAGTCTGTGGGCTGCTACGAAGTCCTGGAGAAAGAGGAGCCATAGCTGCAGCTGCGTCGCTCATGCCAATGTTGTTCATCTGTGAAAATGACCTACTGACTTGAGCTGATTGTCATAATGTTTTTCATGTTTAGAAAATCCATCTCCAATCTCATCAGGGTCTATAAATCCAGTACTCAACGTTTGCTTTGTTCAAACAATCCCACAAAACGCCGTCCATTTTAGGTATAGTTTGCAGGTAGGAAGTGTCCAACATGTGTCATTCCTTAAGTCTCTCTGAGGCTGTAATCCTAGTGAGGCTTGCTTTCACAGAGGGATTTTCTAGTAGGCCTAAGCCTCTGAAGTAACGTGGAAGCAAAATGAATCAAAATAAGGCTAATCTAAACCTACTGGGCAGAATGATTTCTTTTAATTTTTTGTACTGTTTTTTTAATTATTTGTTTTATCAGTTTCTTCACATAATTGTGCATGTGACGACAATATGCCCAGTGAGCACAAGGTGTAGCTGCAACCTCTCTGCACTCTGACGTGCTGTGGGTCCCTCTTGAGGTCGTTACTACGCATGACACAAAATGCAAATGAGAATATAAGACTGTACATTATGCAGTATATATATTATAATTATTTTCTTAACCTTTGATAACTAATGTACTTTTGTTTCCAGAGAGAAAACTCCAAGAAAAAAAAGTCAGGATCTGTTGATTATGACCCCTATTTACACGCACACACTCACCCACACATAGACACACTTACAAATACACACACATACCCACACAATTACACATTCAAATATACACACGCACATGCACACACACACACACACATATACACACACACACAGTCACACACAGGACACACAATTTTAATTTTAATTATCTTTTTATTATTTTTCTTATGTTTTTTATTTTTTAGCCCAACAAAGCTTTAGGCATATCTTAAAAATCCACATTCTTAAGCTATACCAAAAGGTTTTGTTTTTCCCAATTTGGTTGTGATTTTCTTTGTTTAGTCGATCAAATAACCCCCCATTTAAATATTTTTTTTGTAGTTGTTCAAAGCTCAAGGCATATCATAAAAATCTGCATTTTTACAATATGCCATTATTCATTTAAATATTACATTATGCCATGTGATATTTAAATGAGCCTTCCCAATTTGATTTTCAAATTTCAATGTTTTTTTTCCTTTTTCCCTTATTTGTTGACTTTTGTGAATTAGCCTTAATTTTTGTTGTTTTTTGTCTTAATTATGTTTTTTTTTAATGTTCCCAGCCTTTTTGCGGTGACTTCCTACAGTGAGTGAAGGTGACCTCAGGCAGGAGTGATGTGCTCTTAACACGCTGATCTGAGGTATGCTCTCAGAGGACCAGGCAACACTCTGCTCCTCCTGGTCCTGAACATTTTAAGAACTCGGGAGAAGAAGCGTCCTGGTCGTCGGCCTCGGTCCTGGTCGAAGTCTTGGAGCTGGATGTTCAGATTTCTCACCGCTGCCTCCACAAACCAGTCGCTCTGAAGCAGGGCTGTGGAGATGGGTCCCAGCTCTTCCCGGAGACTTCTAGCCGCCTCTTTAGCTCCGGTTTTGAGGTCTTTGGTCTTCAGGTCTGTTCCTTGGGGCATGGAGACTCTTCGCTCCACCTCACGCAGTCGCAAAATAACTTTTCCTTGTTCCCTAATGTCCAGGGACACGGGGGATTTGTCCAAGAGCTCTTTCTGAGTCCAGGTTTGTTTTCTTCAGAAGGGGTTTGATTACCGCGGTTTTAAAAGCTTGTGGGACATAGCCACATTGTATGGATGCGTTTATTATATTTACGATAGGCTCAATTATCAAAGGAAGTATGTCTTTGAAGAGCCATGTCGGGACTGCGTCTAACATGCAAGTTGAGGCTTTTGAGGATGTGACCACAGAGATCACCTCTGCTTGGCTCACAGCCATGAATTTATCAAGGCCCACTGAAGAGTCTAAGTGGGAAGTCACGTATGTCGCTTCAACCTGTCCACCACTAACAGCAGGAGCAACCTCCTCCAGCTTGTCACGGATGGATGTAATTTTATTATTAAAGAAGTGGAGAAAGTCGACACTGCTCAGTGAGCTTGGAATTTTAGGCTTGATTGCGCTATGGCAGTTTGTGAGTTTAGCAACGGTGCCAAACAAAAATCTACTGTTGTTTTTATTCGCTTCTATTAAAGTTGAATAGTATTGAGTTCGAGCCCCGCGAAGGGCCTTCTTGTAGTTTCGGAGACCTGCTTTCCACTCCCTGTGGACAGGCTCCGAGTGGGAGTGGCGATATAGCCTCTCCAATTTTCTGACGTCCTGTTTTAAAGTGTGGAGTTGAACACTGTACCAGGGCGACGATGATCTAATCCTAATAGTTTTCTGTTTTAAAGGAGCTGCTGCATTTAATGCAGATTTTAAAGACTCCATAGTGTTGTCCACCGTTTGGTCAATGACTGAGGGACTGCAGCTGCTGTGAACAGGTTCACCTGCAGCAGTATTCAACATAGGCTGTATTAGTTCTTTGAACCTTGTGATAGATTTATCATTTAAGGTTCTTTTCATTATGGTTTTATCTTGCGGGACAGGAAAGTCCTCCAAAGCGAGATCAAACGTGATCAAGAAATGGTCAGATAGCAACGAGCTTTGACGCTGGATGTCAACATTGGAGACATCACAGCCGTAGGTCAGGACAAGGTCCAAGGTGTGGTTATGAATGTGAGTAGGTTCCTCGACATTCTGAGTAAAACCAACACCATCTAGTACGGCGCTGAAAGCTTTGTTTAAGCTGTCAGTGCTGTCGTCCACATGTATATTGAAGTCTCCAGCTATAACTATGTTTTCCCATTCCAAAACTAGGTTTGAAATGAAGTCAGAGAATTCTGTTAGGAACTCGCTGTAAGGACCAGGAGGTCGGTATAAAACTATAAATAGTACTGCTTTTTGTTTTCTCCACCCAGGACAGGTGATTGAAAGTGTTAAGTTTTCAAACGAGTGAAAAGCGTTGTTGGTTTTGGGACTAAGAACCAAGTTGGTGTGTGATATAATCGCAACACCACCGCCGCGACCTGTAGCTCTGGCTTTCTGGTAGTTAACATGCGTCGGAGGAGTGCACTCATTCAATCTAACGTAGTCGTCTTGTTGGAGCCAAGTCTCCGAGAGCGCAAACAGATCCAAGCCCTTGTCTATAATAAGTTCGTTTATGAGAAGCGATTTAGACGAGATTGATCTGACGTTCATTAAACCACATTTAACAACCCTACCGCTAGAACTATTTCTGTCTGCCTGAACTTTTATTAAGTTACTGTGTCTGACACCTAGGTCAGATTTCCTCGCATATAGTGCTTTAGACTTCAAGCGGGGAACACACACAGTTTCAATCTGACTAGGTTCTGAGGCTAGTAACTGAGCACACACAGGCACACACACACATGTACACACAGTTTCAATCTGACTAGCTTCTGAGGCTAGTAACTGAGCACACACAGGCACACACACACATGCACACACAGTTTCAATCTGACTAGCTTCTGAGGCTAGTAACTGAGCACACACAGGCATACACATACATGCACACACAGTTTCAATCTGACTCGCTTCTGAGGCTAGTAACTGAACAGATGGGGGCTCAGAGGTTGTGGCAGAGCAGCTCTGCACCCGGGCCTCAGTTCTGCATCGTCATTTGAGCCGAGCAGAACAGTTTAGAGCCAGGGCAAATTCTTAGCCAAAAGGGATGTACCCGCCAACGTTGGGTGGATATCATCCGAGCGGATGAGACCGGGCTTTCCCCAAAAGGCACTCCAATTGTCAACATGAACAACACCACTTCGAGGGCACCAGCCAGACAGCCAGCGGTTGAAAGCCGAGTGTCTGCTGAATGCTTCTGCACTGCTAGTGCTAGGTAGGGGCCCAGAGAAGATGACAGTGTCGGCCATTGTGCTAGCCAGCTTGCACACGGCGGCGACTTGCAGCTTCAACACCTCGGACTGTTTCCGCCGAACGTCATTACCACCCGCGTGAATAACAATTCGACGGAAACGCTGCTAACTTTATATCTTTACTGATCTTTGGCCCAGTAGGTTTCTCACAGTTCACAAAGTCCTCACAAATCAAAGAGTTTATCAGTATTATGACCTGGGTTTAAATTCAATAGTTTTGACTCTGATAGAGACCAGAGAGAGAGGCCATAAAGAGACCAGAGAGAGACAATGACACACAAAAAAACGTTATTACATGAAGTTCTTTCCTAAAACTAAACCTAATTCCAAAAGGTTTTCTCCTCTTTGCTTTGTTCAAACACTCAAACTCACTGGACACATCACCCCAACCTGGACACGAAGCTGAATGTTGTGGACAGTCTTTGTGCATGACCTCAAGGTTAGCGTGCTAACCACAATATGGCACGTTTACACTGGACGCGAAACACACACATCAGATCTTAGTGAGATATGAGGACCTATATGATATGATATGAGGTATTGAATGAACTTCGCTGCTTAAGTTCATTCAATACCCCGTTAACAAAAGACACACTGAGTAAACAGTGAAGAAGCCAGGTTTGTGAAAAACAAGCCAAGAATGTCAGAAATTTAACAAAATGCAAAATGGATAAACAATAAAACAAGAGGTAGGGCTGAAGTTAATGATTTTTATAGTAGTCGAATCATTGATATCACTTTTGATTAATCGAGTGATCCATTATAACAAATATATGTTTCAAACATTTAGACAAACATGTTTCATAGTGAAAAGAATATCATGCATTTAAACTCAACACCAACATTCATTCAAGTTATACACAGAGACTACCAGCTTCATTCTGCTCTGTCAAAAAACAGGAACTGACTGTGGTTTGATAGAGATATGTGCATGAATCAGAAGCTGCACTCTGGACCAATTCCTCAAGAGCTGAGCTCACACTGATGCTAAGACAAGTAACTTCCACTGTGCTACCTGTAGAACTAGTAAGCATTGCTAGTGCAAAGCAAGATCAATAACTTGGATAGAAAAGGCAGACAATAAGAGACAAATATTTGTGTATTTTTTTCCCAAAAAAAAGAACATGTAGTATTATCATCATTAGTTTTATTATGACAATGATTTGAAACATTCACAAAAGAACCTATGAAAATCTACATATTCTGTCTATTGGCAAGAAACAAACATTGAATACAATACACAATACAATACAATACATTGTCCCATTGTCTGTTTCATGGTACGATGACGGGATCTCTGAGCCTGGCCTCTTCCATCTACACCTGCGGACTGCCCCGCCTGACCCGCCTGGGAGTGCTTCAGTCCTGCACCGGACCTGTCCACGTTCAGCGTCCACTGGTCCACGTTCTGTAGCTAGCTTAGGTCCTAGATCATTAGCCTGTCCGTCCGGAGGAGCGGATCCCTTTCTCATATGGGTCTCCCTCCCTGTGGGTTTCCCTAGTTCTCCTCCAAGGTTTCTCACTTTTTCCCACTGGGTTTTTTAAGAGTTTTTCCTTGTCGATGCAGGAGGGTCTTGTTGGACAGTTAGTGTCCAACAGAGTGGATTGGTGATGATCAGGACACTTTAGCATTCTACAACATGTATGGACATTTTCTTCTGTGTGTGCTTTATATTCTTCATGTGTTTTAACTGTTGATTCTCTGACCTGTGTTGGTGATTTCAATGGTTTTGTTAAGTCCTCTGAGATGACTTCTGTTGTGACCTAGGGCTATACAAGAATAAATTGTATTGTATTGTATTGTAAAACACACACACATCCGGCCTGAGTGAGATATTTGGACCTACAACACACAAATCAGGTCTGAGTGAGATATTAGGACCTACAACACACACATCAGGTCGGAGTGAGATATTAGGACCTACAACACACACACATCAGGTCTGAGTGAAATATTAGGACCTACAGTATAACAAGAACTTCAGGTCTGAGTGAAATATTTATCAATAGTTACTCCTTTCACGGAGAGTAACTCTGTAGGTGGACAAATATATTAGAACTTTATTTGAGAATGATTTATTTTTATAAATGTTTGTCATTTTTGACACTTCACTTTTATATTTGTTTTTGATGTTTTAAATCCTAATTTAATTTAAACATGATTTTCCTTCTGGAGTTAAGACAGTTTTTTAGGGAGAAAATCTACTGACACAAGGAGAACATGCAAGATCCACTCTGAAAGCTCCCTTCTGGTTGAAAGTTTTTTTTTTACAAACACTCACTCAATACTCAAGTATCTTTTTAAATTAGCTTGAGTCAATATTTTGGCTATTCTAGCCACCTCTGGGAATGTATTTAAGTTTGTGACAAAATAGGTGACCTATGAGGACAAGTGTGTGTGTGTTAAAAGTGTGTTAAGGTAGTTCCGTGCACGACCAGAGGGGCGCATCAAACTTCTTGGGACGGAGTGTTTCGGCCCCGACACACATTTTCACTATTTGTAGACATTTTGTGACATGTTTGAATTTTGGTGTGGAGCTTCATCTGGGCCTCTACAACACTGCAGTATGCATGGAAAAATGGGGACCTGAAAAAAGTCCCCATATTTCCTCAGGTCCTCATATTGCTGTGTTGTTTTATGTGTTGCTGTGTTTTATGTGTTGCATGTGTTTTATGTGTTATGTGTTATGTGTGTCATGTGTTGTTTTTGGGGCCCCGTCTATAAGCTAATGCAGCTTCCTGGGAGTTCCCTTTTTACTAAACACCAACCAACACTTCATTGTAAAAGTGTATAACCAATATGGCTACGAGTTTTGTAAATAAAATAATTGAATTGAATTGAATTGAAGGTATGTTATCATACAAAAGTCCTCATATGTCCACAAAACAAACAAACACACACTCATACACACACTTTATGTGTGTGTTTATAACATCATTTATGGTTATTTTTCATTACATGAATATAAACTTGACAAAATTGATATTTATTTTCCTAAAATAAAGTATGTCCTTTTTATGCAAAAGTGACGTTGTAATGCATCAGTAATTTCTCTTCAGGGGATGCATGTTTCCTGATTAGGCAGTTGGATTTTGGTTATTTACAAAGAACGGAAGAATAATGATGATAAGGGTTCAGGGGAAAGCAGGTGTGTTATTAGACTGTGATTATGGTTAGGATTGTTGCCAAAAATGTCACGACATCGTTTCCAGGTGCACAGAGGCAGGACGCTCCATGATGTAACTGTACAAGTATGTTCTCCAGTCTGCCAGAGTCAAACAGCCGTGTCAAGAGCAACGACTGCTCTTTACAAACTGTTCTACTGCATCTTATCTCAAAGGAACATGTTGTGTTTTAATGGCACAAAACGTGTTTCATGAAAACTAGCGCAGAAGACCAAGGATGCTTTCTTTATGGGGGAGCTAAGAGTTTTAACAATGGTTGGATCATGTACCAAGAGTTGTACAAACTCTTGCATATTGTCAACAAATGGAACTCAAATGGAAGGGGTACGATGGTACAAGGCTGGAGTGAGGTTGATGGTTCAGATCAGCAGCCATATGAACAACACATTTAAATATTATTTTCATCAACATTGGTCTGTAAATCAAGTACTGAGTCTGGATCCAGATGGGCAGCCAACCAGACTATGTCTGGTAGACAAACTATGTCTATCCTACACCCACCGCAAAGGCCTAAACCAGGAATGAATACAAGGGTGGCACGGTGGATGTGCTTCACAGAAAGAAGGTCCTATGTTCAATTCCACTTCCAGTCCTTTCTGTGTGAAGTTCCCCCGTGTCTGCAGAGGTTTCCTCAGGGTACTCCAGTTTCCCCTACAACTAAAAACATGCAGGGACTGTGTGTTTGTGACTTGGGACTACAGATGCATATTAGCTATAGCTACTGTATAACCTGTATGCACTGTATTTACAGCTCCTGCTGTAATCTATCTAAATAAATAAAAACAAGAAAAGCAAGAAAAGCAGTCATGAAGTGCAAACACCTGCCAAGAGCTGCAGTTCCATTCCTTCCAACAAAAAAAAAAACCTGGTCCCAGATGGTGACCTGGATCACCTCCAAATCAAGTCATTTGTTCCTAGTCCCATTTCTGAGGACTACTTTATGAGTAATGTTGGTAACAGACACACAAACAAACCCACCAGCCTGAGGAGAAGATGGAGACTGATATGCCCAGGGAAGATCTGACATTATGAAGTGTTCAGGCAATGTTTACATTCTGTTCTTTCTGTATGTCACTACTATCATATTGCACCTCCAAGGACTGTTGACATACAGTTGAACAATAGACTGAATGGACAAAGTAAGAGACAGTTCATGAGCGGTCACTGGTGAAGCGTGAGTGAAAAGTTAGAAATGCGGTTTATTTTCTGAGGTTGAAGTTTGTTGAATAGACGGTTGGTTATTCCTCGTCTCCATTAGAGACAATAAGATTGACCTGCTGTTTTGAGAAACACAATCAGAACAATACCACTCGGGAAGGCTGGTAGGTGTCACTTAAGTGGAGGGTAAATACAATTTTGAAAGGGCAAGTCCTTTATTTATTTATAAGTAAATTTCAAGTTTCCTATTTGTTCTCATTTCTTAAATCTAAGCTAAATATCTTAATATTAAATATTATGAGAAAAATGTATCCAACTTTAGCAGTGACACAACAGTGAGCTCTATGATGGAGTGCTTCTGTATTTACATTCTGGTTTCACATTTATTGGTTTCAGTAAAAGTTAGCTATGGGGAGAAGGAAGTATTACTGTTAGATTTATGTCATCTGCAGGTGTTCAACTGTCACTTTACGAGCTCCGGGAATCTACTTTGAACGGACAAGATCATCATGGGACTTTCTGCAGGTAAAACAAAAAAGGGTAATCTACTTTTATAACTGGAAACAAAACAACCCATCTCGTTGTCTAAATACAAAATATGTTTGAGTGTAAATTATTATAAACGTTGATTGAGTCATTCACCAGTCACTTTATCTGCTGCTATTTTTTGTTCTGCTGCTAAAGTAAAATACACACATCTGTAAATACCTCAGAACCAAGTACAATTGTAGCTTCAGAGTTTATTTAATTTTGATTCTATTTTACCATCTTATTACTTTAATTGTATTATCTATTGCTTATTCCCTTCTGTCTCTGCTGTAACGTGTGCGACGATGACATTGGACATTCCCCACTGTGGGATGAATAAAGTAGAATATTATCTTATCTTAAAGTCATTCTTTTAAAGCCAAACACCATTGTTGCATTGAATAAACTTTTAATGGGCAGTATACAAGTGTTCTGAAGGTAAAAGAAAACATTGAAACAAGAGTCAAGTGATATCCCACTTCCAAACCAAAACTACAACAGCATTATCTATCAATATGAATATTGCTATTACACTGTACCCAACAAATACTGAATGAGGACTTTTTAAAATGGTAAGACATAGAAGTTAATAGGACAGCACCTAAACCAGCCATGGGTGCACCTCTGAATGATTTGGTCTGTGGTCTGACAGATATACTCCATACGCAGCAAATAATACATACAGTATATTCTCAAACAAAGTAATTGGGGAATTGTTTTAATATTACAATGTGATGTGGTAACATTTCTTTTCTCCTGTGTGCATTCAGCGACCCGTCCACTGTGCTGAATGCCCTGTGATTGCAAATCCTAATATATTCTCTTTTTGGTATCAAGTAAAACGAGAAAAATAATAATCGTTTGGAGCAAGCAAACATAATGACAAGAATCTTATTTACATTGTATTTACAGAAAAGGAAGTGTGTTCAAATTCAAAGTCTGTGTCTTTTGAAAATGTAACAGTTTTACAATGCGCTATGCAAGGTTTTATTTTTGTTAAAAAGTGCAATTCCTTTTTCTTTTTTTAAGTACAAAAATATATCCATATTTTTTATATAGCATGTAGAAATGTTGTTCTTATAAACAGCATTTGTTGATTTAAGAGCTCTACAACCAGTGACTAAAAATGAATGCTTTCTGTTGATAGGCAGCAATTATATTATAGTATATAAATTATTTTACAATATTTGTTACAAAATCAGAAGTACCACATTGCAACAAAAAATTTTTTGTTTTTTTGTCTTTTTAAGGGCACCTCTATAGTCTGGCCAGCCATTTTCCCCAATTAGCTGAAAATTACATTCATTTATTGTCTTTGTTCTATTCACCAATCACGTTTATCTGCGTTTCTTTGTCCTCTCACTGGACTTGAAGCGGTGAAGTGCTTACAGGTATAAAAGGATCAAAAATACAAAAATCCAGCCGCACACTACTTATCAAACTGCATTCAAAAATGTTCTCTACACTCATACTTTGCCCTGGCTCGACATTTTCCAGTTGTTCATATTAATTTTCAAAAAACTGCTAAGAGTCAAAAAAAAGGGTCCAAACTAACATTCAGATTCAAGAAACCGTTAACCCTTTTGGACAAACATAATTAGGATGGCTGACCAGGCTCAGGCTTGACAAATGTGTGGGCGGGGATAATTACTATTCATACATGTAACATTTGGTTGCAAATAACTGGAAAACAAACCACTAAATTAAATTGCATAAGAAGAATATTAAAAAGTAACACTTCCGTTAAAATACCTAAAAGCATAAAACGGTGGTGGACTTAAACTCAGCCCACTACAAACTCCAATACTTCAGGTTGATACAATACAAAAAGTACAAGCTGGTTAACATGCATACAATATGAATGTCTTCTCTTGCCTTTTGTGGAATAATGGTGCAAGCGGTAATTTTTAATAAGTCCATCTGCAGTTATAAAAAGCAAGCGATTATTAAAAGTATAGTGGCAAACTGGTGTCTCTGGTTTCCAGTGGTGTGTACCAGTTCGTTGTTGTGGCACCAAAACATATCATTGTTGACTTGTTTTTTTCTTCCCTTCATTTTCAAGTAGTGTTATGTGGCTGTATTTGCACATTTTTAAAAATAGCTTATATTATTCCGAAATAATAAAGAGTCCTTGGAGAGGGGTTTTGTATAACGGAGGGAGTTGTGAAAACGTTCAGTATCATCATGCTCAGAGATCATGCATTCCAGTTTGTAAAATCTATATATAGCATCGTAATAATGTCCGTTTTATATTATAAGAGGGCGGTCGCTTTTCCCCCAAACATTTCACCAAATTTAGCCGATCGTTTAAATTCGTACGGCGAAAGATGTCAGCGCAGTCCTTGGGAAATCTCCTTGAATCAGAGTCAGAATGAGTGATTGTGACGTATTAGGACTTGCATGTGTTCTGTGAGCTCTGCGCCTCCCAGCTGGACTCTTTAGCGTCTGCAGAAGCGCCGTGGATGTTGTTTATGTTGACGTTGTGGCTGATGTTGTTTTTGATTTGCAGAGACAGTTGGTTCTGGAGCTCTTTAACCACGCTCTCCAGACTCTGACGGGCCTCTCTCTCCTGCTGCAGCTCCTGCCTCAGCTGCTCTCGGTCCGCCTCGGCCTGCTGCAGCTGCATGTGGAGGTCCTTGATCTGGAACGGACAGTGTCATTGTTATTCGCTTTGTTCCAGAGCACTGCGGCACATTTTTAACTACATCGGAAGATTAAAAAGTAAGACATCTTATATAGCGTTTTTCACAGACCAGAGTCACAAAGCGCTTTACAATTGTGGGCATTTGTCTCTCGCTCCACACAGAGATGGGAGCGGGTTCAGCGTACAGGAGGCCAGACCTATTGTGCATGTTTTAGTAGTAGGGGAAACCGGAGCGCCTGGAGGAAACCTACACATACACGGGGAGAAGCAAGAGTGCTATCCACTTCGCCCAAATCACACCAAAATCGCACTAATCATATCCATTATTTAACATAATATATAAGCTGGGGGGTTTTGACCTACTTTGGTCTTAAATAATCTATGGAGTCAGAAAGAGTATTGAAAAGTAAATCAGACCACAACATTTGAAAACTTCAGATAGAAGACAACTAACATCCATAACAAGGATAATAATGTAATGTAGTGTAACTGTTTGTAGGAAGCCAGGTCGCTGTATAGAAAGTGACCTAGACAGAGGCAAAGGGTCGACTTCTTGTTTCCCTGATCTCTCACCTGTGTGGAGTACTTGGCCCTCATGCGGTCCGCCTCGCAGCCTTTGTCACAGACACGCAGCTGCTTCTCCTGCTCCAGCTCTCGTCGGAGGCGGCCGCACGACTCCTCCGCCTCCCGCATCTTCCGGTCCCAGTCCACGCGCAGACGCTCAATCTCTTTACGGAGGCTACGCTTGGCCTCGATGGCCTCGCGAAGACGACCCTTCTTTGCTACTCGCACAAACTCCAGCTCCTGTGAGAAACATACAGCACTTTGATTTGATGATTAAAAAACATATTCCAGGGAGTCCAAGTCGTATTGTTTGACGACAGTAGAAAGGAGACTATTTTCAGAGAGATGGCTAAAGATTTTGCCGTTACTAATTAAGTCAATCTGCTTTTTTTTTGTTTTTTAACAAATAGATGGCTTTATTTCCCAGCTTGTCTGTATAACTAGTTGTTTTTATTTGCTGGTGTAGTATTGTAATGGTCAGATATAGAATCAATCGGATAGGCTAATACAAAGCCAGCCAAGTGTTTGAACATTTTTGGCCATATTTTGGAGGATGATGAATGATAATACATAAATATCGGTTGTGTGTAACGCAAAGCCATTCATAGTAAAATAAACGAGGTTTTCTATTTTCAAATTATAATGACAACAGAAACTAGTATGACCCAGATTAAAAACTGTCCATTCATCTTGGCAAAAGAAGTCTCCAGTTCCTGTAAATTCTTTGGCTGCTTGCATGAACTGCCCATTTCAGATCTTCCCATGATTTTTTTAGCATGATTTTAAGATATAAAACAACTTTATTCGACAATATACGCAGTCACTCAACCGCTAGCATCATTCACATGTCTAGAGTAAGTACTGTATGGCCATATTAATGACAAGTATGGCAACAATGAGTAAACCTTCAAGCACAACTGTACGTAACAGTTTGAGGGCTTTTGTCACACCCTCTTCTTTAGGACGCAACAAATTCTACAGTGGAGTTTAAATACTTTACAATGCTTATACTCAAACGTTACTCACTGCGCCTACATTTATGGACATTGGTCATCCGCCCTTTATGGACTAATGTCTCTGTTTGATTCTCTGATCAAACAGGCTGTTGCTTATTATTACTATTGTTGCTTATTATTTTATTTTTGCTGCTACTGGACACCTGAATTTCTCCTATGGGGGATCAATAAAGTATCTATTTGTGTTGGCAAATTCGAAGGTTTTGTAAAGTCCTCCCATATAACTACTGTTGTTATTTACGGCTATACAAAAGTAAGATACATTGAATTGAATTGTGCTGGAGAGCGTACCTGCTGTAGACTACGTTTTGCCTGCACCGCGGCGGCAAGCTTCTCCTCCTGCTTCACCCTCATTCGGACGATCTCCTGGAGCAGTTTTTCTCTGGACTCTTTGGTGTCGAGACCTCCATACAGCATCTGCCTCAAACTGTCCATCTCGGGGCTTACGCTCCCTGGTGCCCACACGTCCTGGGGGCGAGGTGTGCTCTGGAGAGTCATGGTCTGGGACACGCTGCTGCAAGCCGACGGAGGAGAGGGCAGCGACGAACAAGTCACTGGGTCTGCAGGAGGGGGAGGAGACACATTTGGATTTAGATAGAGTGGTGTAATCTATCTAAATAGATCCATGCAACCAATCACATTTAAAAATCACAATTTCACTTTTATGGCACATATCCTAATTTGGTCTGTCCTGAATACTTTTAGTTTTGATAAATATATGTATGTCATTTTTCAACATAATGGTGATATGTTGACAGGCCACAGCAGCAGAGGCTGGGGCTGCACTGCCTCTGCTGCTGTGGCCTGTCCTGCTCCACCCCCAGCAGATGGTCCACCTCTGCTGCTGTGACCTAAAGGACTGTTTCTTATTATTACAATTACTATTGTTTGCTTTTTAGAATGATCAATTAATTTGTTTTGTTTGTGTGGGTGGATGTGTTTTTGCTGCTACTGGACATCTGAATTTCTCCTACAGGGATCAATAAAGTATCTGTCGATGTACCTATCTATATTCATTTTTATTGTAGAAATAATAGACTAGAAGTGACAAACATGTAACTTTTCTCAAACATAGAAAAGACAAACATGTATTTTCTGTGTCTGAATTTTTGCTTTAGTCTGCCCATGCTTACTGTGCATGTCAGACGTTAACTAATATACGTACATGTAATTTAATGGCATCCCCACATTCTAGCTTTGCCGCAAAAACTGGCACTTTTGACAGAAATTTTTACTCTTGTGCATTGTCCCTATTCAAATAAAATAAACAAGGATTCAAATAATATCAGCCATAATCTGTAACAAAATTCACAGTTACAAACATATTTGTTGTTGATGCTGAATTAAGTTTGGCTGGAAGTCATTTCTGAACCTTGCAGTTCCCACTTTGTCCAGCGGATGGTGCAGTTGCACTTGAATCCCTCTGTCTCATAATTTTCCAGCCCTTCCAACATTTTTCCACATGCTTTCCCTGCACCTTTTGCATGTTCTATGTAGATTTCCCTCAAAATGGCTGCTGCTGCTGTACTCACGATCATTGCAGTCGTCTACGTCTATCTCCCCGTCTGTGTCCATGTCTTCTGCTCTGTTGCTGGTTGAACTGGGGGCCGGTGCTGGTTTGAGTTTGGGCTTGACGTCCCCGTTTTGCAGCTCGTGTGAAGGCTTAGAAATGGCAATGGGCCCCCTGCCTGGAGCATGGCTGTCTCTGGGATGAACCGGAGGGGCCATGTTGTGTGCTGTGCCGTTCTCCTCATTCCTGGAGTAGGGCCTAGTTCACAGACAAAAGTGAAATGCGGTTAATCTTTGTACCAGTTTTCATAGTAAAACTTCATGGATTTTTTTTTTCTTTTGCTTTACTAACTTCTCTTCTTTCTGAATGGGTGGTTTCTCTTTTTCCACTGCTTTGGGAGACCAGGGCCGGAAAGCAGAAGGTCTCTGTTTCAGTTGGACCTGTTTAAGATCCTGCAGAGAAAAGAAAACAACAGAACAATGTCAATGTCAAAGCCTACATTACCCAAAAGCTAACAATGTGCCTGCTATAAATCACACACATACAGTACAGCTTATGTGTACTACTCATTGCAAGACGATACAGGCAAATTATAATTCGAGGAAAAACATAACTAATGGCTCTGCTCAGGCATATAGTTTAGGGAAAGTACAATCTAAAAGGCATTCACTACAATATGCATTTTCTTATGACATATTAGGGTTGTTTGCAAATTAATAGGTTTGATAGTAGTAGAAGTAGAATCAAAAACACATTGTTGAACTATAAAATGAAATAATCTGGGGGCTTTTGACAACTTGACTGCAAATATAAACCAGAAGTACAATAACACAAGTTTCTTCATTTGTTTATTTTCAATATTTCCGAATTATAAAAGTTAAACATGAATTAAAATACACAATTTTCATTTTTCCCCCTATATTATATACTGTATGTGTAACAGTGTGTATAACATGTTCTTTTTTAGTATTAACTGCCCTGTTTTATCATTTGTTTCTTGTTGTTCTTCATTGTTTTTATTAATCACAAGACTGTCATAAGATTGTGTTATTTTTGTGTGTGTAGAGTAACGCAATCAGCCTGTATGAATTAGTACTACAAATACACAGTGCGTACACTAAAACACAGCACTGTAGGAGTACTTCCGCTGCAGAGGTCACGCAGAGACGCCGATGCGATGATTCGAGACGACAGCAGCCTTTGCGTCACCCCTTTGACCTTTGCGCTTAAAGTCAAATCCTGTTTCACACTGGCAACTTCACCCCCCTCAAGACCAACCACATGGACACTTTGAAGACCAACCGTACGACTTAAGAGACCAACAGAAGATGAACAAACTTTGGACACTAACCTTATGAGCAGACTTGGACAGAGACTGCAGCCACTCCGGTTTACGCTCTTTTTCAGCCGAGGACGAAAGGAACTTGTCGAGTTTAGACCTCTTTGCTGGGACGGGGCTGGGAGACTGTGGAGAATCAGAGAAAGAAAGAGAAGGTGAATAATAGCACAGTGATAAAAATAAAAAAAGAGAATATTATATTATGTGTGGGAATAGGAAGGCGTTGTGGATATTTCAAGCGCCCGAATACAAAAATATAACATTAGCAATATTGAGATTAGATGTGATCCTCTTTTCAATTTTCCATATTTGATCATGAATATCGACTTGTGTGAAACGAATTATCTTGAATGCAAGGAACAGAAAGCAGTGTGCATCCGTTCAGCAGACAAAGGCAGTGGCAAGAGATGGAAGCTATCTTTGTAAGCTCTGAGATTTCTGAGCCCGGCTAACATGTGAGTGGTGTGTGTGCCTTTCGAGTGGGGCTTTGAGCTACGCAGACACTGAAGCCGGTCTGGATGGCAGCCAGGCGGGCTACATTGCTCCCTGGCAGCCCCGAGCAGGCGCCTTCAGGTGGAGCACATCGACTGGCTCTGACCACAGAAATATTGCAATACACAGACACACAGACAGGGCCAGACAGACAGAGAGACAGATTGTAGTCAAGTAATATTGCACTCAGATCTGACGAGACACTTGATCCAACACAAGTGCTCTCAAAGAGTAGTATGTTAATCCAGGATACACCGTAGTGAAATATTTAGAGGTAGGGTAGATTTTCTATGTCAAGTGCTACATGTAGTTAACACCGTAGCTGCATACAAGACAAGCTGCCAACGTATACAATAAAAAACATATTTACTCATGAAAAAATATGCATAATGATCATACTGTTTGTGTTGCTTTTTGCGTATCACATATTTAACCATCCTCAAAGCATGCTTGGAACTGAAGTCTACCTAATTGGGGAATCTCTATCACTTGGTTTTAAGCACTTTTGCTACTGTATCTCAACCATTTGTTAAAGGCTGTAATAATATTAAAACAAAACAAAAAACATCATAACAAATTATTTATTTTACATCCGAGAAAATCAACAAAAGAAAAAAATATATGCTTTCTTCAAGGAGTGAACATTAAAGGGAAAACATAAGTAGGTTATGCTTCTACTGTCTGGTTTTACATATCAACAATCATTAGTAATATCTAAGAAAACGGCAGATAGAGAAACGTAATCTGAGAAAAAGAAGCAGCCTAGTTTGAAATAACTCCATCAACAGCAAATAATCAAAAGTATCATTCAAAGGATTCAAAGTGAGACTTAAGTCACCATTAGATTTCATGAAAGCAACATTGCAACCCAAGTTGTGTCATGCAAATTAGCACCAATAACATGCTAAGGTCAACTTTTCACCCTCACTTTTTGTTCCCATGTCTTGTCTGCCTGCACGGTTTTTTCTTTTTTTTTCAAAGCAGCGGTGTCCCTTTGAAACACGCCTTTGTCCCGTGGGCAAAATGCATGTGAGGTAGGACCGCTAACCTCCTCAACTCTCCCTCAGGTTTGCACTTGTCAGACACAGGATATTGTTTACCTAGGAGAGCTCGCCGACCGGCACGGACCTGTCTGCCGCTCACTTACTCACTACTATGACATTTCGCCTCTGGGAAATGGCAAACACTCCCAGATCTGCTCTCTGTCTGTGTGTATTCAAATGATTACTATGTGTCTACTATGCCTTTAGCGCTCAATGGAAAATGGGCAACTGGGTTTGGTCGTCGTCATAAAAGTGTATTAGCATTTACTATATTTGCCTGGATGCACTGCAACAACAATGAGCTCTTTCATCACAATGCAAAACTCGTTCAGCAATAGTTCCTGGCTCGATTATAGAGAAAATTACCCACATTAAAGTTTATACTCATTAAAGATTACATGCATGAGTATTTTTTTATGTGATATCATACACATGTTTAAGTTATTAGAACACAATAATGTCTGAAGAAGGGCTTTGGGACGTAACATATGCTGCTATTCTGCTGAAAAAAAGGTGAGTTCCAAGATACCGCAGCGTGGATCATCTTTCTTCTCCCAGGTTTGACTTTTGGACCCAGCTCGCAGGCAACAACTGACTGAAAACCAGATTTTTTTCCTCACTATTTTGAAGACACTCTTGCTTAAGTGCAAGTTATGGCTACACCTCCATTAACAGGCGCTTGCTGTAATCACCTCAAGATGGGAATTAACGACGAGGCTCATTTAGTATAAAGTGAGAAGAAAGACTGCTCTGTAATGAATCACGTCTCACGGCTGTGCTGAGAGGCCAGACGCTCGCTGCATATGTGTGGACCACGTGTGGGACGGAGGGAGGCGGAGGAGACATGTGTGTGTGGGACTGAGTGTGCGGGTGGCAAACATGCCCCCACTGCACGACGAGTAGATACAGTCAACTCAACTCAGTCAAACCCAAATCCAACCATGGTCTGCCGTCGTAATGTGTTTTACTGTCACTTTACTTAGATACTTGGTCCCCAGACCCTCATGCTGCCATCGTGTACAGATGTATACAAACAACTATATATAACTTGCACTAGAATATACATAATTCTATACTTGCTCTTTAGTTTTTGGCACCTACCAAGTGTCAATCATTCTGGTGATACATGCTCGTCAAATAAGATAAAGGTATCCAAATAAAAAAAATGTATCCTCCTATATACCTTTACGTCTTGCTTCTGGATCAGGCTAAAGATAGAGATATTATACTGTTTCTTTTTATGCTAGAGTTAGAGATGTTTTACATTTTATTTGAGTTATAATTCATTTATCTTGTGCTGTGTGCTCCTCATTCATACTGTCTGTAACTTGTGATGCAACACTGAAATTTCCCCACTGTGGGACGAATACAGGTACTTTCAATCTTAATCATAACTACGTTTCTCTGTTGGAAAGCGAGACTAACCTGCCACACCATATCTGAATCTATAAGTCTAATATCACATTTCTTAACGTCTCAAACTGTGATGCTCCTTGTAAATGGAACGCATTGCCAAATGTTATTGAACGTTCTCCGACCCTAAGTTCATTTGAGTAAACTAAAGATACACATGTTTAAACTTTCTTATCCTTTGGCAGTGACCTTATCTCTGTCTTTGTGTGATGTTGTTTTGTCACACTTTGTTAAGCGCATGGAGTTGCAGTCGTGTATGAAATGCTATTGTTGTTCTAATAATGTTTTTAGATGTTTATGTTAAAACTAGTACATTTGGTTATAGAAACGTTTAGCCTACATGTAGTGTGCTTGTACATGAATGTATGGATATTGGGTAAGTATGTATATGCATGTATTTATGAGTGTAAAATGTAAATACTCAGGTTATTCTAAAGCCTGAGTTTGTTGAAAGGCTAATGCTAACTGGTAGCAATTTACTAGTTTGTAGCTATGGTTACGAGTGCTTGCTCTTCTGTGCTTCATTTCAAAATTAAATAGCTATAATTTTATTGAATAAAAAGACACAGAAATAAAATACATAAAGAGATAGAAGAAGAAACAAAAAAGTTATGAAGATCAAAAATGCATATGAGCAAAGTGATGGGAGTTCTAGTGTTAAATAATAAGATGGCAAAATAAAGTCTCCTTTTCATCTTTTATGGCCAAAGATAGTGCATAGTATGTCTTCTTTAAAACATGTCCATCATTCTTGCATGTCTGTGTAGAATCAGTGGAAAATTCTGCAAAATACATTCATTTGAAATATAATGTTATGAGGATTTCAATAGTTCTATGAATTCCTCATTGTGTCCAAGTTGATTTTGGAAAAAAAAAGTCAGGCCAAATAACTTCAAACTAACCTTCAATGTAAAAGAATGTAATTTTATTTGTCAGCCATCCATTATCTGTGGATGAAGAGCGTAAAGGCCTTGAGAAAATAACCCAGTTTTTTAGTCGCTCATATGCAATAATTATAGCCATGATGTGAGATCAGCTAAAGGCAACAACACACACATGGGAGCTCCTCGTACAGACTAGACACGCTCATACGTTTCATCACACCCTCTCACACTAATACCAACTTGAGTCACGTAAACAGTTTCACATAAACATTATGTCGTTTTTATCATCTTTATTTTGGATGTGAACGTCTACCTGCTCTGCCTAGTTCTTTGATTACCTTCTGGAGTTGCTTTATTGGCCTATATTACACCCAACTGCATGACTACAATACCCATTATGTAAGTGCAGATTATAGCTTGTTCTATTGTGTTAGCGGCTCTAGTTTCTGAAGGCTGAGGTATCCGTGACACTTGTCTGGACACTCCTCTTATGTCTCCTGTACCTGTCGAACCAGAAACCACATTACTAGAGCTCTTCGGCAGACAGGCGGCACACCGGGAGTTTCACTATTGTAGGTTAAGTCTTTTAACCTCCTCCTGCTGACAGTGACCCCTCTGAGTGACTGCTATGGACTGCGGTCGGCCTCCAGTCTGTTGTAATCAGACGCTGCAATTATGGGCTGTCGTGTGCTCCCAGGCAACAATAAGGATGTGATGTGTGCTTGTCTGGTGACTATTTCTATTGCCTGAGGTTATTGTCAATTCCTGAGAGACTTGGCTAAACCAGGACTAACCTAGGGACAATAGTGAGTGTAACACATAACTTAAAGATCAGCTGAATGAGACCAGATTATGGACAAAGGTCTGATAATGATATATTTACTTTTTTAACCCTAATCCTAAAAGAAAATGAACTAAAATGGCGTTTAAAGCTTTGGTACTTAACTTTTGTACCGCAAAACTCACTCACTTTGTTTCTACATGATAAGATTTTACAAATAAAACCCATGTAATTTATACCTTGCTCTCAAAATACCTTTTTAGTTCCATAATGCATTTTTTAAATTTGGCTCCCAGCACATCTTTTGATCAGTTTTTCAGACAAAGCACCTTCACTCTGCCCAAAAGGTTAGGGTTTGTGTCAAATAGTGACAAAACAACCTTTTTCTTACAAGTACGCAGAAACTGTTGTTCTAATAAGATAAAGACTGCTTTTCATAGTCTGATTTGTGCACAACATCTTACTCTCACAAGATTCTTTCTGCTGGGACTAAACACATATATTATTATGTAC